TTTACTAAGTTATTCTTTTTCCGTCTCTATATTACCTAGAAGTCGTATATAGCTAGTAGCTTTACTTAGTGTATTTATCGATAATTTAGCACCTTATTTATTATAAAGCTTTATGATACTATATAATTAGTAAGGATTATTATAGTTTTTATAAGCGATTTAAGGTAATACCTTTACTCCTTAAATACCTTTATAATTAATAATATTTCGCTATCTTTAATAGTATAGTTCCTCTTAATAAGACTTATCTTATAAAAGCGAAAGGCTAAAGGTCTTTATACTATATATCCTCTTTATAATTTATATACTTAGGTTAATACCCTCTTAGTAGCTCCGCTAAATATATTAGCCTTAACTTATAATTACTTATCCGGATTAAAGTATATAAGTATTAGCCCTCGCGAGAAGTAGTCTTTAAGCTAGCGAAATATAGTATTAGCTTTCGCGGTTTACGTAAATAGCTTAGTTTTCTTCTCGGCCTTTATTTCTTTAAGTAAGTTTATAATAAGCGTAATAATTACTAAGTATTATTAAATAAAGCCTTTATAAAAGTTCGTAAACCTTAAGAATACTTAAATCTCTCTAAAGGATTTCGGGACTAGCTATTCTTAAATAGTAAATACCTTATTAGGATTTATCAATATACTTATAGTTTTTACGCGGAACCTAAGGAAGTCGACTTTATTTATAAAGAACTTATATTTTAAGAGCTTTATATATAATTTATATTCTTTTAGCCTTTTTAGTATAAGATTTATATATATTTCGTATATATCCTTATTTAAACTAAATATTAAGATATTATTTATAAAGGCGATATAGATTTTATTTAGAAGTCCTCTTAAGGCCTTATTAATATAAGCTTAAAATAAAGCTAGAGTATTAATAAGCTTAAATAGTATTACTAAATATTTAAAGTAACCGTATTATATATAGAATATAGTCTTTTAGCGGTCTTTATTAGCGATATCAATATAATAGTAAGTATCCCGTAAGTTTAGCTTTATATATACCTTAATATTAACTAGTCAGTTTAGGATTTCTAGAATTAAGGGTAAAGGGTACTGGTTCTTTTTAGTTACCCTATTTAATTTACGATAGTCGATATAAAGTTATAAACTACTATTCGCCTTTAGTACGAAGAGAATCGGAGCTTTTACTAAGGACTCGCTTAACTAGATTTATCCTTTAGCTATTACTAACTTAATATATTCGCGTAGAACTTATAGCTTCTTCGTACTTACTAAGTAAATTGGTTTATATAGTACGGTCTTACCTTCTTTTAACGGGATAAAGTATCGTGTTTTAGTCTTTATTTTAAATAAATCCTTACTTATATCTTTAAAGGCTAATATAAACTTTTAAAATTATAACGAAAGCTCGAGGTCTTATATAAGGCCTGTAAGCGTTATAGCTAAGTCTCCTATAAATAAAACTATTTCTATATCCTCTCGCTTTAAAACTACGGGTTAAATTTATAGTATACTAATTATTCCGTCCTTCGCCTTCTTTATTATCCGTTTAAAGCTTACTATAAATACTTATAGCTTTTTTACTTCTTATAAGTACTATATAAGCGTTAATTAATTAATGTCTAGATTAACCTTCCTTAGCTAGTTAATCCCTAGAATAAGATTATAATTAATTACTTTAACGGTTAAGTAGTAATACTTTATCTCTTTCGTTATCTTAAGTATATTCGTTATAATAGTATTAGTATAATATATTTTATAAACTTTTAGCGATTAGCCGCTTATAGTATATATACGAACTATAGCTTACTTATTTAGTAATATTAACTTAGCGACTAATAAATATAAAATAAAATTTATTTAGGTATCGTTATCGAGTAGTATATAAACCTTATATATCTTGGTTAATAAGTTTATTTTTATTTGTATTATTAGCGCTTAGTCGCTTAACTATTTTAAGTTTTAAGATTTAGCGACTTATTATATATTTAAACTTAGCGTTATAATAACGCTTAATAAGCTAAGTTCTATTTTTTTATCTTCGCCCTTTTACTTTTCTCTTAAGCTCTTATTATATTTTAGTTATAAGTTAGACGCGATACTCTTTTTAAAGTATAAGTACTTAGCCTCTTTATAGCCCTTCTTATTATAATTAAAATACTCTCTTTAAAAGATACTATACTTAAGTAATAATATCCGGTATTATAACTTCTTTACGGATATTAAAGAGCCTCTCTCGCTTAATATTTATAAGCTATTATTAAGAATTGCCTCCGCGCAGCGTGTATAAGGACACGTGAGCACACAGGTAACCCTAGGGGTTCTTGATTATCGGGGGTAGAGTAAAGGTCAATGCCGAACAGATCGTCAGACGGGACACAGCACTTGTACTGTATCTCCTTAAGCGCAATATTAACTGAAGTTGACTACACCTCCTATAGAAGTGTATCTAGCTGTAACTATATACACAGGTAGTTTTCCTATCTAGGAAAGTCTGGGCGTTGCACTATTGCCCCTGTTGTATATACAACGTGCAACTACTGCAACACCTTATTTCCTATTTAGGGTGTCACGTGACCCGAGCCAGCCTTGCCAACGAGGCTGACTTCCTCGCTTGACCTCCCCTCCTGCGCCAGGCCCGGCAGGTCGTGTAGAGGTCGATTCGTAACAGCTATATACTCCTCGACGGCTAAATTTTTTTAATAGATTTTAAGGTATTTCTCGGGGAGTTACTAATAAGCGAGCGGGCCGACTATAGTCCGCTATACGGCTCTTAAAGATAATTATCTCTAGGCGTTAAGCTAAGGTTAATACTTACGCCTTAAAGGTAATTGTCTTAAGGTCTCGCTAAACTATATCTTATAAGTTAAGCGTTAGTATATAGAATAAAGCTTAGCCCTTTTACTTCTTTTTTATTAAGGGACTAACTTTCTCCTTTAGTAGCTTTATTTAATATATTAAGTTCCGGATAAATTATAATATACTTTACTTAAGGGATCTTAACTTCTTAAGTACTTCTCTCTTATAGATATTAAGGTCTTTAATAATATCTTTATACTAAATAATAAACTTATTTTAAGTTACGAGAACCGGTTTATTCTCCTTCTAAACCCGCCGCTATTTATTTAAGGCGAGGTTCTTAAAATAATTTACTATAGTATATATACGGCCCGGCTAGTATAGTACTATATTATATAGAAGCGACTTGAAGATAATTTAGTATATATTATTAAATATATATAGCTACTATATTAACTTAGCTTTAAAATTCTTTAGCTTAATAGTTTATAATACTTTCTAAACTTTATCTCGGTCTTTCTTAGCCGTGTTACTATATTACCGCTTACGGGTTAATAGCGTTATATCTTTAACCTTAATATATATAATAACTATCTCGCTTATAATCTTCGCTTCTATCGCCTAAATCTCGCTTTCTAACTACTATTTATAAAGCTTCTTCGCTAAGTAAGTATATCGCTTAACTAGTTCTTATATTTCCGTCTCTAAAGGAGAGAGACTATATATATTATATACGGGAGTTATACAGTCTAGCTATATACCGTAGTTATTATTATTATTATTATTCTCTTCTTACTTAGGATCCCCTTACTCTTTAGGGTCGATAATAAAGGGCTCTAGTAAAGGTTCGATAGTTAAGCGACTTAAGGGTCCTATTTCGATAAGAGTAACTCCTCGAGAAGGGTTCGTTCTCTTTAGCGGTATCGCGCTTATAATTCGTGTAGTAAACGCTTACCTTAGCCGATTTAAGAGGTATACTTCGAGAATATTAAGAATAGACCTATATAAATAGGTAGAGTATAGTAATTAAGATAATTATCGATAATTAGGCTATTCCTTAACTATACGTCCTAACTAGATCGACTCGAAGTATAAGAGAAGAGGAAGAGTCTCTTATATAAGGAGGCGGCGAGAGATAAGGGTCTAACCCCTTAGCCTTAGTAGCGGGTGCTAACGTATTTATACGGCGGCGTGCTTAGCTATTCGTGATAAATACTATAACCGTAAAGGTTATTTATCCTTTAAGCCTTAATTATTACTATAACCTTTACTACTTTACTTAAGGTTTTATATTAACCCCCTTAGCTAGCAGCCTTATTATATTTACTTTACTATCGTATATAGAATATTCTAACTAATTAAAGCGCCTATAGCTTCTTTAGATAATATCTAGCGAAGTTAACTAATTAGAGGCGGCGCTAAATCTTTAGCGCTAACCTTAAATTTTCCCCTCGCTTATTACTTATCTTAAGCACTTAACTATCTTATTTAAAAGGCCTTTTAAAACCTTATCCTTTCTTACTATTTATATACTAGCGTTCCTCTTTATTATTAAATTAAGCGATACTTAATCCCTCCTCTTTAACTTTTTATTAGCGAAGGTTCGAGCTAATAAGATTACCGGGTTCGGAAGTATCGTAAGCCGATCTAAATAGACTCCTCCTCGGGGTTCTTAAGTATTAGGGGTAGAGTAAAGGTTAATATCGAATAGATCTTTAGACGGGATATAGCACTTATACTATATCTCCTTAAGCGTAATGTTAACTAAAGTTAACTACGGTGTTCTATATAGATAGGCGTTAGCCCGCGTATATACACTTAAAGGCCTCTCCGTATACTTAGTCGTGCTTAGTATACTTAGTACTAATCACCGCTGCGTATCGCGGAGCATACTAAGCGCGTCACGTGACTATAAGGCTGGGGTCCCTGACCTGACCCTCTGCGGTCTAGCTCCCTCGCTATAGCTTCCCTATGTATCTTAGTCGTGGTCGTATAAAGGTCGGTTCGTAACACCCTAGTCGTATAAAGTTTAGTTCGTAATAAGATGCGTATATATACCTAAAGGTCAGTTCGTAGCATTATATGACTAACTAGGTATAGATAAATACGGTACTCGGGATAGATGAGCATGCCGAAATCGGAGATTAATGGAGAAGATAAAAGTATTGCGCGAGATCTTGTACCGTGTTGGATATCAGCTCATCTCAAGTCGAGACACTCTCTGGAAATATGGCTTTGCTAGAAGCATTGGGAAAAGGTATTCGCGTGTTCGATCTCGCAGTCCCTATGCAAGCCGGCATGCCAGCAGCTCCAGCGAATGTCCCCTTTTCGATGGCCCTGTCGCGCCGCCATGGCGATTCAGATGGAACAGGTCAAGGGGGCACTGCTTCCAACGCGGTGATCATTACGGGTGACCACGTCGGAACTCATATCGATGCCCTTTCCCATGTCGCCAGCAAAGGAGTTCTTTGTGGAGGAGTGGCGGTCTCCGATGCAATGCGAGGTGGGAAATATGTCAAGCTCGGCGCGGACACAATAAAACCGATGGTCTGCAGAGGCGTATTCCTGGATATACCCGCACTGAAAGGAAAGACGCGGCTCGATCCTGGCTACGGAGTCACCGACAGGGATCTTCAAGAAGCATTGGGAGACACACCCCTCAATGAAGGAGACGTTGTTTTGATACGGACAGGATGGATTCAACTATACTCTGACCCAGTGGCGTTTCTCGGTCACAATACAGGCACACCCGGCCCAGATGCGAGCGGTGGAAGATGGCTGGCATCTCACAAAGTACGGGCGGCTGGTAGTGACACGATCTCATTTGAGCAGGTTGAACTTGGGCCCAGGTTCAGACAGAGACCCTGCCATGGCATCCTTCTGTGGGAAAACGGCATCCATATCGTTGAAGTCTTGGACTTGGAAGAGTTGGCTCGCGAGCAGGTGAAGGATTTCTTGTTCATCTTGTCACCGCTGAAGCTGGTTGGCGCCACGGGATCACCGGTGCGTCCGCTTGCAGTGGTTGCAGCATAAGGTCTGCCTGATGGTTGATCTATGGCATTTGCATAGGCGGAAGAACCGGATACCAGCCTTCCTTTCATCAATGAATGACAAGGCAGCAGAGCACTGCCTCTCTTTTCGCACCGCCACCAAGAGATCCAGTAGCAAGAAGTGAAGTTGATGCATGACTGCTCTGAGTCAGTGTGTCCGCATCACTCGGCACAACAAGATCTAGATGGCGCTGCCGGAATTTGGTGAGCGCAGCAGAATCTAGGCCTGACAATCAGCCTGCCTAGTGCAACATAATGCAGTCCCAAGTCTGACCACGGTTGATCCCCAAGTACTCCGTATTCTGCTAAGGCGATAGAATTGCGGATCCAATCCGGGATTTCGAAGATAAGGCCTAAGCCCAGATAATGCTGCGCCCGACCTATGTCTCTGCATGTGTGGGGTTGATAGCGACTCGCAATGCTCTCGCTCCTTATCGGCATACCCACTTGAACTAGGTTTACTGGGAAATGCTTAGCTGAAGCTTTGAAGAAGCTTCGCCATATAAGAACCCCTAGCTAGACAAGTCTATACTCGCACCTCTGTGCTCACACCATCCGCGCAGCAACTTTTCGATATGACTTCGGAGATCTCAACCAAACAAGCAGACATTGATGTCGACCTCTCCTGCGTGGAAGATGCAGACCGCAAGCTGACGACGGCCTACACCCTCCAACCAGAAACGAAGCAGACCCGTTCTGGCCTGGAGCGGAGATTGATCTGGAAGCAAGACCTACTGATACTTCCTCTCCTGGCGCTGATCTACTTCGTGACCTTCCTGGTATGATTCCCCAATGCCGGATAACTTTCAAGCACTGATCCACAGTAGGACAGAAACAGTTTTGGCAATGGTAGACTTCTCGGATTGCAGAAAGAACTTCGGTTCTCCAACGCGGACTATTCTCACGCGGCGCAGTATTTCTGTCAGTTGCCAACTCTGGTCCGTACTGTGCGGTGCTCTGACGGATTGCAGTTATTGGATACACAATCTGTATGTTTCCAGGTTCAGTCTCGTTGAGGTGGATCCCGCCACATTGGGTTTTGGGTGGTGCCTGCATCACCTTTGGCATATTTCTGTGCGGCATGTCGGCAGCAAAGAGTTATGCTACCGTCGTAGCCACGCGCATACTCATCGGCTGTGCGCAGTCGTTCACGCAGAACTCTGGCGTCTACAACAGCTTCTGGTACACACGGCGGGAGATTGCCACCAGAGGGGGTGAGTCAGAACCTTTCCAGCCCCATGAATCTTCACTGAGGAGTCACGCAGCTCTGATTTTCTCAACGGCAACCCTCTCAGGCGCGTTCAGTGGCTTGATAGCGTATGCGGTCGGGGAGAACTTAGCTCACAGTAGCCGCTCGCCGTGGTCGTGGCTGTTCTTGATTGAAGGAGCCATTGCGATCTTGGTCGGGGTTGTTGTGATCATTCTTCTGCCTCCCTTCCCGGACAGAATGAAGAATGGAGAGAACTGGCTCTTCACCAAGGACGAGATAAGCCTGGTGATGGAGAGAACGTCTAGTACGTGTTGGTCGGAAAGCTTTACCGCGTCAATAGACTGACCATCCTAGGCTGGAACACGACAGGCGCGCGAATCCAGTGGTCCCAAGTTTGGGATTGCCTGAAGGACCCCAAATCATACGCCTTCGCCATGTTCAATGCGACGAGCGGGCTTTGCTTGTCGTCCATTGGAATTTTCCTGCCGACATTCATTCGCGACTTCGGCTTCAGCAACCTCGATGCACAGCTGTTCTCAGTCATCCCGTACGGCTGTGCCTTCTGCACTCTGCTCATCTTGTGCTACATTAGCGATCGGACCAATCTGAAAGGACCCTTCATCATGTTCGGTTTTGCCGTCAATGCCATCGGCTATGCCATGCTGCTCGGGGTCAAGTCCACTGCAGCCAAGGTTGTTGCCACTTGCTTCATAACCAGCGGAATGTATCCAGCCGTTGTCCTTTTCCTCACATGGCTGACAATCAACACGGCTGGGTTCACTAAGCGTGCCACAACGTGGGCGATGGCAGAAATCTTTGGACAGCTGTTCTCAATCATGGGTGCCAACATCTATGACAACGGGCCGAGATACGTGAAAGGCCACGCGACTGCCATGGCGTTCTCGTGGCTTTCGGTGTTGATCGCGGCAGCGTTGATGGTTGTCCTCCACCGTCAGAACAAGAAGCGAGTTGATATCCTGCAGGACTACGCGAGACGAGGGGAGATCCATCCTCACATGAATAGGTCGTTGGAGGATGAAAAGGACTTCCACATCAACTTCAGGTATACTCTTTAATGGCGTTAGGCCGTGCGCCGGTCGGATCAAGAGACCAAGAATGGTGCCCGATCCGTTGACAGAAGTGATACTGACCTGTGGTACGTTCCTGAGAGTGGAGGGGAAAGTCTATTACTAGCATTGGACCGGGTGTTGAGATCGTTAGGTGCTATCCCAACATATCCAGGAAGTTCCAGTCGAGACCTTCAAGATCAATGACCGGATTCTCGGCGCCATGGTTCGGTACGTTGCAATACTTGTCTTCCGCGTAAATTCGTAGCAGATCGTAAACTACTGAAGCACCCATTCTTGTATGGATTGGTGGGGACAGCTTTTTGTCTTCGATATAAAGAAGCCTTCGGAGTGTCTCACATGCCTTATGGTGAGTGTCATCGGGTGTCCCGGAGGTGGTACTCAGTGCCTGGCGAACTCGCTCGACGTCGTCCTGAAGCACTTCCGACTCGGAACTGTAGCCAGAGCGGAGAATCTTGACCAATATGAAAGCACTGTAACACATAGCGTGGCGTATGCATGCCGGTACAATCGATAAGTTTTGGCTGTAACATGATTCGATCAGAACGCTGGCATCTCGTCTGGCGTTGTCGATGAATGCAATGAGCGATGATGAGACGGGCATGTCGTCAAGGAGAGCAAACGACCAGAGCTGTAACCTTGAGCTCAGAAAGGCGATCTTGACGACGTTATCCATACCCTGGAGATGCTGTTGTTCAAGGATTAAAAAGTGTTCTGCCCAGCTCTTTATCGTGTTCAAGCGCTGTTCAGGTTCTAACATGCCGGAAGGAGTTGAGCCGTTGGCACTGATGGCGAGATTCGCTTGCATCAAGACGTGAAAGATGCGGCAGAGCTGCGAGAGCCTTACATTGATTGATCTCTTCTCAAATGCGTTGAGCAAGTGAACGTCGATCAGAATTGATGGAGGCAATCCGCGGATAGCTGAGAGTTTCTGGTTCACGATGAAGCAGGAAAGCCATGTCGTGGTCTTGACTTCTTCTCCGACAGCTCGGGCATTTTCTCGCTCCTCCATTCCATGTTCGTGTAAGTGTGTCTGTGTCGGACGGTGCAATCCGAGGTGGAGAGCCATCTGGGTAGCCAGACAGCAATAGTAATGAGATACATCTTCCATCACCGACGAGACGGGAAATGGCCACATGGACATGATGAGGAGGGCTTGTACCTGTTCAACGGAGCGGGGAAAAGAATAGATGGAATCTGCAAGCATTGCTTTGACCGCTGGGGCAAGTTCGCAGCGGAGTCTCCAGCTGGCCGCAGTAGTGCAAATGACCCAGAACAACAACGGGCTTTTCGTGTAGATGGGGTCCGGTGAGTGAGTTGTCATCTTGAAGGGCAGGTATTGGTGACACCGGGCAAAATAGGTCTTGAAGTGCTCATTGATCTGACCATATGTCAGAGAGACATTGCCAAGGGTGCGATATCCTGTGGACGTTGTCCCTGCCGAGCTGATGGACGGCGCCGGCGGGATCGGCTGAAGATCTGGCATAGGAGGCTCTGCTACGGCGATCGTGTTCACGATGCTAGGCAATTGTGGTGACCAATCATTCAGCGGCAGTGTTTCGTTATGCTCTCGTGTCTGACTCGAAGACCCATTGCTCGGTGATTTCTCCCGCAGAGCTTCCTGCAACTCTTCAATCCTGGATGACATCATCTGAAGCGATTTCGCCCTGGAGGTTCGCTTGAAGGACGCGTCAAAGACACATGGCAGCTTGAGCGCCCGACAACGTGAGCAGCCGGCGGAATCATCCTCCCCGTACTCGCACCGGGCTTTCCATTGCCGGCATTTGGTACAAGCCTTTGCTCTCATAGCGAAGGAGGCCAGTGGAAGGAGTGTGTTCGACGATACCGAGTGCGCAGAGTCGAGATTGCAAAGCAACTGGAACGCAGGCCATCAGCTTTTGAAGTCCGGTGGGGGGAGAGATAGCGACGGTTCGCGAAACGAAATTGATCTGTCCCGTACCTGAGTGACCAGGAAGCGGGGAAGTAGGACACGCTTCTGGATACGGCATGATCAAAGATTCGATTGGGACTGCCACCTGATTCTTGACTTGCCCTGCGAAAGAAGGAGATGGTGCTTGGATCCTGGGGAAGTTGTGTATCCGGGGCCTTCCCCACGTCCGATGCCTGCGGTAGTCGGTTTAGCCCTGCTTGGCATTGCGAGTCGCAATGTGTCGCTGGCCAACGAGACTCAGAAGCGAGCCGCCAACGATTCAAACCACGTACCGATGGACACAAGCTTTGCGGCAAGCGATGCAAGCTTCCTGCTAAACCTCGCCCGCAATTGCGCATCGGTGCGATTGGGCATCAAACACGTCGCGCACCGGTGCTCGATTGATTGCCTTGGTTGTAGTGTGCAAAGCCGCTAACCCACCAGAATCGAAGAGAAAAAACACCTGGCTTGTCCCTTCGCTCTACAATATCCTCCGCAATGGGCCAACTCTGATTGGCGGAGCGAAGCAATCTTCGGGAAAATCTGAAGAGCCTCCACTATGCCTTTTCCGCGGGCGAAGTTTCCATGAGCAGCACAGCGACAGGCGTACAACCCGAGCACATCAGTATCGACACTATTTGATCATGTTCTCTTTGATCCATCCTCTGATGCGCCATGGCAAAAGCTATTAAGCATTCAGCTCAGAGGAGAACCAGCAATTCTCGTCACACCGACATCATGCTTGAGCACTCTTCCGAGCCGTTTGCTGTGCTGTTCATGGCCACTGTCAGTTCACTATCTCAGCGCTGTCATCTGCTTGAGTCTGTTCTCGAGCGTGTTCTTCACCTCACTTGCTGCCTTCGAGTCGCCACAAGTACCCAGACACTGGCAGTTGAACTTTATCGCACGAATTCTCCAGCCCAAGTCTTTCCAAAGTGCATCCAGCAACACGAAGAGGAGGAGAACATTGCATCTTCATTGTGCTCGACCTTCAATCACAGGCTAGGTTCTGGCTTCGGCTCGTCTCAGGCCGGACCCTATCGAACAGCGTCATACCCGGTTGTTTTCTGGCTTCATCGACCGCAACATGCATCGACCTCGCACGACAGCGACAAGATGCTAGGCGGCGCACATTGTAGCATCGCCACATTATGGGACAAGGACTTCCTGGCTATATACAACAGTTTTGCAATCGTGGTAGTGTCACCACTCCACAGACGCTGCGTGCCCGGATATGTCAGCAACTGCCTCTTGCGCTACGTTCGCTTTCCTTTGTCCGGCTGCCTGGTTGAGACTCTGCAATTTCGAGAACAAGCTTGGTCCATATCTCTCATACGTGCTGAGGAGCCCACCCTCCGCGAGCAGCTGTTCTTGAATTCGATCCAGTCGAAAGTCCCACGTCATTCCTTCACAATAGATTTTGCGATTCTTGACATCAATCACAATTTCTTTACCTTCTTGAGCGAGTCGGTAGAACTCGTCGTCCTGAATCCTGATCCCCATCAACCCATTGTTGACCTGGTTTCGCTGATAGATGAAAGCATAGGACTTGGCAACGACAGCTTGGATCCCAGCCTCCAGTAATGCTCTTGGAGCTTGCTCTCGAGAAGATCCACAACCAAAGCTCTTCTCGGCAACAATGATCGTGGCACCTGCCTGGGCACGGTCGTAGAACTCAGGCCGGGTGTAGCAAAATGCACCTCGGGCAACCTCCTCCCGAGTCAGATGAGAATGACATTTATCGGTTGGGATGATACTGTCGGTATCAACATTGTCTCCGAATCGCTGGATACGGCCTTGGATCGACTCGGGAAGCGATGGCGGCTTTCTGTGATCGCCTGCCCTATGTTCATCGAAGCTATCGGTCAAGACAGGAGCGGGTAGCTCAGGTTGGGCATATTTAGGAGACGGCCTCGGCTGTCGGGGTTTGTACTTCCTCATGGCATCAAATTCGGCCATGTCAATCACCCGAAGAATATCTTCCGGGCTCTGTAACGACATCGAGAAACTGGAGATTGCAACAGTTGCCGCCGAACCGATATTCGCGATTGAGCCCGGACCCATCCGATCGCGATAGTTTCTGTTCTGCGACGACAACCAAACTTCGCCTTGGCCGGCTTTGTCGACTCCCATGCCTACGCAGTAGCTGCAACCAACAGGACCAATCACAAATCCAGCCTGCTCATAGACGTCCAACAGCGCCAATTCTTTGAGTCTGCTGACGATGGAGTTCGACCCTGGCGTAAGACGTCGCAGTCCAGGCGCAGCAGGTTTCATACCTTGAGCCATTGCTTCCTTCAGTACCAGTGCTGCAAGGATCAACTCTTCCTCTGTGGTGGTGCAGGCCCCAATGAAGACTCCCTGCAAATTCTGGAGCTTTTCCTCAGCTTCGCTGACTGGGACGACATTGTCTGGAGATGGATACAGCGCGATGAAATGCTCCAGATCCGCCAGGTCGACGTCGAACGACTCCGCGTACTGCGCGGAGGGATCCGGCTGAAAGTACATGCTATCGGACTTGTGTCGTGAATCTCGCCGACGCTGGATGTATTCGAGAGTGATCCCATCTGGAACCACGCAAGCTCCGATGCCACCAAATTCCGTTGTCATGTTCGCAATCGCAAACCTGGCATCGCATGACAAATATTGCAGTCCATCCCCTGTGTACTCGACTAGCCGACCTGCAGCGACGGTATTCCTCCTGAGTTTGCGCATCACACCAAGGATGACATCTTTGCCGCTGACACCTAGGGGCGGCTTGTTGACAAGATTGATGCGGACAATCTCTGGTACCTCGAAATAGGTCTCACCAGTGACAAGCTGCAGGATCATGTCAGTAACGCCGACGCCGATTGCCAGGCTGCCTAGAGCGCCTGCAGATGAGGTATGTGAGTCGGCGCCGATGACGAGCATCCCAGGCTGGCATCGAGAGCGGTAGTATTCTGTGTGCATAATAGTGGTGTTATGGCCCGCATAATTGTCACCGAGGTCCATTTCCTTGGCAATCTGATCACAAGCCTCAATGAGAGACCTCTCATATGCTTGATGATTGACTCTCGGATCCACGACATGATCTCCTGCAAGCCAAAACCTGTCCCGACGACGAATTCCAGGACGGCCCATCCGCTCGTAGCTTTTGTTCATTCCGAACCAAGCAACCTCGGATGACAGGAACCAATCTGGGGCAATGCGAATGACTGTTCCTGGCTCCACAAATGGTACGTCAAGACCCAGGGCATGGTGAACCAGGATCTTTTGACATACAGTCATAGGTTGGCGGACGATGGCATCTGACATGGTCTCTATTGGTGAGGAGCTTGGGGAGCCTCGACAAGCTGAAAACACAGGTTGACTGTAGAATCAGGGCTGAGTGGTTTTTGGAGTGGTTTTTGGACGACTTATCCGATCCTCTGTGTCTTTCAACCCCAGGTTCGATAGGTGGAGGATGCCACTTATGAGACAACGAGGCTGGGCGAAGTCCAATGCCGGGACTCCGTACACCGCGTTCATTCGAGATCCCACATTGCAAAAGGAACTGTTCCCAACGACTCCCCTGGAGATCGAAGCCTCTGTTGCACGAGTCCGAATGCAGCTTCTGTTTAACGAGCCCCACCTGGACCGAGTCTTGACTCCGGTAGATGCAGGTCGTGAACGAGCCGAGATTTCCCTATATTGACGGGAGCCTCTCTGCTATAGCAAACGAATTCCATCTTGAAAAGAGATGGTGCAATTGGCTCTCTTTGGAGCCGCCGGTCAAAGTCCGCGCTGCCTCTCCGGGCCTCACATGACTGCGCCGTTGATCCAGAGACCCAGGCCCGACCTTGCCCCGGACTAGCGCCACGCCAGATTCGCGGAGATAGTTGTTGTATTTGAGTCAATGGGTGCGCGGCGGCTGCATCTTGCGATTTCTGCAGACTGAACAGGAGACTCTTATCAACGTCAAGATGATTAGCGAAGGACGAAACAATCGCCTCCTCGAGAATCGGAAATGTCTCATCATTTGCTGTGTGGTGAGCATGGCCAATTGTCAATATGGCTTTGGTAAGGCATCTCTGAAGTGACCAAATCGAAGGCTAAACATCGCAGATACGGCTGCCGTCGCCGGCTTTCAGGCCATGATCGGTTTCCTGGAAGTCTTCGGCTACAAAGACGACAAAGTCAAGAGCGGATGGAACATCAACACCAAACCTCAACAATTGATCTCCAGCTTTCTCAACGTCGGAACCATAGTCGCGGTGCTCCTCGGTGGCCCTTTCTCGCACAAATTTGGGCGTAAGCCAGCAATCTGGGCGGCTGCGGCTGTTTCGATGGTCGCTTGTGGTGTCCAGGTCGGAGTTAACAGCCTTGCGGGTCTGTACGCTGGCAGAATCCTTCTCGGACTCGGCAATGGGTTTTTCATCCTCTTTTCGAATACGTACACCGTCGAAGTCTCGCCTCCTCAGCACCGCGCTATTCTCGCGTCGTTCTTTGGATTCTGGGTGAATCTGGGCAGCATACTTGGAGCGATTGCGGACAACTATAGCAAGACCCTGGACAGCAAATTGGCGTACCGGATTCCGCTAGCCTCACTGTTCGCGATCCCGGTCCTTCTCAGCGTCTTCGTTTCCTTCGTCCCTGAGTCACCTCGCTGGCTCCTCTTGCACAACAGGCCAGAGGAGGCTCGCCGAGCCCTGAAGGAACTCCGAGGCACTTCGCTGAAGCCAGAGCTGCTCAACGAAGAATTCGTCGAGATGCAAAGAGGCATTGAGCAAGAAAAGGAGATGGCGTCTTCGACCTCAGTCTTCGACATGTTCAAAAGAACGGATCGTCGCCGGACAATTCTTGCTGCAGGAGCAATCGCCTCCCATGCCGCGTCCGGGGTGTGGTTCACCATCTCATACAGCACGTTCTTCTATCAGATGGCCGGCATCAAAAAACCCTTCCAGGCGACGATCCTGCAGAACTGTCTCGGTCTGGTCGGAGCCATGTGTGGCATGTTCCTGATGCACAAGGTCTTCGGTCGTCGTCCAATGCTATTGATTGGGTCCGCTGGATGTGGAATCTGTATGCTTGTGATCGGCTTGCTGAGTCTTGCTGGCCATTCACTCCGTGCTGGTCAGGCACTGGTGGCCTTTGCATTGATGTTCAGCTTCTTCTACAACGGCTTCACAGGGACCATCACGTGGCCGATTGCGGGTGAACTTGTCAGCTCTCGACTCCGTGTCTTCAGTGTCGGGCTCGGGACTGGAATCAACTATTTCTTCAACTGTGAGCGCTGTCAGCATCCAGTTTCAACCATTGACTGACCTTTAGCAGGGTTGATCTCATACTGTACACCGTATTTCCTGAACAAAAACAATCTTAACTGGGGCGCGAAGTATGGATATATCTGGGCAGGTTCCAACGCAGTCGCATTTCGTGAGTATCCACGAATATTTATCTGCCTCCCTGCTGATTTCGAGTTCCAGTGTTCTTTTTCCTGTTGATACCCGAAACCAAAGGGCGCTCTCTCGAGGAAATCGACGAAATGTTCGTCAACAAGGTGCCTCGTCGCCAGTTCAACACCTATCAGTGCCTCTCCTCAGAAAGAGCTCGCGAGATCGCTGAACACCAGTTGGATGATCTTCCAAAGGGCGGAGTAGCAGTCCATACTGAGAAAGTCTGAGTGTGATCAGGATTGATGGAAGCTCCGGAATACTGTACTGAAGGTGCTGGAGCTCGTTCTCATCCACTGCCGGAGCACTGGTACCTACCTACCTTTGCCTTCAAATCGTTCTGCGCGCTTGTACCTAACCGTGTACTGCAGCTATCCCAAGTTCATTACCGAGCCTTCTCGCAAAACCGCTACAGCAACGTTGCGGAGATGTACCTCCCTAGGGACGCATCCTGTAAACGCAGCATGCAAACGCGGAGGATCGTTTTAGCAAGCTGGAAGGGAGCCGTAAGATGCACTCGCCAGGTTTGGAAGCGAAGGCGAACGCGCTGTATCTGGACTGTCGAGGAAGCGAACAACGGTCGAGCTAGTAGCCATAGGTGTTTCGCAGTCTCAAGTTGTTCTGGTATTGCGTGTTGACTGCTCTTCTGGGGTTGATAGACTCGTGCTTTTTCAGTTTGCTGCTCAGCTCTCGATCTCGTAGTCATTACAGGACTTCAAGCTGATCGGCTAGTAAGCAAAGACGCAGGTCTAGGGCTGATATTCCGTTCTCGTCCATGAGATTCCTCGTGGCCGTCGACAAGGGGTCTCTGCGATACAGAGCCTCCGGCGAGACCGCGCCAGCTATTATTCTGCGGAGACGTGTAAATCTAGTGATAGCAGTAGATGCGGTCTGGACATCATCGGAAGCCCGTATGGCCGTGGGAAAACATATGCCTGTAACAAGCTTTTGCATGATTTGATCAATCTCACCCATCAAGTTCATTGTCGCTCTTGAAAAGGACTTTGAGTTTCGTCAAGGCATCGTCGCAGTTTACCTCCATGCTCGTGATCACATCAACGGCTTCCTCCTTTGTCAAAATGAACTGTAGTAAGACCCAGAATTTGAAGGCGTTTCTGTACATGCCCTCAGCCTTCAGTGACTTGTCCTGGGTCTGTGAGCGTATAATTTCCCACAACTGGCGCCATCTTTCCAACGCTCCTTTGACTTGATGGGTAAACTGGCCTCTGGCCAGGGATGACTTCGATCCAGGGCCAAAGTTCGTGGTAGGCAGGTTGAGCGACATGGTCATAATACAGGAATGGACGTAGGTGTACATGACTAGAATATGGTCAGTCATAAGAGTCTTGAGAAACTGGACCGGCGTAGTGGCCTCACAGTGTATCAGAATGAAAAGATCAAATATTGTAAGATCGCAGTTAGTATCTGCCCCTACCACAGGTGCTTCGGCCTCCGATGCATCTCCCTGTGACGAGAGCACTGACGGCGCGGTGGAATTAGGGAGCTTGGCCTTCCCATCGAAGAGCAGGGCGAAAGATTGTGACATTGTCAGTCGCGGCGCAAAGATTGATTCGTCCTGCATGAAAGGGTGTCGTGAGCTGAAAATTGCCTCTTTACAAGGCAGGTCGTTATCGAGTTCGGCCAGCGTGATACGGCAAGGGTAGTTGGAATAGATCCGCATGGCGCAGTCGAGCAAAGCGATTACAGATATCGTGCGGATTTTCGTTTCTTTTTGCAACCAAACGATTTCCGAGATACGGTCAGTCGGCTGATGGCGGGCGCGGTGGAGCTGCATGCTTCGGGCAACATTAATCACATCTCCGAAGCGCGACTGCATCGCTCGTCGCTTCGAGCCACGGGAACCGCCGCCCCAGTATTGCGCAATAACCATCAGATAACCAGCTTGCAGCTCTTGAAAGATATCCCATTCATAATCCGAGTCGGAAACCTTTGCCGTAGATTCGCCCTGTACTGACCGTGTGACTTCGACCTCGAACGAGAAGATCTCCGAATCGAAAACAACCAACTCCGCAACATCCACTAGCTTCCTGGCAGTGAGCCGCTCGGTGTGGTCTTTAGAATACATCGCGCCAATGAAGACAACACTGATGACTAGGCTGACTGGGATGTTGGCCGGATCGAAGGAGGGTTTATGAAGAATGGGACAATTCAAGTGCCAATTGCTGAAGTACAGGGAGATGAATTTGCGGATCTTTTCTCCCGTCAGCAGGAAATGCAGACACACTGTGAGTTCTTGTCTAGCTTTTTCGTCCAAAGCCAGGCACCACAACTTGTTGTAGATCGCCATGGTCAGTGCCGAGACGTACTGCGCTTGGTCGGGAGGCGGTTGCGTTGATGTCGACGCAGTAGAGCCCATCTGCATCTCCGAGGACACTATCGTTGGATCGTACAAATCCAGCTGCAAATCGGAATACGAAGGTGAAGGCATCAGTCCAAACGGTCCTGTCCAGAAGTCTAGATATTGGTCATCGAGCCCAAGCGGAATTTCAAACATGGCCGAGTAGTCAAAAGGGAGCGGGCTTTCGTACTCCAACTTGAGGTGAGCCGATCCGATCTCATCCTCAGGCTCTTCATTCTGTTGGCGGAAGTGCAAGCCTGCTTGCCGGTCATCGCGAGGTGGGAGATTGAAAGCCTCTGTGAAGGTCTCTATACCGCCATTCAACAGTGCTTGGATGGACACGCGGTCGCCAACTGGACCAAACTTATCATTGACTAGATTGGACGTCAGCGTGCTCTGCGAACGAGTATTGATAGCGGGCGGGACGGACTTGGATCTTCGCCTGTGCCTCGTTTCTGACGACATGGAACCTGCTTTTTCTTGCACGGGGCACAGGGATTGCCTCCATCGCAGCGGATCTTGGACGAGATGCACTGTGAGCTCCGTTAGTCCGGTGGCCACCTCGCAACAGGTCCAGAATTCTCACTGTCACACATGCATGAGGGCGACGGCCTTTGGGAATCGAGTTAGGAACATCTCGGTCGCCGCGCCGTTGACAATGACTGTAGTGAGTTTGGAGACGATCCCTCGGGGCTGGTCAGCGGTGGTGAAGCCGCCGAAGGGTGTCGTACGTACTTGCGCGAGAAGTCACGCGAACAGAAGACGCATGAGAAAGGTTTGGCCCCGGTGTCTTCCAAGGCTGTGTCAGTGGCAACGGAGACCGGCCCTGGTGGGTAACTCACGCCTCGTTTGGTGCCGCTTCAAGTGTTCAGCTCGAGAAAACCCCTGCCCGCATGTCGTGCACCGGTAGCGCTTTTCGGGAGTGGGAGACGTAGCGGCGGGAGGTGCAGATTGTTTGACGCATGCTGAAGACAGAAGAGCTTGATTGCGGATGAGATCGTGGAAGCCGTCCATTTCCAGCGTGCCATGAAGTATGCGAAAATGTTTGGATGGAGCGGCAAGTGTAGTTTGATTACGGAGTATTGAGGGGCTGCACGCTTAGATAAGAGCAGCAACACCCCAGCCAAGATTGCGAAACCCTGCGGCTGTCTGACACCAAGGACTTCATGGCCCGAGGTGCGAGGCGGAACAGCCAAGACTGCTTAGAAGGGCGCGACCCCGCGAAAGTGTGCACGCGCGACCCAATGGGCGACGGCGTGTCATCCACTGTCAGCTGGAAACGCGGAGAAATGTACTCCGTACTCCGTACGGAGTATGGCAATAACAATGAATGACCATCTGGAAATACCCCACGTTCGCCTCAACGAAGACCTATCCTCAGCCTCGGCGCTCGTTGAGGAAAGTCATAATCATCCTTGATACCATGACGTTGGACTCGAATCGACGGCCTCCACTTCAGCAATCACATGTTTCTTTATTGGTTACAACCAAAGAATATCTAGGACACCACCATAATCAGAGTTCCCGATCCACACCCCTGAGATCTCACCCCGCACAGAAGACAATCTCGAGAGACTTCATAGACGAGCTCCCCAGTAGCCGACCACAGCCGTCAGCAAGAGAGGCAGCACTGAAGTCGCTGACACGCTTGAAGCCGAGGAAGCAAGGCCGGAGGCAGGAGCCGAGACTTGGCCTGCCACGGGGACGTTCTGCCCAGCACGGTTCTTGACGGTGAATCCTGCGAGACGTCAGCAATAGCTGCGGTGGCAAAGCTTTTACCTTACCTGTGTTGACGGCCCAGGCGATACTGTTGAACTCAATGAGTTGACCAAGTAGTTTGTTGTTCCCACCGACTTCCATCAAATTGAACCCTTGGACCGGCACCAAGTCCGTACCAACCTGCATCTTCCAATACCACAGAATATTGGTACAGCCAGCGGGCATGAGCTTGAGCGTTGTGATGTTGCGCGGTGCCGGTGCATTCAGAACGGAAGCAATGTAAGCTCCCTTGTTGGGAAAGGTGATACTGCCGAGCTACGACATATGTTCAGTATCGTCACACCAGTTCGAGTTTAACCTTGAACTTACAGCGTTGCCTGCAATTGTGTTGATCGAGTCACTTGCCTCGGTGAAACTGTCACTCAGAAGCTCTAGCACCGTCTCGTTGGCAGTGTTGATATCTTTGTGTTCCATGACCGTGATGAACTCGGCCACGATGCTCTCGGCGTCACTTTGAGAGACGCAGGTCGAGTTCGACGAAGCATCTCTCCTGACCTTGGACAGATCAGGTACCGCAGCGACTACCGATGTAAGGGCGATGGAAGCTGTGAACTTAAGGAACCTCATGTTGACAGATAATTCGCGGGCTGAAGTGGACGGCTTGACCGTCCGCTGAGTGTGGCAGATGTGTTTCCAGAACGGCTTGGGCGATCAAACACGAACAACGCAGCCGTGGCATAAACAGCGAACCACAACAATCAGTATATATCTTTGCATAAGTTGATGTCAACAAAGAAAAGAGTTCTGGATGGCTCGTGCTCGTTGCTCTGGAAGTGTCATTGATATCATCCCATCTCGTGCTCGTGCCTTCGGAGACAAAGGGGAAAATCTCCATGACGGAAGATAGCGTCCAGATGCAATCAGATGACAGGGGCTCGTGTCAGGAGTGGCATTTCCTTCACTACGGAGATCGCAAACTGGTTGTCGATGGTAGCACCTGCATGGCATGAATATAGCGGGTCCAGGTTCGAATTATTCGACGTCCGTGCGGCAGAAACACGACGCCTTGACAGGTATGTCCGCCATGGCGACGGCGAAGTCCAGTTGCTGTTTGACAATGCGGGACTCGGCCGCACGGCCCAGCCTTCCCAAACATTCATGGTAACCATGCAAAGCCCAGACATTGTTTGGATGGCGTAGGGCTCGAGGTAGCGTGTCATCAAACCCCAAGTCAGCACTATACACCGCAGCAGCCTCCTCCACAAGGCCTCGTTCGAGAAGGAGTGCTCCATACGCATGCCGCGGAGGCTGCATCCAACCCCAAGGCTCATCATATGGCAGTGAATCATCTAGTGCGATCGCCTGGCGAAGATGTTCGAAGGCGGCGTGAAAGTTGCCCCGTCGGTATTCCAGTTCTCCTTGTAACATCGACCTGGCAATAGCCAAGATGTCCAGACAAACGTTGTTGAAGAGCGTTCGGGTTGACTTTACTCTCTTCATCGCTTCATCGAAGATCATACGCTGCTTGTCTGCTTCTTCGAGCCTCCCTGTTGCTGAAAACGCCATACCTTTAGCATATTGGAACAAGGCTGTGGTTACACAATAGAGGTCCTGATTTTTGGGAAGGGGCAGATCAAGGATGTCCTGCCACAGGCCAAAGCGTATGAGAACATGCGCTCGCATGCCATGGAAGGCTTCCAGCCAGTCCGCCATGGGAGGCGATTCGACACGAAGCAGGTCTTCTGGGACTGTTGCTTCGATCCAATCGGCAGTCTCTAACGCGACTCGAGACTGGCCAGCGAACAATGCAGCATATAGGCGAAAGTGGTAATTGTGGCAGCGGTAAAGCGTATAAAAGTTCAAAGGGCCTGCCCTGGCCAAGAACTTCTCATCAGCCTGTATTGCGTCCATGTTGGAAGCGATTGCCCGACGATAGTCGCCGCATAGAATGTCCAAGTGCGTGGGCATATGTTGCAGGTGGCCAGCATCGGGAACCAATCCTCTCAGACGGTCCGCGATAGGCATGGCAGTCTCCGGAGCGGCTGACATCTCCATGAGGTGGACATAGAGATGTAACAAGCCTGGATGCTGTCGACCACTACTATGACTCAGTGCTCGTTCCAGAACGGTTTTCACCTCAAGCGTGCGTGCTCCAGGAGCAGGCTTGCCCGTGGACAAATCCCACAGCTTCCAAGGTGTGAGGTTCATCAGGGAGTCAGCGTAGAGGACAGCCACATCGAGATCATCAGGGAAAGATGCATAGACCGACCGCATCGCGTCAGCATAGGGTTGGTTCCAGATCGAGCAGTCAACAGCTGGTTGAGCTTGTGGGTATCTGAACTCGAGCGCATCGATTAGGGCCCTCTCAACTGCAGTAGCATTGGCAGCTTCAGCTTTTGCCTTCTCGACCGCGGCATGTGTCCGCTCCACGACAGACTGCAATTCTTTGCCATCGAAGAATTCCCATGGTTTATTGTAGTTTGGTCCGAGGGCGTAGGCCAAGCCCCAAGAAGCCATCGCACAGCCAGGGTCTAGGGCGATGGCCTTCGTGAAACACTCGGCTGATTCTTCATGATTGAACCCGTAGCTCCATGCAAGTCCACGGTTGAACCAGACCTGAGCTTCGGGGCTACTGGTACTAACAGGCCGGTGAAACGAGCCAAGGTCGAAGTACTCCTCGGGGGCACGTATTGCATTCGCCTGGGCAGAAGGTTGGGACATGGCGACGGCTTCTCTTCGCCCAAACTTGTCCTTGCATCCCAGGGTGTCGAGCATAAAACATGCAAAGCCCAGAGTCCAACGTAGGCAGAATAACAACCTGGGCGCGAAACTGTGGGAGGCGTGATGGTGTGTGATGGTTGATGACTCTACGTTCGTACTGTCGGCGTTTCCGAGCTCCGACTGCGCCTTTCATGGCGTGAAGACGACCTTTACTGCTTTTGAATGCCGTCAACAAGAAATTCTTCATGAAGCCCAGTTTGGGTTGCGTGGTCTCGCGAACCTCTTCTATGTAACCAACCATGGCCTAAGGACCTGTGAAAGCGTCGTTAACTCGATGTTTTACAGCTTTATGACCGATCAGCTACGCACTCCCTGTCTTCAACACCTCGGTGACGTCTATATCCAACCTTCTATGTGGCTCTTATGGCATCGGGGAAGTGCATGAGTTCTGACCTTTGAATTCATCGCGGTCCGGCTCTGCTTTCCCCGTCGACACGAACCTCGGGAGATTGTCTGCTGTCGTCGCCGATGAGACCCTCCTGTGCCGTACTGTTCAGCCCCGACAGATGTGCTCTCGAGCTGATGCAACTGCGGCTTTGGCCTGAAGATACAAGAACTGGCTTACGAGCGGATAACCAGACCTGTAACCTGGACCAATGTTACTTGTGGAAGGGACACATCGTATTGCCAGAGTCCATGCTGTCAATTGCGAGACTGCCAGTCCCTCTCAACCGCCTTACACTCGACCCAGAAAACCGTGTCTCTGGCTAGGATCGTCTCACCAGTGCTCACTCCGTGTCCTTTTCGCATTCACACCTCTAAGCCAGAGCGGAACACATGCTATACCTGCGCGTCATCCCTCCCGAAACGCAGCCTTCGAGCACGCCGATTTCCTCGCTATCCCGTCCTGTCGCTTCGATCACTTGCGTTCCTCCACTGTGGGATCTCGCGATCTCCCATTGCCCAAGCGACTAGATGGCTATGAATTACACTTCACTGTGTGGACATTTTCGGACATTTCTTCTGCGCACGGACCTGATTAAACAATGGATAATGACCGACAACTGCTTCACGAATGCAGGAAGCGCCCGTTGATTTTAAAGATGAAAAACAAGGTCTCGCATGTTCTTCTGGTACCTCCTGGATCGAGCGAGCGACGATCGAGCTCTGAAAGCTGCCGTTAAATGGAATGGATTGCCTCACAGCGCAATCAGCTTCCGGTTCGGCCTCTGGATTGTCGGAGTCAATGAACACACGAAGCATCAACTCCAGCTCGCTCACCAGTGCTTCGGCCGTCCTCAAAGTGTCTGGCACAAGGCACTTCAGCAATTTGCCATAACGCCCGCTCACCCCATCTGCCACGCTCTGCCCGTCCGTCGAATTCTGACCCGAGTTCTGCTCAGGGCTCCGAATCCGAATCTTTGTATCGGTGTCAGCCCATGCTACGTTCAAGGACGCGTCTAGGGCATTTTTGCGCCGAGGTAAGCCACTCTCACCCTCGAGGATGCCCAAGTTATACCTGTAGGCTGTGATCAATTTGTTATAGCCAAGCATCCCTCCGCCACAACCATGTACTCGATACAATGTGCAATCACGACTTGACCCATTTCTATACCTTCCATCGAACTTTTGAATTTGGGGTTTTGTGGTGACCATCGTCGCCGAGGTTACATGAACCCTATCATGAACACTTTCTCAATGACTCTCTTTCTGCTTTCTCAGCTCGTTGAGTACCCATTCAACAGCATCTCCAACCAGTTCCGGCTTCCTGAACGGGCTATCGTGCCCCCAATCCATCAACTCCTGGTACAATGCGTTTCCGTGCTGGCCGACCAGATCAACCTGCACCTTTACCATTCCATAGGTATAAAGGCTCCAATCTTCAATGAACTTCTTTGCACCTCTCCTTTCGTCCTCAGTCCCGCCTCCAAGTCGGACACCCTCCTCGTACCCTATCCGATAATCCCTCGCGCTGTTACACCTTATCACGGCCACATTGTCGCCCCGGTAGGCATGATGCTCGAGCTGTCTCCTTTCCGCCAATGACCGCGCACTGGCATGCGTGTCTTCCCGCTTTGTCGCCAGTTTCGTCGCCATCCGACGACTCGCCTCCATGGCGGACGCCCACTCGTCGTCCGTCATGCCTGACTCTTCCCTGAGATGCGTCAACCCCTCCCAGTCGACATCCTTGCATACCGCAACGAGATCGGCGCTTGGGAGTCGCGGCCAAAATGCATATTCGGCCTCCGTGCCCGTATCGTACAATACAATGCCACCAACGACCGCCAGCGGGTTCGAAGGCCGATGCTTCGCGAGCTGAAGATGCAAGAATTCCCGGAGTGGGACTCCTCCGTACGAGTGGCCGATCAATATGTACGGAGGGGGGACATCGATCTTCCCCAGCAGCGCGTCGAGATCATGTGCGGCATCGTGCGCCATCAATGACTCCACATTCGAGGGTAACGTGCTTCGATCATAGCCGGCTCGGTCGTAGAAGAGTGTTCGTGCGAAGCTGCTGAGGTGCTCTTGCACCTTCACATACGTGGCTGCTGGCCCGCCCGCGCCAGTGAACAGAATCACTACTGGCTCCCCTTGGAGACGAGGCGGGCCTGATGCGTGGGCAAACAGCGAGACATCTCGTTCGGGAAGAGGTATGAGCCCTGATATCTCCGATTTGGTCTCCCACGGGTTATTCTTGCGGATCGTGATTGTCGGAGCAGCCTGCTGTTGAGGCTATGGCACTGCTTACACCGGAAGTCCTGCTATGTAGCCTTATGTTCTTCGCGGAAATCTTGGAATGAACAGAGTTTGTCCATCGGGCGGGCACATACAGCTGGTGAAGATCATGCTGAATTAGGAAGGAGACATGCGGCGTAGCTATGCAGCCAAGTTGGATAGTTGTGGTGCAGATAATGTACCCAGTGGTAGCTACAGTCGCCATAAGCAAGACTGACTCGGCTCGAGGCGCTAAACTTTCATCTCCAGCTCAATGATGTCCGTGTTGACAAGACTCTTACCAAGTCTGGCTCTCTCTTCAGCGGAGAGATCCGTGATATTAACAGCGACCTCATCTCCAAACTTCGCGGCAATCTCTTCGAGAGCTAAACCCTTGGTCTCCGGGTAAAACAGGTACATGATAGTCGCTCCAAACAATGGAACGATGATGAAAATGAGGTAGTATTTCCAGCCGATATTGTTGAAAGCAACCGGGGCGCACATGGTGTAGATCAAGCTGAAGGCGAACAGCCCGGAGACGCTGAATCCTGCGCCCTGAGCACGGATCGAAGTGGGGAAGATCTCAGATGAGTAGACATATGAAGAGGCGTCCATTGAGCCGCCGAAGAACGTCACGACTTGGCTAGTCAGTAAGGATCGTTCAAAGCGCCATGGAGAAGCTTACAGAGGTAGAGAAAGAAGACGCCAAACCCGTTGCCTACCCGGTTCTCAGTGCCGCCGTATCTCGCCAAGCAAGCCGTGAAGCCGGCCACGGAGACGGAGCATCCAATCTAGATCTGTCAAATGGTGATATGAAAGTAGGGGATGCCAACATACCTGCCCTACAACCATGATCGGAATACGCCCAATCTTATCCAGCAGCAGCGCGTTGACAAGGTTCATGATCGCGGCCCACGTATCCCACAAGGCGTACAGCATTAACGGCATCGCTCCATAAAGACTGAGGCCATTGTAGAGAAGGACCTGATAATTGTCGATCACGAGGCAGCCGGTGCTCTGGACCAAACCACTGCTGTTTGTTAGCGGACGCACGAGGAACAAGGGCAAGGGGGAAAGGTGATGGAGCAGACGTAGACCACACGAGTGACTATCGTGTGATCCACGATCCACATGTGTGAATAGCCACCTCTGCTTGGCATAGGCTCTCTTAATCGCAAATATCTTCGGACCCCTCATTCCGATGGGACGGGGAGGGCGAGGACGCGGAGGGCTCGTCCAGCTTACAGAAGTAGAAAACCAAAGAGCAAGCGCTTCCTGTATGATTTCCTGGTGAACAGTGAAATCCAACCCTTGAGCCAACCCTGTCTCCAGCCTTGTCGCTTCTCCAAGTCCAACTGCAGGCGGATTTGATAAAGCTCTTCACGAGCGACGGTGTCGTCTTCGTCGTCCGGCTGGTGGTGGAGTCGCTTGAGGATCGCGAAGCCAGCCTCCTGTTGGTCCGTAGCCACTAGATGGCGAGGTGATTCTGGCACCCACCACGACCCGATCAGGAGGCCCAAAGGTGGCACGACCTGAAGGGCTAGGCACAGACGCCACTGAGCGACCTGACTCTCCAAGAAGTAGCAGCCGTAGCCTGTCCATCCCGCAAGACCCTGCGCTGGCATCAGATACAGTCGGATGCGCATTCACGACAATACTCACGTAACCCACGCAAAGGACGAAGCCATGACTGCCGACCATTCTTCCCCGAGAATGAGCTGGGGAAACTTCAGATTGATATAGTGGTGTGATGACGTTGACCATGCCAACACCCATCCCCATCAGGAACCGAGCGACCAGAAACATGGCTATATGGACAGATCCAGCTTGCAGCGCACCGGCCACGATGCAAAGACACGAGGTGATCTGAATGGATCTTTTCCTGCCCACCTTGTCGGCCAGCCATGTTATCAGGTAGCAACCGATGAAACCGCCTCCTGCAAAGAGTCCATTGGTGGCTGACAGAAAGGTTAGCGTGGTGTCAGCGCCCACATGGCCAAGCACTCACCGCCAGTAATCCGCGAACCGTCGCCCGACTTGATGTCGATGTTGAAGTACTGGAAGAAGGACGGGAGGCCTATCACGGCTCCGATGATAGCAGAGTTATATCCATACGTCAATGACCCGAACGTCACGATCAGGACGATCAGAAAATTGTAGTTGGTCGCTGTCTCCATGGTACCGTTTGTGAACGGATGAGTGAGCCCGTGGGTGGATTGGTCTGGGGCGCACTTCCCGACTGGCTCTATATGTGAGCTTTGAGGTACAGCATGCGCTCAGGACATTCTCCAAGCTGAGCGAGCTTCACTCCCTCTTTACCCCGAGACAGGGTATATCAGAAGTCGATATACCTCATTGGTGGACTCTGAGCGGAGTTGGGGTACTCCAGGTGCCGAGAAAATCTGCAGTCAGCATGCACGTTTCGATATGGTGATCTGGATCTGGGGCTCGGGCACGCGCGGCTTTCGAATGCTACCGACCTGCCCCACGATACTGCGTCTCCGCAGATTTGGGGAAGTCGACGTGATATGTGGCTGCATGGAAGCAGACAGAGCGCCAGGACGTAATACCTTTGCCGGCTTGACCGGGGTGAAATGCTTGACAGACGCGATGAACATCAATCTGGAGAAGCTGTAATCTGGCAGGGGTGCTGCTCAAGGCCGACATACGCCGCGCCAATCCTGGACATGGCCATTGAATTGGCTTCTACAGATCAGGACTGGTTGCTGATTGCTAAGTAGCAGCAGCGAAAATACCCGCTAAGGCGCAGCAGGTGGGATTGGCTCGGCTCAAGGCGTGCGCAAGCTGAAGAGCACCCAGCACTGCACTCGGCGAAAGACGGCCGCTGGCAGGTGGCTGGACGATTTCGTCCATCCTGTGTGCACGACCGAAGCACTGGCAGGGTGAGAAAGACAGCAAAGATGTTGGAGTAAAGTTTTAAAGACGGCCGCCATCTTAAATATAAGACATCTCATGCAGGACGCTCGGTGGGAGGCGCGGGAGGGCAGCTGTTGGTTAAGACTTCCTCAGCTGTCGGGGGCGGTTCGACCACTGGGATGATGTCATGGAGAAGACCACGTTGCCGTTCGTGCCGTCTGTACGAGGTATTGGGCATGTACACCCAACCCCATAGAGCTTCAGGTTGAGAAAGTAGAAGAAGGCGATTGATTACCATAAGGTCATGCCCACTCATAGGCTCCAGATGAGACGCCTTTTCTTCCCTATAGTGTCTAACTCCACTTGCAATGCATGAAATCGCGTCAACCTGTTAAATGCATCAAGTACAACTCGTTCTTCGGCTTGCGCGTTGTATCAAACCTTTCACCTTCCGCCAGACTGCCAAACTTGCAACATTCACACAAGAGGCGTGAATCTAGACCTCTCCCTGATCCTCGATCCATACATGTAAAAAAGAACAGGTACGGGGAAGAAAACCAGGCAGAGGAATCCCAAAAGCGACGTCGCCCACGCTACGCCGAGGTTGTGGTACATAGCTGGTGCAAATAACGGGAAGCCTGCGCCGGCAATTGAACGAATGAAAGTGTTGATGGCGATGGCACTGTTGGAATAGAAGCCATAACAATCAATGATATAATTGATCCCTTGCTGTGACATGTCAGCCAAGCCAGAAGTTAGAAGGCAAACGCAACAAACCCAGAACGTCACTAGACATCCCATTCCGAGCAGAGCGGTGGCGAGCACCTGAGGCACCCAAGTAATGTGAGGATTGGACGTCCTGATGTCGGTTAGCGCTTAATCCGCACAGCACTTGAGCTTCACGACATACCAGGCGAACATGAAAAGGCCGATGGGGAGGACAGCGGCTCCAATGATCATCGGAGGTAAGCGTTCCTCAGGGACCACTTTGCCGTGCTTCTTGAAAGCTCTCGCAAAGTTGGTTCGGGTAGACCAAGCAATGACCCCGGTTCCCATTGCAATGCCAACAATGAAAGCCGCAAAAGGAAGCGAGCCGACCCCAGCGTTCCACCCGCGCTGTTCCTGGAACGAAATTGGATACGCTTCGAATAAAAGGTAGATGATGCCGTAGATGAAACTCATGTAGACCGTGATCAAGGCCAGGATTGGCTCTTGTGCAATCATAACAAATGGTCGGACGAGATAAATGCGCGTGATAGTCTCGAAGTCAACTCGGCTTTCGTCAGCCTTCGCATGTAGGGCCCAGTTCTTGGTCTCGTATCGGAGTCGCTTGGCTTTGATTTGCAGTATTCTGTTCGCCGAGGTCTCTGGAATCACGGCGAGTCCGATGCATCCGAATAGCGCTGCCATGATCAGGGTGATCCAGGCCGTCCAGCGCCAGCCGAGATGAGACTGAGTGACAAACCCGCCCATGATGGGTCCAGCCACAGGCCCGGTCTATTTCAATGTCAGAAACCGTCTAGCGCATGGAGGAGGATGACTTACGAAAGCTGCAGCCGCAAACACGCAGATACCATAAGCCCGCTCAAGAGGTTCCCAGATGTCGGCCATGGCTCCTCCTACAACAGCCAAAGGTGCACAAGCAGCAAGCCCTCCAAAGAAGCGACCGAGCATGATAGTTTCAACATTTCGAGCGACAGCGACAGGTATCTGAAAGATGGCGAAGATGAGGTAACCGGCAAAGAGTGGGACACGTCGACCGAAGACCTCTGACGCTGGTCCGAACTGTAGATCCACATCAGCCTATATCGATCCGGGAACAGCACCGACTCCTCGTGAAAACGGAACAGCCCGCTAGAGGCGAGAGAGACTTACGAACACAGGTCCTAGGACAAACCCGAGCAAAAACAACGAAACCCCAAGGGTCGAAGGGACGTAGCCAATATGGAACTCTCTCGCCACAGGTTCAATCGCAACAGCATAGATGCTGGGAAAGTGTCAGCGGGTCGTGGAACCTATCCGAGGCGAACAGGATTGTACCTGCTCGCGAACGTAACCACAAATGTCATCAAACCCATGGAAACAGTGATCCCCCACCGCTTGGCCTTTGACCAGTTCTTGGGGTTTTCTGGATCGTCTGGTCCATCGAATTCAACCAGGGAATTGTTGACGTCGACTAGCGATTTCGTTGGCACTGCTACATCAGGGCTTCCTTCATTTTCAACGTCTTTCTGCGAAAGAACGTCGCTTGCTGAATCGAGCGGCATGTGTCCTTTCTCAACCTCTGGATCATCATCCAGTGTGGCGGTTGAGGCTGAAGAAAATGGCGTTGGCGTTTGGGTTGCTGCACAGTCCTGCCCTTCCATTCCGGGTGGAAGATGGTCAATCGAGCTTGCAAAATTGTCGCCCTTCCATAGCAGCTGATAGCATCAAAGGGGTGTATATCAACATTCGGGAGTTGACGAAGTCTGCGATATGTCTCCTCTGCCAACAATCCTAGAGAGCGGCCGCATGGCGCTGGACTTAAGCGGTCCGAGATCGGCTATACGGCAGCAGTGTGTACGACGGGCTCGCCAGAAAATCGAATGTAAGCAAACTGAATCGGAAGTGATACGTCATGAGCTACTGCTTGCATCCCCAGTGATTGTAGCTTCCAGTAGATCGACTGTAGTGGACCAGACTCTCTTATGCATACACAGAGACACCGGAGACACGACTCTGGGGTTAGCAATGGCGACGAATATCGCTCGCTCTGTTGTGACCACCTGCAGCGCTTTGCCAGCAATTGAGATCAAAATTGTCCTTATCGTTCCTCACCAAGCTCGAGACAGCATTCTGGTCGCATTGGACAGCTCATTCCAAAGTGTATCAAACACCAGATGCCGGAACGAAGAGCGTGTTACGGCGCGGCCTTGCGATGGTGTTGTTGTACGATCAGCTCAGTGCATGGCGCAGCAAAACGCGTACCGATCTTGCGGACTTTATTTGCGCAGTCCTGGCGGAGTTACCCTAGCACCGCACAAGCATAAAGTGGACAGTGCAGTGAACTCCGTACTCCGTACGAGTCGGTGTCAGCACGCGATGAGATCACGCTTGGTGGGTTGCCAGACCTAGCGTTGTACTCCGTAGAACGTCTACTCTCTGGTGGAAGCTCGCAACGTTTATACACGCAATCTGCAAGCTTACAGGAAGGATGCTGTTTCTCTAGCATGAATGAGCAGTGATTCCAGAGCCTACTGTCACCTTGTCGGCGGTCGCATTGGCCGCAAGGCACTATCTGTTTCGTTCCCAAGGCGAGAACGACTAGTCATTCGCAGGCACAAGCACGGAACCCTCGATCGTAGGGCGAGGCGTTGTCCATTAGGTGGCTTGCGGGAACAGCTTGCTATACCTCACGATACACGTCGGTCCTCCTCTGCAGTGGGATGCTATGTCTCACTTGCTTGACTGCCTCGAGATCAATGTCAACTGTAAGAATGTCGGGTTCCCGAGCCTGCTCTTTCTCGTCTTCGACGTTCTCGACATGTTCCAACCGTCCTGCGATCCGCCCGTTTGGTGTAATGACGATGGTGTCTCCATAGCTCACACGCCTCCCGTTGTGTTTGCCGCACTGTGCAGAAGCGATGACCCAGCACTGTGTTTCGATGGCCCGACATCTCAGTAAAATCTCCCAATGGAGCTTTCCAGTTGGGACTGTGAAAGCTGAAGGATAGAGCAAGACATCGGCGCCCAGTCTGCGTAAACGGAGTGCTGGTTCCGGGAATCGTAGATCGAAGCATATCAAACTTCCGACCCTACCAAAGGGGGTGGAGTAGGGTTCCACAATCTCATTCCCCGGTTCAGTCGAGTCACTCTCCTTGAGCCTGGGGCCGGTTGGACGAAGATCAAGGTCGAAAAGGTGGAGCTTCTGGTATCTGTGGGCGATATTGCCTTTGTGATCAATCCATATCAGGGTGTTTCGGATTCGCTTTGAAGGGGGATTCGTGGGCTCGTGAATCCCCACGTTGATCGGTAAGGAATTCTCTTGCGCAGCTTCTTGCAGCCCCTGTACGAAGGGGCTCTCCGACACATCTTGACACAATTCGACCGACTCTGCTGGAGATGAAGCAATGTAGTCAGAGGCTTCGGGGAGGAAGAGGGCCTAGGAGACAGGTTTGCTCGTGAGGATCAGGTCGGTGTCTGGTCAAAGTGTACCCTAGCTGGCATCGAATGGACAGAATGCAGAGCCTACCTTGGCACCAGCAGCCACGGCTTTCTGCACTAGCTTCTGGCATTGGGCGAGATTATGTGACAGGGATGCACTGGAGCATATTTGACCGATAGCCTGGTAGAAGCTCGGTCAGCCATCGTCGGCTCGAAGCGCATGCTGTTGAGCATAGACTGAGAACAGCCATACAGCAAGCACCATGTTGTAGGGCCGAATCGAGGCGTTAGCCGAGGGGCAGAAGAAGTGTCTGAGATACGGGGGACAGGAGAGGGTCTCTGTCCATCCGACTCGGAGTAAAAGCTCTGCTTGCTCAGGTGTGAAAGCAAGCCACTGCTCGAAACATCCAAGCGCATCTCGGCACCCACTCGGTAGCCCCTTCCTTTTCAGGTTGTACAGTAATTACGGAGCATTTTCTCCGTACGGTCTCATGACCTCCAGCTCTTCCTTACTCCCTACACCGTACTGCCACATTGTGTATAATGCCAGCAAAGGTCCCTCACTCTCCCCGCCTCGGCGTCTCGCCACTCGTATCCACGGGTTCCCATATCGACACTGATCCCCGTGATCGAGCCCAATTGGCATCATCGCACGTTTCGTGCCTGTGCCGAGGTACTGGTGCGCATGCCTGGTGCCCGTGGATCAGACCCGGTCGTGCCAACGCAGTCAAGTCAGGCAATGAACCACGGCAAGCGAATGCTGCATGCCAGCCATCGTGGCCGAGGTCAATCAGTCTCCATGAAGTTCTCCTTCACGCTCTGGCATCAGCGTCATATGTGCACAGAAGTCTCGAGACAACAACCTATTGGTGTCTTCTCCAGGCCATGAACGGTACCCCGCCTTTCAAGCTTTCAACCCACGGATGGCTCTCAAACATTTGCGGGGGAGCGGGTCTCTCTTTCTTGACGCCATCATTCGGCGGGCGGACCGTGGACGGTTTGTACCAGAGGAGTGCCCCGTGCTATAAAGTCTGATTTTGAAGTGTTTCATCTGGAGTCCTCCTCTCCTTCCGTGCCCAGAAAGGAAACAGAACTCGGATTTTTCACCGGGTGATTGTAGCTCTTTAATCCATCTCATCATGGCTACAGTATCAGTCCCAAAACAGCAGAAGGCTGCTATCAAACAGGGCGAAGGGGCAGATTCTAAAGCACCTGTTCAGCAGATCGACGTGCCGACCCCTGGTCCTACGGAAGTCCTGGTCAAGATCAACTGGCATGTCGCTTACCCGGGTCGTCTGTCGTTACTAACAGCCAACCAGGACTGGACTTTGTGCTTCTGACAAGTCATTGATCAAGGATGAGTGGGCGTCATTTGGCCTGTCCATGAAGCCCGAGACAAAAGGCATTGCAGGCCACGAAGGTGCTGGTGTTGTCGTGGCCGTAGGAGACTCGATGCACCACAAATGGAAGGTTGGAGATCGTGCTGGCATCAAATGGGTCTGGAGTACCTGTGGCGAATGCGAGTTTTGTACAAACGGCGTCGACGAGCTGCATTGCCCCCAGCAGAAGAATTCTGGGTTTAGCGCCGCGGGAACTTTTCAACAATATGCCTTGAGCGACGGAAGATACACCACTCGAATCCCCGACGGCGTCTCTGATGAGGAAGCTGGGCCCATAATGTGTGGAGGCGTTACAGCATATACCGCTTGTAAGCGGAGTGCTGTAAAACCCGGCCAGTGGATAGTGAGTATGGTCGGCCGATCATTCGGAAACCATGCTGAAGAACAACTTCACAGGTGTTGCCTGGCGCGGGCGGCGGCCTTGGGCATTTTGCCGTGCAATATGCCAAAGCTATGGTATGTTCAAGCGTGCGGCTTTCTGCGTCCCACTCACGTGATGCTTTAGGGCATGAGGGTCATCGCCGTTGATGGCGGAGACGAAAAGCGCGACCTCTGCAAACGACTGGGCGCGGAAGAGTTTATCGACTTTACAAAAACTCAGGATATTTCCGCTGAGGTGACGAGAATCACGAAGTACGGCGCCCATGGAGTGATTGTGACTGCAGCAACCAAGGAGGCTTATGCGTCTGCTCCGGGATTGCTCCGTCCAGGCGGCACGGTCGTGGCCGTTGGCTTACCCAAGGATCCGACGGTGTTGGCGGGCGCTCCTCCCTTGCTGTTGTGCCTGAAAAAGTTGAATATTGTGGGTAGTGTGGTTGGGACATTAAAAGATGTAGAAGAAGCACTTGACTTTACCGCCCGGGGGCTGGTACACGTGAGTTGACACTGGCCAGATCCTCAGACCTGTTTACTGTACTGACCACAACCTTCCAGCCTATCTTGACCAAAGGAACCTTGGAAGACCTGGACAAGTATATGGATTTGATGGTTGCTGGGAAACTTGCAGGAAGAGCCGTGCTGAAGGTAACGTGATAGCCAAGGTGTGCGGGCAAGCTGAGCTATAGCAGAGAGCAAAGTGAACATGAAGCCGACAACACTGGTGATGTGATGTCACGATAGCTCGAATAATCCGATCGCTGAGCATCGACCGCTGGCTCGTGGCAGCCTGTTTGCAGTGAAGGGCATTTGTCGTTTGCTAAATATAGACCTGATCGACCCAAAGGCCTGTTTTTTCGACTTTACAAACCCCAGCTTCTTTTGAGTGCGCTGCCTTCTCCCCTAACATTATAGTAATTACGAGTAACTGAACTTGACGCAAGCAAGTCGATACAGTGACGATCTAGCAGCCGGTCACTTTGGTTCACTTCAATGGTATTGTCTCTACAAGCTCACCATCACCATCACCAGTCTGATAGTCTGCGCCCGAGAGCGAGGACCGCGAGTCGTACCCTGATTCTACATGCTAAGCGAGGAACATGGGTAGAAACTGTTTCGCGTTCGCTCGGCTTTGGAATCGACCAAAGATGTCCTTGCTGTGGAAGCGCACCCTTTACCCTCGGCGCTGGGACTGGCAGCTCCAACATGAGGAAGGCTCCGAGGAGGATTTCATAGGGAGTCCTAGCGAACGCGAACCCGGAGATCTATCAGCGCGACCTTCCAAAGGGCGTCAGGTGGAGCCAGCCTTTCCTGGAGGCAATGTTCCAGCAAGAGGCCGTCGGCGCGTAGAGGATCGAAGTCACTACAAGACCCGGAGATGGAAAGAAGCACAGCAACGACGCAACACCATCGGACTCTTCTTTACATGCGGAAGACTGAATCAAGCAGAATGGCATGCCACTGGTGCGTAGAGGAACGATCACCGCCAAATATTATGCTTTGTTGTTGCAGCATCTCTACCTTCTCTCAAGCGAACCTCGCCGAGAGACACGGTGCAGGCAAACCCTGTTGCCACTTGGACGCTTGCGCCATGCTCGTCTCTGCGCTCTTTAACACCGCCACTACTTCTTCCAGTTTGAATGTATAAAAATTCGCGCCATAACCAGAACAAGCCTTGACGCCGCCCAAGATATGTGTCCTTCGAAAACTGCGTGACCACGCTCGAAATAGCGGAACCCCTCCGGCCGACGGCGTCAGAAACGCCTGAACGCCTGGAAACCAACGCCGGTCCTACAAGCGTGTTGCTATTCTATACCATTACCAATTAACTTCATTGATTCCAAAGTCTCCCCGTTCGGAAGCGCCATCGTCTGCCGTATTTTCGTCCCATAATAGTGTCCACCACATCACCACGAGAACGTCATCAACGCTGGGTTCAACACTATTGGCAACAGCAGATGACTTACTATCACCGTACTCATCGGCAAAATCGCAATGAAGTCCTTGATCACCCAGTCATACGGTATATATCCACCCGGGTTCGTTGCCAGAACAATCATGCCAACGATGCCAAGAAGCGCAAATGCGATGCTGAACTTGAACTTGCGCACCACTTTGGGCACTTCGATGAAAAAGTTCGAGAACTCCGCTTCCTTGGAAGTGGCTCCCCACGTCATGTCGATCTCAAACATGTGTGCCAACAGTGCTTGGGATACGTGTAGTGACAGCCCGCCCAGGAAGATGGAGAGCATCACAATCCATTTGAAGTTCTCCATCAGTGCCGGAATGAATGATTTCTGACCAATGCGGTACCGCATGATTGCGAGAGCGGTGTTGCCTAAGCCATTGAAGACAATGACAATACTGAACCACACTTTCCAGGAGTCGATGGAGTACTTGTCTAAGTAGCCATTGAACCAACCGATTGCAAAGTAATTCGCTAGCGTCATTATCCAGGCCGCTCCGATCGCGTAATAAGTGCCAATATAACTGATGATGGTGATTTTTGAAGTAAAGCGGATGTTCGAAAACAGGAACCGTCGAAAAAGCTCGGTGAAAGGACCTTTGTAAATCCACTTCCGCATCGGATGGAACAAGAGTTCGTTACAGCCATAGGCATACTTCTCCCATCGAGCGAGTTCGTCGTAGACTGTCAAACTGACACCTTCTTTGAAGCCTCCATGCGCCCAAGATGCCAGTCTGATAATGTAGCCGTCGCATTGAAGTCGTAGGGACATATCGAAATCCTCACTCACGTGTGACTCGGACCAGAACTTTTCGTAGCCATCTTCGTCCGTGTAGGAAACTTGCTGAATGGCACTCCATCGCAGGACCGCATTATGGCCGACAAAGGGTGCAACATCTCCGTTGGCGACAGTGTATTCGATGGCGGTGTATATCAGGTTGGTGAAGAAGGTGATGCCGTTCTCAAAGAAAGTGTGCACGACTTGCATGACGCCAGACGCGAATTGCATGATTCCAACATTAGGCGACTGCTCCATCTCGCTCACAGCATCGAGCAAGCAGTCCGCTGGCACCCGCGTATCGCTGTCGATGAGCAAGATATAGTCTCCCATTCGAATGTTGCCTTCGGCCCAAGCACGCGGAGTCTCCTCGAGGACCTCTTGCAAGCATTGGTCATAGGCTTCCGCTTCGTCATTCTGAGTCCAGGTAGAGCTCCGATGAAGCCTTTGCAGCTTCTCCTCCACTTTGCATGATAGCATTAGCCCGTAATTCATGTTGGATGCCTTCTTGAACTTTCCCTTCCGGACGAACCCTTCACTGCCGTGTTTGGGACGAGCTGTCCACCCAATGTTGTGATCTTGGTAGAACTCAATTCGAGCCTTTCGCTGTTCATCGTCAATGATCTGAAGGCCGTCATCATTGATAAACATGTTTGCCGTGCCGCCTTGCAGCTCATACGTCGATATGGCCTGTTTGATCGATTTAACCGTCGGTGCAATGACAGAGCCAAGTCCTTCTTTGTAGACGGGGCACTGGATCGTGACATGTGGTAGGATGGGTGTTCGCAAGCGAGGAGAGCACTTGGCCGAAAAATATTTCGAGTTGAGTTGCATTTGCCGCACCGGACCTAGACATTGCGCGACGCAGCCAACAATAACCTGAGCGAAGAACTGAACCTTCATCAGCAATGCTCAGTAAACGGGAATAAGACTTACTAGAGTAAAGAAGATCTGTACAGGAACCAAGGCGAGAAAAGCAAGGCGAGTGTATGAGCCATCAACTGCGATCTCAGTAGCCAGAGATCGACAGGCTAGGCCGAGCAACGTAACAACAATGATTAATGTAAAAGCGACAAGAATGGTGTTCATCAAGTTCGTGTGCCTGTCGTCCAGCATGGTTTCTCCAGATTCGTAGTCGAGTGAGATTCCGCCACCGCCTTCTTTCTCCTTGGCGACGCCGTCATCGTCTCCGACTTCGGCAGTATGCCAGACAAGCTCCATCAGTTCCGACTCGATGCTCTTTGCTCTTTTCATGACATTTGATGGATCGTCATCCCAAACCACCAGGAGCGACTCCGTGGCAATGAAAGCTGCAAATTGGTACTTCCGTGCTCGTGGCAGGTCGGTAATTGTGGGCAGAACCTGGACTCGGAGTCCGTTCATGAGAGGAACATCTGTCGCTTCAGGAGCCCAGGCCAAGAAAGTCTTGATGACTCTGGAATTCACCGTCATAGCGACCTTTTGATTTGTGTAAGAGTAGCTCTGGCTTCTGCGATGGGTCAGCTTACCTGCACGTTCAGCTCGGCACAAGCTTGAGCCAACTGCGAGCTTCGGAGCTCATGCGGACACGACAGGTATTGACCACGAGATTTTCGAAGCAAAACACCCTCGATTTCTCCACTCCCGTCGCTCACCCATAGGCGAGAGCATTGTTGCTGATAAAGGTGGTTGACCATCACCTCATGCTTGATGTCCTCGAAAGCGCTCCGAACGCTACGTGTCGATCTCCCTCCAATGGATGCAGCATCGCTCTGCGCCGGCGAGTTTTTGAGGTGAGGCGATTGGTGATGCAATGAGCCGTGGGTGAGAGGCGAAGCCGGAGTAGAGATATCCTGATGGACGAGGATGCTCGGTGAGGCGACCTGCAGAATCGCCTTCTGCTTGGGACTCATCGCATAGGGCAAATCCCACTGAATGGGGTATGCAGAGTATGACACTGAAGTAATAGAGTATGTGGAAGAAAGTCGGAAAAAGAGAAGATGGACACACTGAACTCCAAGGAAAGAGACGACGGGGATTGGGTACAAACTCCTCGTCAGCCTGAGACATCCGAATCAGCCATATATGGTCTCGACAGTTTGCCGCCAGCAGACCTGAACGTCATCAAGGACGAGCCGAGGGGCCGAGATTGAGGCTGCAGTAGTTCCACAGACGTGATATTGCCTGTGAAGAAAGTTGCGGCTTTCCACAATGAGAGCGAGCTTCGAGTATCCAGCAGTGGGCACCCATGTTCCACCCCAAGGCTATCGATTCTCATCGTGAGTGCTTTTGAATATCGATCAAAGAAGTGGGCCTCCAACGAGGCCTCGCTATATTCGGATCTGCTGGGGGTCAGAGATTTGGTAGCGACGTGGAAGCCTCTCCGGCTAAGAGTGGCTCGAGAGGTCGACAGTGGAAAGCGGTCCAGGATGTCGCCGGTTTACGGTCAGGTTGGAAAGTTCCGGCTAAGAGTGGCTCGAGAGGTCGACAATGGAAAGCGGCCCAGGATGTCGCCGGTTTACGGTCAGGTTGTAGAGTCCCAGCTGTTCGGAACAACAAGGTGTCAGTGGGCCAGACGGTTGAGAGGAGGACGACAGGTCACATCTCCTGACAGATTTCTTGACGCGGCACCAAAAAAAATTTCCTATTACGGTTAGTCCGGGCTCGTCTCCAACCGCTGCAAGGGCAACACGCTCGACAACAGCCCTCGCATTAACATTGGAACTGGGCCTCGCCCTGATGCATGATGCTGTACAACCCCCGCCAGATCGGCCCACGAATCCTTCCCAAAACATAGATATACACTCTCCGACGAGGTCAGAATCCCTGCCGAATGGCAAGCCAATGCAGGGGTTTGCCCCAAATGAATACACCCAGAGATAGGTGGCTGCTTCGGCCTGTATCCTTTTGCACTCGGTGGAGCCATTGCTATGTCTTATCGAGGAGATTCTCCTGGCTAGAGGTTGAGAACTGCGGAGTGTCGGACGCGTGGTTAGGTCTTGATTGACCACATGCTGAGACATCAGGAATCGGGCCAAGACAGCTCATCTTCTCAGCTTGGGTAATTGTGCGCCTCCCCAATACCGTGGTTAGGCAGGAGCGGCGCTCAATCTGCCGCTATGCCTCTTCGTATCCATAATAGTGTTCGGAAGGCCAGGCATCGATTTATCGACAGTTGTCGAACTCTTTCTCGTCCGTGCCTTGGATCTCCCGCCTCCTTTGGTTTAACTGACCTGTGCTCGTGAACGACAACTTATTGTCACTAAAATACCGACACACTTTTCTCGTCCAAGTTATTCCAGGACCGACACCATCATGAGCACAGAAATGACGCCTCGGGCTGGCTCGCCTGATTCCATGACAACTGATGCTTACAACCACGAGAAGCCTATCAACCCTTTTCTTACACCTTATGCATCTAGAGATCCTTCAAGAGCGGCATCATCGGCTGTACTGAGCCATCCTCTCCAAAATCAGAGATACTTCCATAGCCGCCGGGTAAAGAAAGGAGAAGTCGAGAGGCCGTGGACAAAGGTCAAAGATCCCCGGGAAAAATGGGTAACAATCATTCCACTCATTGGCCTTGCTATTGGATTAGCCCTGGCCGGCTTCCTCGTGTGGGATGGCCTCCGAACCGTGGTGAACCACAAATACTGCCCTGTGTACATGGATGATTTTTCTGGAGGACTTGATTCAAAGGTCTGGACCAAGGAGGCGGAGGTGGGAGGTTTTGGGAACGGCCAGTTCGAGCAAACCACAACCACAGAGGAGAACGTCTTCGTGCGGGATGGAATGCTCCACATCAAGCCGACCCTCCAGGACCCCAAGCTGATCAAGATCGACAACATCATTGATCTGCGACAGGGTGGAATATGCACCTCTTCGCTGTGGAGCAATTGCCTAACAAGCACCAACACGACCAATGGGACCATTGTCAATCCTGTCAAATCCGGGCGGATTCACACAAAGAAGGGGGCAGTGATCAAGTACGGCCGAATAGAGGTCGAAGCTAAGTTGCCAGAAGGTGACTGGTTGTGGCCGGCAATCTGGTTGCTTCCTGTGGAATCCAAGTATGGTGTGTGGCCTGCCTCTGGCGAGATTGATATTATCGAGTCCCGAGGCAACAACCATACTTACCCGCAAGGAGGCAACAATATTGTGTCGAGTGCACTGCACTGGGGCCCCAACACAGCAAACGACGCTTGGTGGAGGACCAATGTCAAGCGAAACGCTCTTCATACGACTTTTGCCAAAAAGTTCCACACCTTCGGCCTGGAGTGGTCGGAAAAGTACATCTTCACATATATCGACACCCGGTTGCTTCAAGTCTTGTATACAAACTTTGACACACCACTCTGGGGCCGAGGTCGCTTTCCACAATCCGATCAGAATGGCACGCTCATCGTCAACCCTTGGGCCACTGGCTCTGCATCTGCACCATTCGATCAGGATTTCTATCTGATCCTGAACGTCGCGGTTGGTGGGACAAATGGGTGGTTTGAGAATAGCAAAGCCGGCAAGCCTTGGGCGGATGGCAGCGCGAGCGCGAGACTCGACTTCTGGAACGCGCGCGACACATGGTATCCGACGTGGAAGGACGGTGGACAGATGTTGGTAAAGAGTGTGAGAATGTGGCAGCAGCAGGGACACAACGGATGTGACTGATCAGTTGGCGCATGCGAGTGGTTACAGTGGCTCTGTGTCAAAGAGCCGGATGGATTGTTGGTGGCAGGTGCCCCTGATCCTGCCTGACGGGTACCATGAGTCAGCCAAGGCACAGCCCCCGACTTATTGGCAATGTGCACTTGTAGGTGTATACAGATCCTGACAGATATTGCTAATACGAGAAAACGTTGTCGCTAGGCAGGAGTGGAGGGATTAGATGTGACTGGGAAGGTTATCCGAAGGGTTACGGTAGCCAGACGGTGCTAAAGGCTGTAATGGGCTATATACCCCTTATTGCACGATACCGTGTTATTTACATAGGCCTCCGTAACTATATAGCTGGGTCTTTACCCAGAACCCTCTGGAATTCATTATGTCCTCCAATTAAGTCACATTGATGTAGATTGGGGTCCTCGTGACGTGGATACTCAATCCCTTGCACCCTGATCGTGCCTGATCTAGGTGCTGATCAATTAATATGACAGCTACCTACGATGTTGGGTACCACGCGGATGAAAGATATTACATTCCGACTCTCTGACAGTGCACTGGAGTTGTGGATCATTTTAACACGCACCCTGACAGTGAACATGGGGTTCCGGATTACACTTTTGCCCCCGTGCGGGACGATCGAGATCTATGTACAACAACCGTGGCTCGAAAGCTGCTCAAACCAATTTCATCAAACCTTCGAGATTGATGCTCTTAGGTCGCTCAATCGGCATGCCCAGAGCGCGATCCCAGATGAGTTGTGCCAGTGGACCAAGACCTCTGCTGACACCAAATGTGACAGTGTAGTACAAGGGATCTCTGAAGCCGTAATGGTGGAAGAGTACACCCGATGCACTGTCCACGTTGGGGTGGGGATTCTTCGTCTTGCCGTGCTCGGTCAGCACGCCTGGCGCAATCTCACTGTTCTTCTTCACTAGCCGGTAGACAGGGTTCTTCGCAATGTCTTCACGAGCGTCACCAAAGTCAATCAACGCCTTGAACCGAGGATCGGGCTTGCGAAGCACCCCGTGACCGTAACCCGGCACGACTTGACCCGAACGCAGGGTAGACCAGAGGTAGTCCTTCACGTCCTGATCGGAAAAGTCTTCTCCGATATGAGACTGCATCTTCAAGATCCATCGGAGCACTTCCTGGGCAGCGAGACCGTGCAAAGGGCCCGCCAAACCCAATAAGCCAGCAGAGTACGACAAGAAGGGATCGGATAGCGCCGACCCTACAAGGTGAGTGGCATGAGCTGAGACGTTGCCGCCTTCGTGATCGCCGTGAAGAGCCAGGTAGAGACGGAGCAAGTCCTGGAATCCTTCGTTCTCCTTGCCTGGCTTACCAAGGAGCTTCGCAAAGTTGTAAGCCCAATCCTGATCCTGATCCAGCGGCATGTCGAGAGCAGCTTTGTCGAAGATGGCTGCGGCGACACGGGGCAATTTGGCCAACAGGCTGATGCTGTCATCAAAGGTAGGCTCCCAGTACTCTGCCTTGTTCAAGCCTTCTGCATACTTCTTCGCGAACGCAGACTCGGTGTTGAGGGCGGCAACAGCACATGACAGTTGGGTCATGGGGTGAACATTCTTGTCGAAAGAGCGGAGCATAGACACGACGTGGGAAGGGAGCTCTGATTTCTCAGCCAACTCGCGCGACAAGGCGCGAACTTGGGCCGTCGAGGGGACTTTGCCGGTCAATAGGAGCCAGAACATGGCCTCGGGCAGCATCTCTGTTCCAGAAGTACCCTTGGGAAGCTCGTTCTGACAGTCGGCGATGGTTCGGCCATGGAAACGGATACCCTCGTTGGCATCCAACACGCTCCCCTCCCAGACCATGGACTTCATTGTCCTCATACCGCCAATGACTTGGCCGATGGTGATGTCACCAATCTTCTTGTCGGCATGGCTCTTGACTTGCTTCAGCAATTCTCTCTTCTCGGGAATGACCGACTGGAGGGTGGCCTTGAGATCAGGCTCCGCAGAGGAAGCGTAGGCGCGGGCTGCGAAGGAGGCGTACGGCCGGGCTGAGGCAGCCCGAAGGGTTCTCAGAGCATGTTGGGTGGTTCTGGTCGTCGTGGCCATAGTGACCAGCAACTAAAAATGGCTCAATTACTGCTGAGAAGGACTGGTTTGCGTTGTGCGGGGCACGGTCAATGCGTTGGAGTGAGAGAGGGACGAGAGTCCTGTTTTAGTGAGAGGCAGGCAGAGAAGTTAAGAGGGGGATGAAGGAAGAAATGTGAGAGCTGTACAGCTCAAACTTTGAGCCTTTCCACAAATTGTGAACTCGGCGTACCATTGTGGAGGAATGGAAAGGCGCATTTTCGGCGAGCAGCTCTCGTCCCAAGCATGACCGCGCCTAGCCGAGGCAGTTCAGCCTTCCCCATTTCCATTAAGCCGGGATAGACCAATTGGGCCGCTCCGGAGTCGGTCGCTTAGGGAGCCGGCGTCGGAAAAGGCTGCCTTTCCCATATTCCTCCCAGTGAGTTCGACCCCTCGGCGTCGTCCGCCAGGGACCAACTGCACATTCTTGATTTGTGACAAACCAGCCCTAAAGTTGTTAAGCCGCGGAAACGAGGGCGGTGTTTGTGTTTTATGATCAAAGCAGTCGGTGACATTTCATCCTCCATGGCTGCTTAGCTCTTGAGATAATGTGTACAGTCCTCTAACGTCACGAACAATGCTTCGACGAGTGCCCAGGAGCTTGCCCAGGCTCGCGACGAGTCCTGTGATAAGGTCAATAGCAGCAAAACCGTTAAGCGCCGTGATTTCACGCTTCATGTCCTCGTTACCAGCAGTACAGCCCCCAGTCTCTGGCTCATTCCCCGCAGACTCCTTCCAACTGCTCTCGACCGAAGGGAAGGCCGGAGATGCAGAAGACATTCTGTTCCAACAACAGGTGGAAGACGTAAAGAAATGGTGGGCATCGCCAAGGTACAAGGGTATCAAGAGGCCTTACACCCCGGAAGATGTGGTTACCAAAAGGGGGGCGTTACAACAACAATACCCGAGCTCGCTCATGGCCCGGAAGCTCTTCAACCTGCTTGCAGAAAGGGCAGCCCAAGGGAAGCCAGTACACACAATGGGAGCCATTGATCCGGTGCAGATGACACAACAGGCTCCCAACCAGGAAATTCTGTACATCTCCGGATGGGCGTGCTCCTCAGTCCTAACGACGACAAATGAAGTATCAGCGGATTTTGGCGACTACCCATACAATACCGTCCCGAACCAAGTCCAGAGGCTTTTCAAAGCCCAGCAGCTGCACGATCGCAAACACTACGACTTACGAAGGAAGATGTCTGCCGCCGAGCGGAAGAATACCCCCTACATCGACTACATGAGACCGATAGTGGCTGATGGGGATACTGGACATGGTGGCCTCTCTGCCGTGATCAAGCTGGCCAAGCTCTTTGCCGAGAACGGTGCCGCCGCTGTACATTTTGAGGACCAACTCCACGGGGGCAAGAAATGTGGTCATTTGGCCGGCAAGGTGTTGGTGCCGGTGGGTGACCATATCAACAGACTGGTTGCCGCCAGATTCCAGTGGGACCTGATGGGCACCGAAAACTTAGTCATAGCTAGGACAGACTCCGAAAGCGGAAAATTACTGTCCAGCGCTATTGACGTCCGAGATCATGAGTTCATCCTTGGTGTGACAGAAGACACGGAACCGTTAGCCGAAGTCCTGCAGGAGATGGAAATCAACGGCGCGACCGGCCCTGAAGTGGACAAATTCGAGGCCGAATGGGTGAAGAAACACAAGCTGGTCACGTTTGACGAGGCTGTCGAAGCACATATCAAAGCTGAGGGTGGGGATGCATCCGGATATCTTGCTAAAACCAAATCAGATCGCAACATGTCCCTCACCAAACGACGCCAGCTGTCCTCGGAATACAGCAAGTCGCCTGTGGTCTGGTCTTGTGACGTTCCACGCACGAGAGAAGGGTTCTATCACTATCGAGCAGGGCTACCCGCGGCGACAAAGCGGGCCATCGAATTTGCCCCGTATGCCGACCTTCTCTGGCTGGAGACGGCGGACCCCAACGTGAAGAAGGCTGCCGGATTTGCCAGGGAAATCCGCGAGAAATATCCAGGGAAGCAAATGGTTTACAATCTGAGCCCATCATTCAATTGGATGGGTCAAGGTTTTGACGATGCATCACTGAAATCCTTTGTCTGGGATTTGGCCAAGGAAGGATTCGTACTTCAGCTTATCTCTCTTGCGGGACTCCATTCCACGGCCACTATCACTCATGAGCTTTCGAAAGGGTTCAAGGAAGATGGGATGCTAGCCTACGTCAAGCTGATACAGAGCCGAGAGAAAGAACTTGGTGTGGACGTCTTGACTCACCAGAAATGGAGCGGTGCCCCCTACATTGATGGCATCATCGGAGCTATCCAGAGTGGCAGCAGTTCCAGTAAAAGTATGGGCGAAGGAAACACAGAGTCTGGTTTTTGAAAGCTTGGAAACATACCTCTGTATCTCTACGCTTCAGACTCGGTTCGGTCAATCTGGAGGTGACGGGGCACATCCGACTGCGGTGACACGATCGGTCAAAGGCTGTATAGATTCGCCAAAAGTTATTTGACATCCTACAAGATGCTAGATGAGGTACGAGTCGAGTACCGAGGACATTCGTGGGCGTCGTTCCTTTGTGCTACTCATACACAGCATGCATCCCTTCGGCTACAGCCGCTTAGTCAGTTCCCATCGAAAGGACTGATGGGGATTGGCTCGATTGGTGAGGCGCTCGGCGCCGGTGGAACTGTTGCAGACGCCAATACTGGAGCTTATCGATAAAAATTTCTGTACTCCGTAAGGCTGAGGAAAAACTGTGACGCAGCAGTTGAAGGCGCGGGCTGATTCAGATTTTGTCTCATAGGCTGCAGGCTCAGATCCTCTCAAATGCCCCCCCTCCATCGGGGATATTTCTTAGAGAAAGTTTTTGTACCGAAGCATTGTGCTTTCATTGACTCCCTCCTCGTTTTTGGGCTGCTGCGGCACCGGGGACACAAGTACTTGTCGTAAAGTGGCGGGCGCAGAATCCTCACTCTTCTCTTTTCAGTTTTCAACCTACACACCCCGCGCCGCGGCTCGCACTGCGCGACATCTTTGGCATGCCACATCTTGAGAGTCCTCCCTCGCCTTCCGCCATGGCCGCGCCTGTCGTTCCTTCCAAGTCTGGGTTCTCAGGAGTCGCTGCGACGACAGAAGAAGTGAACAACATCTTGAGGACGATCCTGGACACCGATTCAGCTCAGGTATCCCTCGACGCCGCTTACGCGCTCACAAATCTACTTATCCAGTCAATCGGCATTCGAGGCCTCCTTTCCTACAACCTGATACCGGAGATTAAGAGAGCGGCAGCCGACAAGAAGAATGGCTCAAAGCGAGAAAGTGCCATGTTTGTTCTGGGTGCCATGTTTGAGCGATTTCCCCGCGAGCAGCCCCTCAGTGAAGTCGTCTTCCTTGTTCAAGACGGTGGCCTGTTCAGTCTCGTCCTCGACGGGTTGGCGGACAAAGGCTCTTCGGTTCGTGAGTCGGCGCAATATGCTGTCGACGAACTCTTCAAGAATCTTTCGCCCGAGGCCATGGTTGTCGGCCTTCTTCCAGCCCTGCAACAGTACCTGTCCAAACCCACTGGAAAATGGCAAGGAACTGTTGGCGCATATCAACTATTAGGAAAAATGGCGGACAAAGCACTAATTGGCACCGCTCCGAAAGAGGAGGAACTGGCCAAGGATGTGCTGAGAGAGTCGATGGGCAAGACGCTAAAGGATCTCATTCCCATTGTTGAGGGCGGTATGCACGACTTGAAGCCGGAGGTTGCCAAAGCCGCTACCAAAACCATGACCTCTCTTACAACGCTCCTCCAGAACGACGATGTCGCACCTCGGATACCCCTGCTCATCGAAACCATGAAGAACCCCTCGGCGCAAACGCTCCAAAAAGCCATTCATGCGCTTTCTCAAACCACCTTTGTCGCCATCGTGACTTCACCAGTCCTCGCCCTCCTCACACCGTTGCTCGAGCGGTCTTTGAATACTCCTACCACGACGCAAGAAGTCCTTCGACAAACTGTGGTCGTCGTCGAGAACTTGACCAAGCTGGTCCATGATCCGATCGAAGCTAGAACCTTCTTGCCTAAACTGCAACCTGGAGTGCAAAGAGTCAAAGACAACGCCTCATTGCCCGAAGTCCGCGAGTTGGCCACAAGAGCTGTGAACGTCATGAAAAAGGCCATGGGTGACGATCAAGACGGGGTCACAAACAGTCAAATCGCAAGGACAACCACCGACGACGTTCTTAAAGTACTTGACAGCCAGATCCGAGCACAGGGAGGTCTGCAAAAGGAGGATATGGTAGTCTGGAAACAAGGCCAGAAGTATGTCTCAGAAATGGTCAAAGAAGATGTCAACGCCCGTGTATTTTCTCGCATCCCAGCCCAAGTCGGTCCCTACCTCAGATACATGATGCCCGAGCAGCATTGTACAGCGATCGCTGAGGGCATTCGAAAGCATTTCCTCGAGGAAGATCACAAAAGATTCGGCGCTCCCGTTATCGAGGATCCAAATGAGGTGGAGATTGTGAACGCGGAGTTCTCCCTGGCTTATGGTGGCATGCTGCTGTTGTCTCACACCAACCTACGCCTCCTGAAGGGCCATCGCTACGGGCTCTGTGGCCGCAATGGCGCCGGCAAGTCTACTCTAATGCGGAGCATTGCCGAAGGGAAGCTGGAGGGCTTCCCTCCCAAAGATGTCTTGAAGTCATGCTTTGTTGAGCACAATCAGGGCGAAGACGCGGATATCACCATCCTGGAATACGTGGCCAAGGATCCCGAGATCGCCAAAGAGGGACGCGAACGCATCTCAGAGGTCTTGAGCGAGGTCGGTTTCACTGCTGGACACGAAGGAAGACAGTCTCATAAGGTCGGCTCGTTGTCTGGAGGTTGGAAGATGAAGTTGGCATTGGCAAGAGCTATGCTCATGCGTGCCGACGTATTCTTGCTTGATGAACCGACCAACCACCTGGATGTTGCTAATGTCAAGTGGCTGGAGGGGTATCTCCAGACACATACCGAGATCACGTCGCTTATCGTATCCCACGACTCGGCCTTCCTCGACGCAGTCTGCACCGATATCTACCACTACGAGAACAAAAAGCTGGTTCATTATCCTGGCAATCTTGCCGCGTTTGTCAAAGTCAAGCCTGAAGGCAAGAGCTACTACACGCTGTCTGCCTCTCAGGTCCAGTTCAAGTTCCCTCCTCCTGGTATTCTGAGCGGGGTCAAATCCAACACCCGCTCGATCATCAGGATGACAAATGTCAGCTACACGTATCCGGGCGCATCAAAGCCTAGTTTGACGGATGTGTCGTGTCAACTGAGCTTGTCGTCCCGAGTGGCAATCATCGGCGCCAATGGCGCCGGAAAATCGACCTTGATCAAGTTGCTGACCGGTGAGACCATCCCTCAAAGTGGCAAAGTCGAGAAGCACCCCAATCTCCGTATTGGATACATCAAGCAGCACGCCCTTGAGCACGTGGAGATGCATATGGAGAAGACCCCGAACCAGTACTTGCAATGGAGGTACGCCAATGGCGACGATCGAGAAGTGCTCATGAAAGCTACCCGGCAACTGACCGATGAGGACCGGGCTCAACTGGACAAATGGATTGACCTCGGAGACGGCAGAGGCGGAAGGCAGCTCGAAAATTTGATTGGGCGACAAAAGTACAAGAAAACATTCCAGTATGAAGTGAAGTGGAGAGGAATGCTTCCCAAGTTCAACAGCATGGTCTCCAGAGAGACGTTGCTGGAATGGGGTTTTCAGAAGCTAGTCCAGGAGTTTGATGATCACGAGGCGTCGCGGGAAGGTCTCGGGTACCGTATCCTTGAGCCCAAGGTCATTGCAAAACACTTTGAGGATGTTGGCCTGGACCCGGAGATTGCGAACCACAATGAGATCTCCGGCTTGAGTGGTGGCCAAAAAGTCAAAGTGGTGCTGGCCGGTGCTATGTGGAACAACCCTCACCTGCTCGTGCTGGATGAGCCCACCAACTTCTTGGATCGCGACTCCTTGGGCGGTCTTGCCGTTGCGATCCGTGACTACAAAGGTGGTGTTGTCATGATCAGTCACAACGAAGAGTTTGTTGGGGCTCTCTGTCCGGAGCAGTGGCACGTCGCCGACGGCCGGGTAACGCACAAGGGCCACCTGGCCATCGACCTCAATCGGTTTGAAGACTCGCGGCCAGGCTCGAGCAACGTCTCCTCGGCCGTTTCGAGTGCTACCGCATCCGCAGTCAACTCTGGAGCGGAAGATAACAGCGAAATGAAGTTCAAGGCCAAGAAGAAGAAGAAGCTTACGCGAGCTCAAATGAAGGAAAGAGAAGTGCGGAGGAGATTGAGGCATATCGAGTGGCTGAACAGCCCGAAAGGCACTCCTCATCCACCAGACACGGATGATGAAGCATAAGGGCAGACGCCAGAGCAACTGATTTGAGATGCTGGGGAACATAGCGTTGGCGTCAACACGAATAGACGGATATGGGATGTTTGTCGGCATGAAGATACGCATGATAGACTAGTTAGAGGTTTGAGTTTGTTCTTGTGGGAATCGACATAGCTTGGGTAGCGCCTGACCGAGAACGACAAGAGGCCGAGATATACACTTCTGTCACTCTGTGACCGACTGATTATGCCGATAAAATTGTGAGCCCTTGGTGTTTAGGAGTCTCATTTCCTCGTGCCGAGACATGTCAGCCAGCAGGGCTGCCTCTTCCAGGTTTGGAGCAATTGATTTAAGGTCTCGTCAATATTCAGCTGAAAGGTGATGACACGATTCAATGAACAAGGGGCGAATTGGCTTCACTGAGTAGGCTTCTACCTCATAACGCCAGTCATGGCCGGTTATCGTCGGCATTTGCGCATTGGGGATGACGTTGATACCGGTTATGGTTTTCTTGACGATCATGATGCGAGGTACGAGGGAAAGTTTGGAGAAGCACTTTCTCGAATTGATTACCGGTCATTGAACAGAGACATCCACAATCTGTACTATTCTGCCCCAGCAAAGAATGTTGGTTCTCTTACGCCCTGACGCCCTCTCTTAGCTGCACACACGATGAGCGCTCCGACAGAACCACAACCCAGCACATCGACCACAAGCTCCTCCACAGCGATGAAAGCGCCCTCCTCCATTCAAGTGAACCCCCAGCGCGCCGCTGTCCTCGTCCAGAACCTCTCCGCTATCCAATCCCGCATAGCCAGCACACTGTCCTCCCTGCCTTCGCCTCAGTCGGCCCGCCAGGTCCGCCTCGTTGCAGTCTCCAAGTTGAAACCGGCCTCGGATATCCTCTCGCTGCACTCCCCGCCGCCCTCAGACGCTCCCACCGCCGTTGACGGCCATCAGCACTTCGGAGAAAACTACGTGCAGGAACTCCTCGAGAAGTCTCGACTCCTGCCCCGCACGATAAAGTGGCATTTCATCGGTGGGTTGCAGTCGAATAAATGTGCTCAGCTGGCGAGGGAGGTGGAAGGGCTGTGGGCTGTAGAGAGTGTCGACAGTGAGAAGAAGGCCGGCCTACTTGACAAGGGCCGGGGAGAGCGGAATCAAAGGCTACACAAAGAGTTCGGCGACGAGTGGAAGGCCGAGTGCGAGCGGCACGGGTGGCAAGACAAACTCAGGGTGTTTATCCAGGTGAACACGAGTGGGGAGGAGAGCAAATCGGGCTTGGAGCCGGGGTCGGCCGAGTTGGTGTCCCTGGCCAAGTTGATCAGAAGTGAATCGTCCTGTCCGAACCTGCACCTGCAGGGCCTGATGACCATCGGGGCAATTGCTCGGTCCAGGGCTACGACGAAAGAAACGGAGAACGAGGATTTTATTACGCTCCGCACAACGAGGGACAAGATCGCAGAAGAGATTGGCCTCACCAACAAGGAAGAGCTCGAGCTGAGTATGGGCATGTCGGAGGATTTCGAGTCGGCGGTGCGGCTTGGTAGTGATGAAGTGAGGGTCGGAAGTACGATTTTTGGAGAGAGGCCAGCTAAGAAGGATGCGAAGGTCATAGAGGACACCGAGACGGAAAAGAAATGAGCTACCTCAAAAGCCGAGTCATGAGCTGGATTCCAGCCATGCTCGGTGGATTACAAAGGCATGTGCGGTAGTAGGTGCGCAAGGACCGCGATGCCCAGTATATGCTTCCCTGCATAGATGATGCTGCTCGCATCAGTAACACGCTAACACCACGACGCACAATGCTGGAAATTCGATGGAAGGAAGGATCTTCATCTCCAGAAGCTGCGCTACCGAAGTCACACAGGAGATCCTTTTGCGAGCCGCTCTTGCATTTGGTCGAGCAGGATCCGGGGTATGTTTTCCTGCGTCGCACGGATTGTTAAGCGGAACATCTGCGAGCAAAGTCAGTCACAAGCCATCAACAGATACTGTTGAAGAAGCTTAGCACACACCTTCTGCTGATGATTTGGCTCCAACCTCAACAAGCACCCCGTCTTTCCCTTCTCTAGCTGCAATACGGCACATCCGACAATGTTCTTTGGGTTGGGATCGACGTTGTCCAAAATCCGCCACCGGAAGCCTGCAACAGTGTCGCGGACGAACTTTTCATCCATCCCCGCAGATGGGCTGCGCAGGCCAAATGTGCTCTGCGCCTCAAGCGGCCCAGCACCGATCTGCTTCCATCGTTTGAAGAAATCTTCTGCTGAAAGCTCCGATGGATCCATAAACCTGTGGGCAAGGATAGGAAGTTTTAGCGTGTACCCTTGAAGTGCACCGGCCAGATAGGAGATGCGGATCGTGGGTGACTCAGAGAATGGCGCGACCGAGGTGCAGACCACAGTCTGCTGGGCCTGCGAACCGGCGTCAATACTAGACTCAGGCAGGCTCTTCGTATCAATTTTGAGATTGGGTGCTGATTTGTTGTCGAGCGTTGTCGTGAATGAGCCGATGGAGAATGATGCTTTGTTGGTGAAGTAGAGTTTGATCACGCCTAGATGGCCGCGATACTCTGCCCGAATGCCAACCTGAATCTGCGGATCCTCATATAACACGCCTTCATTGGCGAAGAACATTTGCTCGTATCCCATTTCCCAGTCCGGAGAGAGATGAGCGGCGCTGGCGAGGTTGGGCATGGCCGCATCATTGCTATGGCCATTCATATCCAACCCTTCCAGATCCTTTGCGGCGCTCGCGGTTCCATTTTGTCCATTCTGTGCAAGGTTTGCTGTAGGACCGGCTGTGCCATTTGTGCCATGTGGAGTCACGCCCGTTCCATTGACGATGGTGGTAAAGCTCCGTTTCAGGCCAGTCTGCTGGGCGAGAAGGACTTCCTTTTCGTCTGCGTTGGCATCTTTGCCACCGACGACCCAAGTTCTTCTCTCGCTAGTCCCCGCACTCTTCTTGTGTAATCTTTGGAGAAGAATCGAGGTTCGTTCTGAGAATGGGGGCATCTCATCGCAGACTGTGCGAAGGAGATCATCCGTAGGCAGCGTGGCAATCGTGAGATACTCGCAAGCCCGCTGCTGGAGTTCGGAGTCAGGTGAATGGCTATAGAATTGGAACATCTGCAGCAGCTGAGGCTTAATCTCTGGGAACAAGTTGACAAACTTGACAAATGTGGACAACAGCAACGCCCGCGTGGGATCAGGGGCTGATATCATTTTCGTCTGTAGCACCATCAACTGTTCGATCGGGCTGCAGCCTTTGTTGTCGGCAATCAAGTGTCCAAACTCTCCAAGAACATATCCGCCAATCTTGACGAGTGTATCATGGCAGGATTCCGCTTTTAGGTAGTCAAAGATATGTTGTGCTGCGTAAGGTTGGAGCTCCTCGTTGTTCGTGACAATCTGGACTACCCGCTGCCACACTTCGTCGCTGACATGATCACCGGCCATGGCCAGCAGTCGAAGGGAGATGTCGATATACCACTGAGCGTCGGTTGCATATTTCTCGGTCAGAATCGCGATCTTGAGGGTCATTTCTTCCCGGATGGAGAAGTCGGCGGATTGCAGGTACTTGAGCAGCTCACTGACGATGGGCTGTGCATTGGTGATGTCGCACATGCTGTAAAGCAGATCTAGACCCTTTCGTCGCACACTGATATCTCGGTCTCGAAGAGAGCCAATGATGATATTCTGATGTCGCTTGATAGGGTCGAGAGTCACCGATCTGGCTGCGAAATGGGTCATTGCATCCAAGCCCAAGTATCGTACGTTCGTTTCACGTGATTGAATGAATTTCCCCAGCTTTGAAGATATCTGCATCATAAGTTGGTGTTCTGTATCAAGGTGGATGAGGAGGTTGATTGCTTCGAAGAGGACGGCGTTTTGAGCGTTGTTTTGTTGCACATTTTTGGGTGTCTCTGTGGCTGCTTGCATGATGGCTTGGAGCGAATCCCGGATGATATCCCGCACATGTGAATCTTCTACGGAATGGTCAGTACAATTCAACGGAGGAGTAGTGGGACTTGCCTGAAGGAGGATAATACTGCAGTAATTTCAAGAACTTGACCTGAATCCACGGACACGGCACTTTGTAGTAGAGGTAATCCGGTGAGATGTCGTTTTCTATGACAATCTTCCTCAATCTTTGTGCGGCTTTTACGTAACTCCCTTTGAAAGCGTCGGGGTTGTCCTGGATGAGGGCCATGACGAGGGAGGTAACCGACAACACCACGCCCATGTCTGGATCGTCCATCAATGACACTATTCGTTCGGCCCATTCTCTTTGGATGATGGCTGGGTGCTTTCGGTAGAGGCGCAGCAGGGTGAGGGCTGCTTTCTTCTTGACAAAGGACTTGGACGTGGGAGATATCAGCAGTCGGTGAACATCTGCGCTCAAGGCCTCTCCCATCTCGCGACCTCCAACATTGGCCACCGCGTGCAGAGCCAGACAGTTGTTGAGCTCATTGTGGTCCAACAAGTCCTTTCGAATGCTGTTGACCACCAAGGGCAGAAGTTCGTGTTGTTCGTGCAGGAACAGGGTCACTGCGAGATATCCAATTTGCTTCTCGGAATATTTGGTTGCGGAAATAAGGTTGACGGCTTCCAGGTGTCCAAAGTCGACATTGTAACCCTGGATGTAGATGTAGAGCAGCTTGCAGACGTATTTCTTCTTCTGATAGCCATCCAACTTCTCGCTTTTGAACTTTTGCCGGATGTTGGCCAATTCCTTGTTGATTCGCTTCTCTTCCAGTTCTCGGGCCCGGGCGTTCCGCAGGTCAGCGATGAATTGAACGAGACCTCGCATAGACGACATCGTGACAAGCCAGCCAACCCACAAGGACCGCACGCCTGACGCTCGATGTTGCCGCGGGGTGCTGCGCGGTCGAGGGAGGACAAGCGGCCGTCAGCGGGACGACGTGATGAGGTCTCGGTAGTCACAACCCATGATCTGCGAACACTACATGTGTGACCGAAACATGGTCTGTCATAATATTGTGAGTTCCAACAGAACACGGGACTGCTGAGGAAGAACAAGAGCGACTCGTATTCTTCGAATATGATTTGAGGTTGTCCACTGGGAAATCCGCCTGCGCCCGCAGTTGCCCTTAAGCGGCATTCCCTCCCCCCTGTGACGATCACACCTCCCCAAGTTAGCGTCAACAGCACGCACTATTCACTGCCTCCGCAATCAAAGCTCGGACATATCACTTTCCGCTCCGACCGGCATTACTTATGGTGGGCGTCTTCCTCCCACTCATTCTCACAGCTGAACCTGCAGGTCCACAGACTGAATTGCAGTACTGTCGGATGGGAAAACTACGAGATTGTCCTAGTTAAATTTGAGCACTGAAGAAGCCACATTTTGTCCTTGAACTTGAGATCGCTGCTATGCTGGTCTTACTCATCTTCTACTACGAGTATGAAGGTGCTGCGCCCTCCGGACCTCAGATTATGCCCACTTGCATTCGCCCTTCGCCAAAGTTATCACTTCATCCAGCAAGGCCACAGTCTCTGCTGGGCTTGCAATCCACGCACAACAACATGCGCTCCGTGCCTTGAAGTCGTTGCCTCCACCACTTAGGAATTGATCACCCACATGCAAGGTGCTCGAAGGTGGAATGCCTCCAAACCATTTCTGACAAGCTTTTACCCCTAATGACTTGTCCCCGATGTCCAAGAAAACATCCGCCCCTCCGTTGAATACTGTAAACGGGATGTGAGCGTACGGGGCTTTCTTGTCGGAGCTTCCTGTATTGATCGAAGTCTCAATCACCTGTTGCACCACCAGGACTGTCTCTTCTAGCTGCTCTCGGGTAAGCCTCTTGGACTGATCGGCAGCATAGATTCCAACTGCACGCTCTTTGCGGAGGACTTTGGCCTGCAGACGAAGCGTACGTATACACGACTCAAACGCAGCTTGAGCTTCGTTAAGGAGCTCTTTGATGGCCGGTTCTGTCCAGTCTTTCATCGTATCGAGGATCCATTCTCGTCGGTGAATGTAGCGTAAGCAATGTTCTTGCGTCTCGTCGAAAACGAGGAGGAAGTTGGATTCGCCTCCCATTATGATCAAGTTGGACTTTTGAGCTGCTGTGAGCTCTTTGGACTCTTTCACGGCCACAAGAAGACCAGAAAGTCGATTGAAGTAGTGCTCCGGCTGAGTGTAGCCTGCTGCCGTCACAATCCCGATCTTCACGTCGTGTGCCAGGAAATGAACAAGTCTGAGAATCACTGGGTTGGCTTCAGGCGAGTGTAGCGACGCTCCATCCTCATACAGTGTAACATCACCATCAAACGTCAGCAGCTCGAGCCCAGGGTCCAGCTTGAATTTAAGCTGTCTGTAAGGCTTCGGCCGCACCATTGCCATAATCTGCGCTGTGTTGAGAATAAGACGGATATCATTGAAGGAGGGAGCGACGAAACGTCGTGACGAAATGGCTCGCACCGAGTCTTGATACCTGAACGCGTCTTCCAGAGCCAGTGGGGTGAAGAATGCTGAGATGGTAGGCACAAGCATGTTGAGTTTCGACCGTGGGTTCGACAGAGCTTGCTGATTGACTGCACTGCGTCAGCTCTGTCAGTCGATCGCCGGGCCATGTTGGGACTGACTGTGATCAAGTATGAGATCCTCGACGTCGCGGAAGATCTCTGCGTAGCGCTGCTGTGCAGATCTGGCCATGACATCCAAACTCTGGCCACTCGATCCATCGTATTCGACGGCGGGCTGTGAATTCAAGACAAACGGAACAGTAAGGAGGCCCTGTAAGCGGGTATGAGCAGATGCAGGTCTGGCCGAGCCCATTTGGCCGTGCCGAACTTGTTGTCACTACTTACCTTGATCCATTCAATCTATCATAATTACCTTCTGTTCATATTGCAGGGTCGGACACATACTAGTTGATCTCTCCGATGAGTCTTGAGTAGAGACAATTAGTACAGTCTTAGTATCTCCCTCCCACAGCGCGAGTATGACCTGCCTTCAAAGCATCTAGCCTTCAAATTAGCATTGGGAATGTTGCGTGAGGCGTGGGATTCATAGTGACCTACATTCAATTCTATAACGGGTACTCATAGTGTTTGTTCGCTACTTTTCAACGAATTGTCAGAACGGGATGGACAAGAGTGCGGAAGGCTTGTTTGAAAAGGGCGGATGAAATGCAGCTGGTGGCTGTCTGAGATCGCTCAAAGTTGGGAGGAAGCGGAGGCGGAGAACAGAACATCAATCATGGTCATGCCAAGGGTTTGGGGAAACTGCTCGCGACTCGCCCCTCTAAAGTAAACAAAACACCATCACCCTCGAGCCACCCTCAAGCCACCCTCGCCACCGTGGTACAGAGTTACCACGCTGTCGCTGAAGAACTAGCCAAGCTTCCAAACGCACCTGCGCTGGCGGAAGGCAATGTTATCCAACATTCCATGGCACAGCTCACCACTCAGATCCAGCAGCTCACCGCTCAAATCCACGAGGGTTTTCACCAAATCAACGCTCAGAGAAACCACAGAATTAACCACATCGGCAACAAAATTGACACTCTCGCTACTCGAGTCATGGAAAAGTATCTAAGTTTCACACATAACTTATGTTAATACATACAAATTCTGTAGGACCATAACAGTATGGCACGAGTCCAAAACTCCCGTCTCTTAATGTCCAGACAGCGACTTGCACACGTGAATCCAACCACAAATACCTCTACCCAAGGGTTTCGTGCGAGGCTTCCAGATATTTCGAGTATCGAGGAGTAGATGTTCATTTCTGTCTTACAGGACTTGGGATTGTCTACAAATGGAGGAAGAGACGCGAAAGAGGAACGGTTTAGGCAGTACATCGGGCTTCTATCTGAACCACAAGGTGCATGAGTTACAAGCACAAGGAGAGAAGTCACGGAAACCCCTTCTAGCTATCTGTTGCAAGTAACTGTCTCACTGCCGCGTCAAACGTTGTACCCTCCTCCTTCGTGGAAACATTGCCCTCGGCCTTGAAGCAGCCAGCGGCTGTCCAAGTCCATACAATACCGCTGGAAGATGCTCTCTGTTTCACCGGGCTCCCTTTGAGACTGATTGATTCCGTGTGTACGGAGAGCTGCATATTACGAACCGCTTCCTGGGCATAATACATCGTCAACTCACCGCTGTGCGGCTGTGATAAACTCCATTTTTGGTGTCTGCTCTTATCCGTCTCAGCATTTGCCGCGTCTGTACTCGTGAGAGCCTCTGCATGCGCGACTAAGTCTAGTAGCAGCATGTGTCGAACAGACGCCAAAGCGGCGTCTCGTGTCTCGTAGCGACATGAAGGTATCTTCGAGAAACCGAAGTCAATCGGAGAAGTCTCGTATCGAGAACCCAACAGAGGAGGTCCCAAAAAGGTGGCCAGCCCAACCTGCAGATTTCGATCAGTCGTCAATTTGAGTGCGAATGATGTTTTGGCAGGCACCATCAGCTCCGCCAGAAGTGTGTTTGGAGGCTCCATCTTCAACGACGCGAACACAGCATCGTTAGAGTTTTCCATCGACATTGTTGTTGGCAGGCTTGCCGTTTCGAAGGCGTGCAGCAGGGCCTGAATGCTAGTCCAGAATGCTCTTGCCTCTGAACGGTGTCTTAGATGCGTCAGGATAGGTCGAATCAGAGCGTACTCCGGCATTGTCCTTGCCTTGATTGCCATTGGAGGAGTTTTCTGCATTCGTCTGCTCAGATTTTGTTCATGGGCCACAGTCAGTAGCAGTCGGAGGGAGATGCCCACGAATTCAGCAATCGAGTCGTCCTCATTGTTAGTATTTAATGCAACCTCCTGCTCGTCAGAGGATACGAGCAAAAGCTGGTAATCACCCACGTCAATCCCAATGCAGTGTGCACGCGTAGTTATGCCCTGGTTGCCGACAAGCCGTGCTTCGCGGCATGACTCGAAAAACAGTTCCTCCTCGAATAGCGCATCTCGATGATCTATCAAATGCTGGCTGATATCCATCGTCTCGCTCGTTCTGGGGCTCTCAAAGTGAAAAGCCCCAGTCTTGTTAGCATTGCGAATAACGTAAACCGCAAGGCGCCTGCGTTTCTTGGGCAACGATCGAGCGTCCAATCCCACCGAGCCATCAGCTGCTTGGCGAAGAAGAGCATAACCTCGATCACGGAACTGCGGTGCAGCCTCTGCAAAACCGAAATGAACACCAATGGCTTTGCGATCTCTTGGGAGTCGTGATATTGGCCAGCCTCTGGCCCTAAGATCCGCGACTTCCCGCCAGAACAGCGACTCGTGTTCGGCTTCAGCTTCTAGCCGAGTAGAAGCCGCCGCGAGCTTGTCCGAGGCCGAATGGAAACCTTCTGACCGCCAGCCCTGCGAGACTGACACCAGTTGTCGTCTTACAGGTGGTGAGATTGGCTTTTCTTCGAGGACCTTTGCTACCAGTGACCCTACCGGTGCAGCCTCTTTGAGTGGTGCGGACATTGAATTCCGAGCGGGAACGGACTGTTGCGAGATCAGCCATGACACAAAGTCGAGGGCGCAGAGGATGTCGTTCTGTGCAGCCCTAGGATCGTCAACTTCAGCAAGAACCAGCAGAGAGAACAGGACTCACCCTAGTCTCTCAAGCATGTGATTTCTTCGCTCCCACAGGCGCTCTGTGCGTTTCTGCGGAGTTTCATCATCGTCTGCGGGCAATTCCTCCTCTGGGCGTTCCTGAGCGACATCTGGAGCTGCGGCTTTGCCATGAATCTCAGCAAGAAGCGAGCGTTCAGTGACATGGCGAAAATGTCCCTTCTGGGCGATGATCTGCTGGATCTGTGACTCTAGCCCATGCGACTTTGCAGACGGCTCCTGGGGAATTACGAGGCTGATGGTGTTTGATTCGGCCATGATGGGTGAGCTTTCTCTTTGTCGAAGGCGGATTAGGTGGGAACGGAATCCATGGCAGTTCTCTATCATTCATGCACCGAGAGGAAGTGCAAGGACCGGCTTTCCTGGTCAGAAGCAATCTGCTTAGATCAGGCCTGAAGTTTTAATGGTGAGAAGGTCAAAGAGTCGTCGGTCTTTGGCAAAAGGCGAGATCGGAGGATTCGCTTACTTGATAGTAGTTTTGCAGAAGAGAATGGGTGTAGCCAACGGCAAAGGCGCTGGGCGGTAAGGGGTGACTTTTAGCACGGTTGGTAAAGTTTGGGGTGGCCGGGGCGGTCGCCTCTAGGCCTATCGGCTACAGCAGATCTTTCTTTTGGCTGGTCCGAGTTAGCTCGGCGAACAATCAACAACGCGTTTGAGCCTCGCGGGCACTTATCGATTGACGAATGACGTTGTTCGCCCTCACAGCTGCTTCTGTCCCAAGTTCTGCTCGGGCCAACGAACTTATCATTTCTGCTTTATCTTTGAGCTTCATCTTTATTTCGCTGACCTCTTATACCTCCGCGAATTCCTTTCCTTTTCCTTGGTTTCCTTTCCAACGACCACTATAACCTTGTCCTTCTTCTACCAAATCCCTTAGGGGGAGACCGAATCTTGAACTCCTAAACCTGAGCCCCGCCAAACCACTGTCCTACGCTAAACCGCCTCACGAACTCCAAATAAGATGGCTGCCAAGGAGGTGCCAGCGCCCGCAAAGAAGCGCAGGATTGGTGTCTTGACCAGTGGAGGTGACTCACCTGGCATGAATGGAGCTGTCCGGGCAGTGGTGCGCATGTCGATTCACATGGGCTGCGAGTCGTATGCAATCTACGAAGGATACGATGGGTTGGTGAAAGGCGGTGATCTGATCAAAGAGATGAGGTGGGAAGACGTCAGAGGCTACCTCTCTCGAGGCGGTACCTTGATTGGTACAGCACGGTGTATGCCTTTCATGGAGCGGTGGGGAAGGTTGAAAGCAGCCAAAAATATGGTTCTCCGTGGCATCGATGCCTTGGTCATCTGTGGTGGTGATGGTAGCTTGACCGGTGCTGACAAGTTCAGAGCGGAGTGGCCAAGCCTGATCGAGGAGCTGGTCGACACCGGAGAGCTGACGCAAGAAGAGGTCGAACCCTACAAGCACCTGAATATCGTCGGCCTGGTCGGCTCAATTGACAACGACATGTCTGGCACTGACGCCACAATTGGCTGCTACTCCTCCCTCGAACGAATCTGCAGTGCTGTCGACGACGTCTTCGACACTGCAGCTTCCCACCAACGAGGCTTCGTCGTTGAAGTTATGGGCCGTCACTGCGGTTGGCTGGCTCTGATGGCATCCATAGCAACCGGTGCCGACTATGTCTTCATTCCTGAAAAACCACCGCGAGTGGGATGGGAAGATCAGATGTGCAACGTCATCACTACTCACCGGTCAAGAGGAAAGAGGAGGTCCATCGTTATCATATCCGAGGGTGCTCATGATCGAGAGCTGAACAAAATCACGGCGAACCACGTCAAGGATCTTCTGACCAAGAAGCTGAAGCTCGACACACGAGTTACGGTATTGGGCCATACGCAAAGGGGTGGACAGGCATGTTTCTACGATCGCTGGCTGTCTACGTTGCAGGGTGTGGAAGCTGTGAAGGCGGTCTTGGAAGCTACTCCTGAGACACCTAGTCCTGTCATCACCATTCGGGAGAACAAGATTGAGCGCTCAAATTTGATGGAGACTGTGGCATTAACGAAATCTGTCAGCGCGGCTATTGAAGAGAAAAATTTTGACAAGGCAATGCAGTTGCGCGATATTGAGTTCAAAGAATACTACAACAGCTATGTCATCACCACCTCAACCGACCATCCTGCGTTGAGACTACCGGAAGAAAAGAGGCTGCGGATCGCCATTATACATGTCGGGGCTCCTGCAGGTGGTATGAATCCGGCAACCCGAGCTGCGGTTGCCTACTGCTTGACACGAGGCCATACTCCAATTGCCATCCACAACGGCTTCCCGGGGTTGCAACGGCACCACGATGACAAGCCACTTGGGTCTGTCCGTGAGTGCAAGTGGATTGACGTGGACCCGTGGGTAAACGAGGGTGGTTCTGAGATCGGAACGAATCGTGGCTTGCCCAGTGCAGATATGAAGAAGACTGCCGAGTGCTTTGAGATGTACAAGTTCGATGCTCTGTTCCTGATCGGTGGCTTCGAGGCCTTTACTGCGGCGAGTGAGTTGAGAAAGGCGCGACAACAGTACGACGCTTTCAAAATTCCCTTGGTCGTCCTACCGGCCACCGTCTCCAACAACGTCCCGGGCACGGAATACTCCATCGGCAGTGATACCTGTCTCAACACCTTGATCCAGTTCTGCGATGCCATCAGACAGTCAGCTTCGTCATCGCGAAGACGAGTTTTCGTCATTGAAACACAGGGTGGTCGATCGGGATACCTTGCTACAATGGCAGGTCTTTCGGTCGGTGCATTGGCGGTGTATATTCCTGAAGAGGGAATCAACATCCACATGATCGCCCGAGACATTGAATTCCTGCGCGAAAACTTCAAAAACGACCAGGGAGCCTCCAGAGCTGGCAAGATTATTCTGCGGAATGAGAGAGCCAGCTCTACATACACGACACAAGTAATTGCGGACATGATCAAAGAAGAAGCTCGCGGCCGGTTCGAATCGCGTGCGGCCGTCCCTGGTCACTACCAACAAGGAGGCAAGCCTTCGCCTATGGATCGAATCCGAGCACTCCGAATGGCAATCAAATGTATGCAGCACATTGAGGAAAGGTTTACTGGCAAGGATAAGGAATGGATTGCTGCCGATCCGCTCTCGGTGGCGGTCATCGGTGTTCAAGGGTCTGAAGTCGTCTTCACGCCTATGGGTGGGGAGACAGGGCTGGAAGCAACCGGTACTGACTGGGAAGACCGAAGGCCCAAGAATGAGTTCTGGATGTCCATGAAAGAGACGGTTGACATCTTGAGCGGCCGGCCGAAGGTGACGGACTGCTGCGAGGAGTGTGGAAAGCCCCTGTCAGGGGACACTTCAAAGCCTTTGACTCTAAAGCATGATGGTTGATGCAAGCATGATAGATGAGCGGCAGCGTCTAGATTTCGATTATCAGTTGCTTCAACTAGACTGGCGGGTGCTTACAAGGGGAGAGGAGAGGCGAACAGCTCCATATTCTGACTCACGAATAGATGACCTTTTTGACCTTCCGATGAATTTACTAGAATGGACCTAATTAGCGGTTGTGCCTGCGTTAGTCTAACCCACCCGCATTCGCCTGAAGGGATGGATCATGCCACCCTGCACGAGCCTGCAGTATGCAGTCGAGATGGTTAGGGGAGGCGACTTTTGGCGCTTTGAAATGCAAGCAGAATGATTGGCTTGATCTTATCAGATGCGGACAGTAGTGCCCAATCACGATAGACGCATTTGCTCGCTTTCGCCTCGGTGACGTCGATATAAACCCGTCTGGTCTTCCAACAAACCAGCCGTGAATTGAAACTATGCGACAGTAGTACAACATATCATTCTCTCGAAACGCCGTGTCTTACGAAGTCTTGCTCTACGCTCTCCTCTCTTCTCTCGGCCAGATTACACCATTCTCGAAAGCCTCTCACCCGTTCTCACCCATTGTCACCCGCTCACACACCACCATGGTTAAGCCATCCACCTGTTGCGGGCGCAGCGACGACACCTGCGTGTGCGCGTCAGTGGCCAAATGTTCGTGCGGCAAGAATCCAGCCATGAAATGTGATTGCGAAAAGCAATCCCAGGAGAATAAAGCGTTGGAAGGGCCGAGATGTTCATGCTGTATGTCTTCTTTCATCCACAGCCCGTTTCGCAACATGGTGAAAGTGCTAACAGTCCGTTTGCGGTAGACGCCCGCCCTGCCCAGCAATGTACGTGTGATCGCGCTGCCACCGAGAACGTCGCCCCGTCGGGTTCTACATGCGCGTGTGGGAAGAGGAGCGCCACCAGCTGCAATTGCTCCAGGGCCACCGAGGGTGGACTTCTGGCGACGGAGACTGATTTCACGACGAAGGCATAGACCTGTGGAGATACAATCATGGAAGTGAGACTGGTGCCCGACATAGATTGTGCTGCATGGTAAAGGGAGTTTACATTACTGCGTGGGAGTCATCGTAGGAGAGAAGCGGCTATGGCAAACGGCGTCAGCTCTTACAAACATCCTAGGCGTTTTCGGCTGACGGGCACAAGGCACGTGGCGAAAGAGTGCCATTGATACCCGATATTTCGATCAATGGGAATATTGGGTTGAGAGACGAGAAAACAACATTGTTTCACGCAGTGCCTCGGGTGGAAGCGTCGGTTCTGCCACCGTTCAGCCGTTATTGCCACTACTCATTGTCTTGCATCTTGTTTCGAGGGCGGCTCCTCCCTGAGCACCCTCCTCCCTGTTGAATTTGTCCAAGAGACGTGTTCTGCTTTGCTGCTGGTCTAGTTCCTTCTGCCTCCGACCAATTTCTTTCCAGTTGGGCCTGGCCCATTCCAAGACATCGTCAAATCTGCAGTCCTCGAACGCCTGTCTCGCCTCTTCTAGGCCTTCAACGGCTTCGGTTGAGAGTGAGTGGCCATGCTTGCCCACAATCTCCCTCTTCATGCCTTTCATTACCCATCCGACCTCCGTGCCTTCGATTGGCAGCTCCTTCCTGATGGTGGCCCACAGTCTATCGGTTCCAATCACTCGGACCATTTCGCTCCTCTTAGCTTCGAACTTCTCTGCGAATTGAGGACCAAAAAATTGCTTTGCGTCGTCGACGACCTCTTCTCGCGTTAGTAACGCAGATTTGCCCGGTGCGTCATCAACATGCATGGGAAGATAAGTCTCGATCCAGTATCCAAATAGAGGTCTTTTTGCAGCGCGTTGGCGGTCGTTGGCTTTCAACAGCTTGGTTGGCGCTTTGCTTTCCATGCCATTTCCTTGCTCTCCTTGGCTCTCCCCATTGTCTCCGTACTGACAGCGGGACTTCCATTGGGCGGGATTGTGGAATCTGCAGCTGGCCACGTACTCCAGCATCTCGTCCCAGCTGTTGAACCGCTGCCAGTACCGTCCCTTGTCCAGACCCAAGTACTCTAGCACCGTATCCGGGTTATTTGTAGCCAGCACCCTTGCCTGATCCTTGTTGTGCTTCTCGACCTCTGCTATCCGCACGCACAGGCCTTTGGACGAGACTGTAAGACCGAATCGCCGAATGATGCCTCCGAGCATGCTCCACAAGTCGCCATGGGCCTGAAAGAACATGTGCCAATCGAAATCAGCTGCAGTGGGCATGATATTGATGTCGGCTTGAATGTACTTCTCTGGGGTGGCTTTACGCGGCCATGTGAGCTTTCTGAGGCACACCGAAGACTCTTGGGATTCCACTGAGGATGTTGAAGCGTCTGCAGTCACACTACGATCCGTTGCCTCCTGAGTGGTACCCAGCGTATTGTTGTCGCTGTCTGGCCTTGGTTTTGACTTGAGATCGTGGCTCCGCATGTCGTGGGCCGAGTGCTGCTGATGACCTATATCATGGTTGCCTTCTCTTTGTACCGCATCGTCTTTGAACTCATCCGGCCATGGCAGTGCAAGATTGTAGGTAGAGTTCCCACCCATCTTCTTCCAAGTCTTCGCTCCGAAAAGCTGGGCTAGAAGGTCTCCCGTTGCACGTCCGTCTACCACCTGCCCTTCCACAGGTTCAGCAACCAGGATGTCGATGTCTCCGTGGGATGATTTCGCGGGACCTTCGATGGGATGGCCCACCAGTTTGAAATGCTTCTTGAGGATCCCCTCAGCCTGAGCCAGGACTGAATTGTAGACTGTTGGAGGCATTCGTGGCGTGGACACTCCATCTGCAGCAAAAGCCGAGCCGCCCATCTTGATACACGAGAAAAGCTCTAGGGAAGAACACGGTGTGAAAGCGGAACACGTCACAGAGGGCGCCGCGCCTCAGAAGTACTGCGGCAGAGTGATCGCGACAGTGGCGGATGAAGGTGACAGAGAGGCACAACCGGGCGAAGATCGAAGTGACAAACAAGTGAGGAAATAATGTAACAATCATCCTCTGGACACTGAATTGTGACTCACCTGCATATCGACTTCCTCGCCGCCAAACCATCGACGCGGCCATCCGCATCGCCCCATTTGAGGACGACGGGTTCCAGCTCGAACAGCAGACCCGCCGAAACAGGCATTCCGCCCTCACTTGGCAGTCGCCGCAGCTGTTTAGCTTTTGCGGCAGGCTTTTGGTATTGCACATTCTTTCTTGCGCACGTTGCTGACACCGGGTTCCAGCTGTGTCAGTTACGTCCCGTTCAAAGTTCAAGTCCCACGGTTGAAGAGTATTGACCTCGAAGTTATGAACTGATCATCACACAATCACGTCACTCTACATGCCGACACCAAGTTAGCTGCAGTGTGGTTCAGGCGCCGAATTCAGAGTGATAGTGTTCCTCACGCATCATTATTCTTAGGGTATCTTCGAATCATCACATAATGCACAGTCCGAGGACCTGCGTGTCCAAGGTGACGGGCGATACACTTGTGTAGTATGTAAGACACTCCTGCTACAATCTGCTTACAGAGCCTCATGTAACGGGTCCTCCTCGACACCATCACTCAGCTGTTCTCCCTCGTCATTCATATCCGCACCACCGTTTGCTTCAGCCTCTGCTATTAGGACATTAACCCGTCCACCCATGGATTTAACCTTGGCTTGGGTCATCTCGTAGACATACTGTCCTAGATGCTCCACGCCGTCCATCTCCGCGACCTTGCCTTCCTCTACCTCCTCATCTAGGAGCCGCGGTGTCGGAAACATCTCCCCAGTCACAAGGCTCAACTTACTCGGGCGTTGCATGAACAGATCCATGGCGGGCTTCATCTCAAAACAACTGGCGAACAAGTCCCTCCGGCCGAGGATGTACAGTCCCAGTCGTGCTCGAGACAACGCGACTGTGATTCTTCTTGCATCCCTCAGATAACCCACGGACTTTGACCTCGTCATCGAGACGATAACGTAATCATTCTGCTCGCCTTGATATTTGTCCACAGTGGTCACAATCCGAGGCATCCCAAAGAGAGAGTTATTCTTGCAGCGATGCTCCAAGACATCTCGAATGAGCGCCCTTTGGCCCGCGTAGGTGGCTAGAATGGAGATACTCCGTGCAGGATACCCTAGCAGGCGCATGTACTGGTACAGCGCTACTGCGTATTCTGCCTCGCCGAGGTTCTGGATGAAATGCGGACTCGGTTCTCGTTCTCCAGTGCCCTGGTAAACGGGCACATCGATGAATTGATAGTCGTACTTCAAGCCGGCATTGGCGCGTGCGAACTCAGGCCGCGAAAGCAAATGAGGCAGGTTGCCGAGATTGTTGTACCGCCACGAGAAGAGCTGGGCGATGGAAGGGCGACACCGGCCCTGTTGATCGAGGTGCACGGTTGGGACGCCCAGTCGAACTAGGCGAAGGAACAGGGATTGATCGAAGTGGGCGTACTGACGTAAGGCGAGGTCTTGTACGACCGGCGAGTTTTGAAGGTGGTCGCCCACGAGAACAATTCTTTTCAGAGGCAGCTCGCTGGTCTTGACGTCGGGCATTTGCATGGCACAAGGAATGAAGGACTCGATTTCGGTGATCTGAGCCGCTTCCTCCATGATAAGTGTATCGTAGTGAAAGCCTAGTTCTGCGATCTCTGATCTTCTCATTGCGGCGTGCGTTGATGTCATTGCAATAATCCGCGCTTCTGAGACGAGCAGGTGGTTTGCCTGATCTCGACTGCTACGCAGGATCTCGAAAGGTCGAATCGACTCGAGCTCGGCAAAGATTTTGTCGATATGATATTGGCAACCAGAGGCGATCTCCTTTATCTCCTCCAGCGTGGCGTCTCCTGAGAACAGCGTTGGAACGGGAGCATTGTTGAAGTACTTGGAGAACGGGAATACGGTGACCACAGCTTCCGCGGTGGCGTTCTCCGCATTTGCTGCGTCCCAGAATCGTTGCCATGCAGGTTTGATAAAGACTTGATTGAAATAATCAGCCGTCTCACAAGAAGCGCCGTGAGCACCTTCGACGCCAAGAGAAGCCGCGAGGCGGCTGACCTCCGACAGATATACTTGACGATTTTCTAAGAACGATTCGACTCGGCCATATTTGCTGTACGAACCCTCGGTGTCTAGTTCCTCTTCGCCATGGCCCAGCCGTAGGAGGTGACGGGGATCGATGTCGAGGGCAATAATCTTCTGGAAAAGTTGGTTGAGCGCCTGATTACTGTGGGCAACGAGCAAGATGCGCTCTGATGGGAAGTTGTGGTACAGCAGATTTATCGTCTGTGTAGCAACGTCGGTCTTTCCGGTACCGGGTGGGCCAACAATGATGGTGAGGCCTGGCTGCGTCCCAGAGACAACAGCTTCCACCTGCCGTGGAGTGAAGCGTACCGCGTTCTTCTTGGGTACATCCACCGGATAAGGGCCAGTATTGCGTGGCTTGTAGGTTGATACCTTGACCGTTGAGGAGTCTTGTTCCATCTGGTCTCGTCGTCGCTTTTTCGGGTTAGTTGGAAGCTGCGCGGCCGGCTGAACCGTAGTCTCGAGGACATAGGGTGGGCTGAACGGCACTGGCTGCTCTGAGGCTGCCTCAACGGTCCTCCCGGCAAAGCTGTCTGTTAGATGCTGCCAATCTAGGAATGTATCCAGATAATCCACAGACTCGATGTGGTCCGGAATGAAAGGGTAAGTGGCACTCTTCGGATCACCATAGCCTAGGTAGACGTCCTGCAGCCAAGAAGGAAGCAACGTCTGGGATGACACCAAGCTCTGAATGGTCTCCAACACAGCCTTGAAATTATTTTCCCGACCTTGCCTGCGGGCGATAACATTGAGAGATGCAACGTCTGATGTGCCACGCGTGGACTTCAGCTTGTCCGCTGCGTACGATGTTGCGTCAAGGTCGAGTAGGAGTCGTCGCTGCCTCGGCCTCGAATAGCCATTGCTCTGGGTGTCCCTCAAAGCTCGACCATTGTCATCCAAAACTTGGACGACTTCAGCTGCTCTGAGATTAGTAAACAGTCTACGTTCCTCCCCTTCCCCAGAAGCATGGCCGTTCATGAAGGGTTGAGCATTGTCGTTCGCTTTGACAGCTAGCAAAAACACAACATCATGAGGCCTGAGATTGTCCCATTCCCTCCGGATGCTGTCCGACAAGCGGCTAACATCTAGAATCACTTCCGCTCGCACAAAGCTAGGCTTGAGATGACCGACTTTTGGGGGTCCAACTTCAGTGATCGCAGGCTCGGAAATCGGTAGCGCCATCTTCGAGAAGCCTTCAAACATTGTACTCCTGTCCCTCCCAGCTTTGGGCTTCATGCGCTTCACGATGCTTTCCATGTCCTTTCTAACACCGTAAAAAGCTTCCGCTTGGTACAACTGGAAAGAGCGCCACATGAAATCGCCGAGGGTGAGATATTGCAGGTTGAGTTTCGGAATGCCAAGTGGTTTCGAGCCGTCATATTGCTCATTTCGTAAGAGTGCTGGGTCGTACAGTGAGTCAGCTTTGGGCAAAACCGATAATTGGTTTACAATCTCCCGGAAATCCCGTTGCTTGGAGAAAGATGAAAGGAGGGTTTCCATCAGGATCGCACGGTTGGCGGTTAACGCAGCAGCCGCGGGATACGTGGTGCGGAAGCCGAGATGTTGGCATAATTGCTGGAGTTCGTCGTTCGTCAACTCTGAAAAGTGAGACTGCAAGTCAGCGCGCTTGCTGATGGAGCCGAAGTTGGATAAAGCGAGGACTTTGAGCTTGTGCTCGAAATGCTGCAGAGAAATGTGCTGTAAACGTTCCAGGGCATGATAATAGTTCTTACGAACATCGTCAGTTGCTTGAGTGGCACCCATGTCGTCAACGGCGAAAGTCTGGAAGTGCTCAAATAGATCGGCGAGGTCGCGTAACAATATGGCGTCCTCCTTTTCATAAAGTTTCGCCGTCCGTATGATCGGCAGCAAATTGAGGTCCTGGAATAGAGGATTGGTGTAGCGTCTGGTGGGCAGTTGACTGATGAGGTCAATGAGAAATTCAAGGAAGCGCTCACAGTAGGCCATCTCTTGAGAATGAGTCAAGTTTGATACATTCAGTCTTCCGATAAAGTCAATAACCATTGTAAACAGCCATGCCCGATCGAATCGCAAGCGACTTTGAGTGTCTGGGTCTGCCGCATCAAATCTCCGGGCAGCTGCTCTCCACGCTTTTCTTCTCGCCGGACTTGTCTCAAAGAGCCTCTCTTTTGCCTGCTCGTCATGCAGATTGTGCCAAGTCGCGATTGACACAAGCGGAGCGCACTCCTTTCGGACATGCTCATTATCCAATGATTGAAATGCTCCTAGGACGAAATTAAGCAAGGACAGCCGGGAGTGGATCGCCAGCGAGGCATCGAGGTTGAGGGACAGCACTCGGCGTAGTAGGGTCGAGAAGTCACCGGGGCGGCTGTTGGTGAAGAGCGACCAGTCCTGTAGGCGTGCGCGTTGCTTGAGGTTGAAGAAGACGGCAATGAGTATGACATGATGGTTAGGCGCATCCGGGGAGTACGTTGGCCACAGAAACCTCTCTAACACCTGGTGACTTTCCAAGATAGCCAGGGATTTTGGTGAGAAGCCTTGTTGCTCCAAAGGTCGCCATAACTCGTTGGTGATAACGTCGGGTTTGACCTTGGTAGGCGCCTGGGTTCTACCCTCCCAGTACTTCCTAGCCAGCTCCTCCCACGGACTGACGCTGCCGTCCTGATAGTCGCTGGTGTTAGCAGGGACATCAGGTACCGGAGCCAACGCCGGCCGCAGCTGTAGCCCCATCGAGCTCCGGCCGGGATGATGTGATTGACAAGTAAGGCGAAAGCGAGATTCGAGATTTCAACTGCGCGACCCTCGAGAAAGTTGATGTTTCTCCGCACTCTCGATAATATTGTCCAGAGCCGCTTTATGCGCCTAAACCTATTACGGCTAGAGCGTTTGAGTGTGGGGACTTTAAGGGTGCAGCGGCAGCAAACAGTAGGTACAAAGTACCTCGTACCTACGGTACCTACACGATACAGTGCCACTGGTACTGCCCGTGATTACCTTTACCACAAGAGCGTACTACCACAGCCTTTTCCCCGCAGACGACAGCATTCTCCGTCTCTCTGAACTTGCGGAGATGTCTTTCTAGTGGACTGACCTCCCGCCACTTCTGTTGTTGGACGCAGAAATCCTTCGAGCCGGTGCGAACGACGAGCAGCAGCCAGCTCCTGTAACCTCTACCCCCTTCATGGCCGTCACCCATATTCCCTCCGTCGCAAACTACAAAGACCTAATCGAATCATGCCTGCAGCAACTCAGCGACGGCCGCGAGGATGGAGATATCGACTCTGCCGTGTTTGAAACAGAATGCGCCCAGCTCCTTGACCAGATTTTAGCCATTCGCAAAGACGCCAATTCCGACGCCCTCCAAATCCACAATGCCGCGGTGGAAACCGTCTGTCGCGAGGTTGTCTGGGATATCGTGGCTACAGTCGATATTTCTGAGCCTGCCTTTGCACAAGTCTGGGTTCTCCTCGACGTCATCAATATTCTATCCGACAACGAGCTATGCGAACCAGGATTAGGCTTTTGGCTTGTCGAAGAGCTGCTGGACAGCCAGACTATTGAAGGCTGCAGGAAAGTCTTTGACTACCTCGAATCACGCAGGGAGAAGATGACAGCAAAACATTTCAAGCAGAAAAACTTGGTCATATTGCGCTGCTGCAATGAGCTGCTCAGAAGACTGTCGAGAGCCGAAGACACTGTTTTCTGCGGTCGTGTTTTCATCTTCCTGTTCCAGAGCTTTCCTCTAGGCGACAAAAGTTCGGTCAATCTGAGAGGCGAGTTCCATGTCGAGAATGTCACGGACTTTGATCCTAGGCCCGTTAAGTCGGACGATGCTATCAAGCCAATGGAACTGGACGATGCGACCCCTCAGGCAGCAACTTCTGGGGCGCACACACCTGCCTCTCAGGCCCAGGACACTGAGAAGACGGCAAGAAGCACACCCGTCCTGCGAGTTGCCAAAACCGAACCCAAAGACCAACAGCCGCCTCCAGACCTCGACGCACTATACCCCAGGTTCTGGTCGCTACAGTCCTTCTTCTCAGCACCCACAAGACTTTTCGACCCTTCCAACATGACTGCCTTCAAAGATGGCATTTCTCAGACCCTCTCTTGCTTCAAGTCAGTCTCCAGCAGCTCCACGGCGTCGACCACAAGTCCGAGCGACGTGAAACGCGGTCTGAAGCGCAAACGGAGCAGTGTCGACACGCCCGCATCAACTTCCACTTTCAACCCAAAATACCTCACGAACCGGGACCTCTTCGACCTTGAAATCCATGACATCGCTTTCCGGCGGCACATCCTAGTCCAGGCACTCATCATGATTGACTATCTTCTCAGTCTCTCTTCCGCCTCCAAGGCTAAATTCGAAGGCTTGACCAACAAATCCGTCCTGTATCCTTACACCCTGTCAGAGGACGACGCGAAGTGGGCACAGTCCACACGGTCGCAGATTGCAACCTATTTGCAACAGGGCGGTAACGGCAACGAAGGAAAATTCTACTACAGGATGGTTGACACTGTGCTGTCCAGGGACAAGAACTGGGTAAGGTGGAAAGCGGAAAACTGTCCGCCAATCACACGCGAAGGTGTCTCGCCTGAAATGTATCTCCAAGCGAGGGATACGTTGACGAAACAGATTGAGTCCGCTCGCGCACCGTTAGTTAACCCACCTGGCGCGAGTGATCTTGCTTTTCTCTCAAAAGTTGAACCACTCGAGGCGCTCAAGAACCCGTCCAGGCGATATAAAGTCCCGACGCCAGAGGAATACTACCGTGGGATCGAAACAGATGAACTTGATATGGATTTCGCAACCACCGAAGAGGAAAAGCGAGACATTGAAGAGCGCAAGGCCGGGAAAGTATGGCGGGCGCTAAGAAGTAGTAAGAACCGGTTTGTCATGTGTGAGAAGGTGCAATATGGCGGGGACTGTAAGCCGTTGATCGAGGAGGTCAAGACGGAAGAACACGAGGAACATGGAGAAAAAGGCGCAGAAGGCGAGGGCGAGGATGAAGTGAAGGACAAGCGTGAAGGCCTTGAGAATGGCACTAGAGCGGAGCTTAAACTCGAGGGAGACGGAGAGGGAGAAGTCGAAGGCCAGGCGCAAGACGCGGGGTCGGAGAAAATTGAGACAGCGCTGGCGCCGCCGCCAATCGAGCAGGAGGAGCCGCGAGAGCAGCCGGGAAAAGAGCCCGACACGGTCACCAAGGTGGAAGATGCAGAAATGGCCGACGTCCCTCCCTCCGCTGTGCCTGCAGACACGGTTGATACGAAGAATGAAGGTGTTGCTGGGGCGAGTGGTGACGGAGACCGGGACCCTGGCGAGACGGATTGAGTGATGTCTACCGTACTTTTTTGTGGCCAGCTCCAACGTTCTGAAATATAGAGGAGCACTGGCACCCAGAATTAGCGATCAGCAACCAGCCTTGAAGCGTATCAAAAGGATTCAGATTGATTTCCGCAAAAGCCATATGCCGCCGTGTTAATGCATGATCCTGAGTCTGGTTAATATTCATGTCCAGGTGAATGATACAATAAGCAAAGCTGAGCCGAAACGCCCGGGTTGAAGCAACGGCACCGATAGATACCAGAAACTCTGTACCTGCATTGTCAAGGAGCATGCCGACGCGGATGTCACGCCACTTAAAACGCGGTGGAAAACATCAATCGTCGTTCCTCTGCAAGCTTAGTAAAATCAATACTACTCGCATAAATGCTTCATATCCCTCCATCACCTACACGGTCGCAGATCTACCCGTTCCAGTGGAGATGCTCGTCTATTTCATTTTCTCCCGGATTTCTTGCGTCCAGCTCTCTCCACTCGGACTCACGTTGTCGGCTGGACATGCTTGCAAAGTTGGTCATGTTGTTGAATCCAGCGTAGGGCGTCGTGGTCGGGCGTAGGCAGTCGTACCACTTGCCCTTAGGATAGCAAATTGATGAAACTTTGGTGGAAAGTTGACCGTGGGACGGAAAACGCTTATGCGTTGGAAGACACCGAGTTGCGGGGGGAGGACATCATCCCTTCAAATTCGCGATAGCGATGTGGAGGTGATGGGGTAGCAGGCTTCGACAATTACAAGAGTAATGGGCGCGGACTGGCTTCGGGTTGAGGACTGTTTACCTCGTGGTGGCCGCAAGTCTGGCGCAGGCCGCAGTGTCTTTAACCTGTCGAGCAAATCTAGAATTCAGAGCTGCTCACAACAATGCTCAAGTGTTGGGAGGTGAGCTTGTTAATGCTTTAAATGTCGGGGGTTGAGCTTGTTCTGTGGCTTACCAGCCATGATTGTAGGTGGGCCTCTATACACCTAAGATCCGGGTTAAGAAAAGCATTACTACACAGTAGTGCATGAGAACGTGAGAACGGCAGATCGTGGGAGTATTTTCAGCTTGTGATCGAGCGAATAAGTAAGAGGTTTCCGCTGCTTGCCTAGCAGACACACCAAATGCAGGGCTGGTGCCCCTGGACAGGATTGGATCGCATCTCCCACTGGCTGTTAACGCGAGCATTGCATCAATGCTTGCTGATCAGGAGCAATGAAAAAATCAGAGTTGCTGAAAAGCGATTCAAGGACTGCCATCCCAAGCAAACACCAGATTGGATGTTGTTGGCACGAGTATACCGGGTGAACTATGTGTCACGAAATGGTCGAGGAGAAAAGATTTACGTACGGAGTACACAAGTAGGAGAAAACTGTGTGGGGAAGGAGAAATCTGCCAGAAGGCTGTGGCACAGCCCTATCGAAAAGCGCGGAGGGAGGGGAAATCATTGTCCCGGAGAGTGAAAATTTTCGCATTGCGTCCTCGATGATCCCACCACTCCGTAGTGGCAAGGGTGCTCGTACTCGCAAGTGAGGTTTCACACGTGATGGCAGCCGAAACTCCGCTCCTGAAAAGGTGCATGGTGGGAGGACATGCAGACCCGCTGAATTACCACGAGTCAGATCGTCAAATTTCCGAACCTCGCCAAATCGGCAGTCTGTGCAGGTTGGTTGCGGGGTAAGGCTGGTAAGTACGTACACAGTACGAGGTAGTGGGATAACTTCGCAGATCGAGAGAAAGGAATTCCCTTCCCGAAGGTAAGTCAATTGATGAAAGTCTTAGTCGAGGATCCCCACGAGTTAGGGCCTGAAGGACCATTCCCTTGATGGATGGTAAGGATGGTAGACACCTATGCACAGAGTATGGGGTACCAACCACCGATAACGCAACATACCTCGTAGGTCGTATTGGTGAATGGGGAAGGTGTGATGGACGGTGACTTGTGGCTGGGAAGATTGCAACACGTCCAAAAAACCGGGGAGGATGTTGCGCGATAAGCGACGAAAATGATCCTTCGAGTCTTACCTCGTACCGAAAACTGAGGTGCTGTTGTACGCTGGTGTCTGTGCGTGTAGAGGGCCGAATAGACAACCTAGGCAAATCCACTTCAAAAGCAGCCTGCTCTCAAAGACCTCAGAAGACAGTTTGAGTCCGGTAGCTTCACAGAGCTCCATGATGGACTAAGATGGACGCGAGTACTCCGTACCCGTACGGAGGCTAATCCACCGTTCCTCCTCCTTAACAGGGCCCGCAATCAGCCTTGGAATGCAAACTACTCCGAAACGAGGCTTCGTTCAAGCCTTGTAAATTCTACGATCAAAGCCTGGGGCGGTAATCTTGACGTGTCAGGCTGGAATATCAAGACGCAATGATGATTCTTGCCTCTAACCAGGTCTGATCTCAAGACCTCCGTCTGGAATTGAACCATGGCGAACCACAAGGGTTTTGGCGATTGTGAGTTAACGGAAAATGTAATAGTGTCCCAGCAATTTTGGGAAGCTGAAGTACGACTTGTGATTGATGCATGGGGAAACCGAGTCCCTTATCCTCGTATCTCTCTGGTTGCATTTGGTGCTGATGGGCTGATGAGCGCATGGCTTCCTGAGGGGCAATAGTTTCGTTGGCACCTGCGATTGGTTTTCTTGCTAGCTTCTCGGAGGCAATATCTGTTGTGGGAAGGCCGTTTTCTAGCCTGACGGCAGCCCTGGCCAGTCGCTGTCCTTCTCCTGGGTGACTGCAAAGCCTTGTCCTCCTAGAGGTCGGTCTTGGTTGGCTCTCTTGTGGATGTTAGGCTTCCCCACCTCTTGTGTCCGGTGGGCCTGTGGTCTTGCCTGGCGGCTTTTCTCACCATCTTGCTGTGCAGCCTCGGCAGATTGTCGCCCAGTTGAAATCAAGGCTTGCTGGCTCAACTGGCCTTGCCACTACTTGCGTTCGTGCCAATTTGTGGATGATAAGGGTGGCTGTTTGCGTGATTCATCCTTCCCACGTTGGCGGCGCTGGGACTAAACGTTAAAGGATGAGGTGATCGGTTGAGGACGCTGCAGCTGCTATCAGGAAATGAGCTTCGGTCCATTAACACGTGCACTTACTGCTGTCTCGTCCGGAGTAACTCGTATGTGAGGGAGGGATCAAAACACACGGGAGGAATGCTTGCATGCTTGGGGAAGAGAGGGTCGACCAGTGACAACTGCGGGCAAGTCCTGGGTTCTGAAGCCTGACTCGATGATGAAGCGAGCCTGAGCCTGATTGCAACTGCCACCACCCCCCCATTGAATTTACCGTGGCTCGTTCAGTTACGGTGTGCCGTGCACCTCTCCGCAGCCTTATTACAGGCTAATTAAGCCTCGTCCGATTCCTCTTCATTTGCACACGGCAGCGTCCCCTCTCCATTTGAATTCCTCTCACCCTGCCCACACTTTCCTCTTTGTTTTCCCCAGGAAGACAGAGCAGGTGCGACGGCCAGCCAGCATTCAAGGTCCCAACTGATTACCGCGTCTGTGAATCTCGCCGTCAGCCCTTCAGTTTCTGTGCTTCACTCACGACTGCCTTCTCTTGGCGCGGGTCGCCACACCTTCGCCAACCCGGCAGCTCACAACTTCTTGTCGCGACTGTCTGGCACGTCAACCTTACATTAAGTCTTGCTCATTTTGGCGTCAAGGCGACCCTACGATTCGCAGATTATTATAACACGGCGACCGTCGACGCGAGCATGGACGACCTCTTCTGAGGCCTTGACTGTAGTGGACTCGAGCCCAGAAGCCTCGCGCCTTGTTGCCAACGGCGCACGCCTCGTCGGCTTCGCTTCGCTCAACTCCGTCCCTCACCCCGGAATCACCACTCACCCGCGCCTTACCACTACAATTTACCGGTGTATTCGCCCATCATGGCTACCGACACAAACATCAACATTACTGCTGCATCTTTGCGCGGCAGTCCGTCCGACCGCATCATCAAACCACGACCTCGCAAGGACTCTCTGCAATCAATCTCTGGCTCCGACACCCACCCTGGGCGCGTGGTGAAGCCTCGTGCACGAAAATCTCCTGGGTCCGGAGCTAAGAGATCTGAACCTGCCAAGCGGAAGTTCATCTGTTCATTCTCACACTACGGTTGTGATGTCGCCCTCAGTTCCAAGAATGAGTGGAAACGCCATGTCTCAATTCAACATCTCCAATTGGGGTTCTATCGCTGCGACGTTGGCTCATGCAACCCAGACTTCAACCCCAATGTCCCTGGCCACAAGCGTGTCTACAACGACTTCAACCGAAAGGATCTCTTTACCCAACACCATCGGCGCATGCACAAGCCCGAGACTGGTCCAGGCTCAGGTCCCATTGCGCCTGGAAATGCCGGGGACAAGGACTGGAGAGCCTTTGAGGACAGTCTGGAAGAAGTTCGCAATCGATGCTGGATGGAGAAGCGCAAACCACCACAGCGCAGCACTTGTGGCTTCTGTGGCAGAGTTTTTGAAGGGGAAGGCTCCTGGAATGAACGTATGGAACATGTTGGTGGTCATTTTTCTCGCGATATTGTCGAAGCCAAGGAAGAACGTGAGGACGAGGATCTCACCAACTGGGCGCTCTTGCAAGGCATCATCAAAGATGGTGGCAACGGTCGTCATGTTCTTGTTGATCAACCGCCAACGGCCACCGAACGTCCTTATGTGTCGAGAGATCGAGATGTCGCCATGACCGATGCGCCAAGCTCGGATGGCATATCCCGTGATGCCGAAGGCTCTCCATCGTTGAGCGCATCCTCGAGAAAGCCAGACACGGAGAGCAATTACCCCAACCTGGACAGTCCCCGTGAAGGTCGCCGTCTCAGCAACGCCATGAGTGCCAATGGTACGCCACGTGCTCCGTCGGCACCCTTGCTTGCGGCAGCTGGACAAGCCCTTGCTGCGGCTGCTCTTGGTGCGACTCCGGGCTCTCCAGAAAACAAGCTGCAACCTCCACCCACTCCTCCTGAGCGCAGAGGGTACAATCTGGCACCGCCACCTCTGCAGGGGGCGAGACAATCCTCAGCCCCTGCTGATAACGGCAGCGGAGACCGGCTAGAGGATCTTATCAATCAATTGATCAAGCCCAAGCCGCCCAAGACTCACCGTCGGCTCACGTGGAAATGCGTAAGTGGAGCGTGAATCCGTTTTCGCTGCTTTACACACTAATCAACATGCCACAGGATTGCAACCTCGAAATGTCTGTGGATATTGACGATGCCGACGAAACCGCCATTGAAAACCTCCAGGACATCAGCATCATTTGCAGCAAGACATCTAACCCCTATTTGAAGGTCTCTAAGAGCGGCAAGTATCAGGTGGTGGCTTGTGATGAACTCGCCGGCTACATCTGGAAAAACTCCAAACAGCCAGTGGAGCAACACAACCGTCCTACCGAGGTTCCCGTCAGCTAGAGGAGCAGGCGTTGCAGGAAATCACGAGAAAAGCAAGGGTTGCAGTGCTAAACGACAGTGTCCGAAGTAGACGTCGTTCGAAAACGAGACCATCACAATCGACACCCTCGTGGGCGCCAATCCCCATACGTTAGCTTCATCAATTACTTCTTTCAAGCGTCGATATGGTTATTCATGGTCGTTGGCGCTTAACGACTACGCTACAAGCCTGAGAGTCGTCACGATCGGATACGGAATTGCGAGACACGGAAAATGCCTGGGGTTTTCCAGACCATACAGATTTTACACGGACGACACACAATGGGTGGGCAGCATGGTTTTATCCTCCATTGTCACAGTGAATAGAACGGCGATGGTAGGAATCTTGCTTGGTCTTTGAGAGAATTGTTGGTTTCACAGGGCCTATGTCTGCTGAGGTCTCCGCCTTGTGATTGAAGAAGGCCAGAGAGTCAAAATTCCAATTGCCTTTGCACTCCTTGATCTTCAATGCCTGCCAAAGCATGTAGTTGCTTTCTTTACCTGCAATTCTGGCGCCTTGTAACTCCTCGAACCCTCCATTGTACGCAAATCACCACAAGGGCCACGGAACACCAGGAGTATTCACTAGCACGATGGTCGGACTCAAGATAGCTTAGCCTTGCACCTCGCCCTCGCGGATTATGTGACCTATCTGGAGCGTGAGAGATGAAGAGTGGAGAGGTACGGTGGTTAGAAAGTGCACGCCGGGGAATTTCCTGATGATTGCGGTCCACGAATGGAGGGCCACGAAGGATACAGTACCTGTACTTTGCACTTCACGTCACGCCTGCCTCGCCTGCAGGTTGATAGCGAGGCAGGGTCAGATACGTGCCGAGTCACCTTTACGGCAGAGCGCGAACAAGGGAACAGCCGAAGTTGCAGCTGCTTCTGCATGCTTGGACGGGCCTTGGGCTTAGGCCTTTGCAACAGGCCCAGGCAGACCCTCTTGACTTTCAGCCAAACAATCTCTTGATCGAAAGCACGTTCACAACATCTCTCCACAACCAGCCCACCCGTCATCCATATCTGATGTCTGAGCAAATCACTTTCAAAGACGCCACATTCCACAGGCTGAGGACAGTATCTCAGCGGCACATCAATATGGCGTTGGCCAGCGCATGTTGTTCTAAGGAGGACCTTTATCCTGTCCAATCTGCCGTTGAAGCCCGCTTTAGAAATCTCACTTTCTAAATCATGGCCTTGAGTGAGAGTTTCTTCTGCGTAGCTGTCTCACCGCATTCCCAGATCTTGTCTTTCCCGTCCAATCCTCGCTGTGGGCTAATTAGAATCCAGCGGTTGCGTTGAAGATCCTGGTCCGGCAGGCCCTGACCGTCAAAAGAACCTCTTTTTCGCCGTAACAAGACGCGAACAGTGGGACCGCAGTGGCGGCAATGTCCAGCCAGTCCAGATCTTTAGACATCCGCGACTGGCCCTTACAGCAGACGACCCGACAAGGTAGCATTACTTCATCACTCAGTTCTCCTTCGGAAACCACCAGTGTACATTTTGCCAATCTGAACCTGCCACCTACACCAGCCCTGTCTGGCCGCAGCGATTATGGCCGCCTATCATCTAACGGACCCGAGAACAGCGTCCACGTTCCCTTGAGCAAGCCTGTCCATATCTCTTTCAGCAAAGGCAGCAAGCTGTTCAAGTTGAAGTATTCGCAGATTCAGCTGCGGAGGGACGGTGCAGGACATCTGAAGCAGATTGAACTGAGCGACCCAGCAGGCCTGCAAAGTGCATTCATCCATTCATTCCCAGGCACCAAGATCCCTATCCCTCATCTCGAGCAACCTGTCACCTCCAGCACCTCTCATATCTCCCGGGTATCATTCCTTGAGGAACAGAATGTACAGACGGCACAGACTTTATTTCAAGCACAGCCCCAGTACACCTTCGAGACATGGGAAGGTACGTAGGACTGCACGCGCCCTCAATATTCATGAACGGCGTCTTATGAGCCCCCAGATTGCGTCCATTTCCAAGAAGCTCTGCTCAGCCAGACAGTGGTCTTCACGGCTGGCATTGCAGAGGCAAAGTCAAAGGGCCGTGGTGAAGAATGCATAAGCCAGAATCTGCGGATACTGCGATCTCGGACAGGGAAGCAGACGATTCTGTTCTTTGCAAATTCGCAGCGGAAGGAGAAGAAGCGCTATATCTCAATACCGCGTAAGTTCTGACGACGTGCGCGGGAAGCCGCGGTGGGCCAACCAGCAATGGCATCTATCTGGCACGAACGGGTCGTATAGAAGGCCATCCGCCGGGCGCTTGCGCCTTACGCCCCCACCTCTGTGTACTGGGCTCAGGATCGCCCGGTCTCCTTACGATATGAGCTTGCTGACGGACTTGCAGTTGACTGCATCGATCATATTGAGCAGAGCAAGAAATCAGGGCGGCCAATGTCCATTTCACTGCGACCAAACTTCGACTTGCTGGCACAGCTGAAAGCTCTGCACGTCTTGTTCCTGGACGAGAATGGTGAGTATTCCCTTCGGACGGTTGCTTCTTCCATTGCAGATGCCACAGCTATGTCAGCTAACGCTTTTTCCAGATCGTGAGTGCCCCATTCTCCCAAATGACAGTTGCAGTTGTTGCGATCAGTAGTTACCTTACGCTCCACCCACTCCCGTATGAGCTAACGGGATGTCTAGAAAAGAGGTTCTTCGGCCTGCTGTGCCATGGAGTGGGTTTCCAGGGATGATGAGAAGCTGTATCTACGTATGATGTGCATGAACTCCTGTTATATGAGCGTATGAGCGATGATGAGGATACCCAGTGACGATAATTATACCGGTAATGACTCGGGCGATTTTGTTTCGGGCATTTCGGTGAGGACAACAATCAGAGGGTGCAATGGCTGGACTTCAGATGAACAAGAGTGCTGTTGTATAACCGATCAGACTCCCATTCCGATCTGCTGCATTATCTTCGAAATCGTATGGCTTTGTTACTGGAACCAGCACTGATTTTCTGAGCTTACCCGCCTTGTCACTAAATTCCAGAAAATCCGTACCTCGTTGGCAGAGCAAAGAATTACAGCATGTTGGCGCCCGGAGCTTGGTCCAGATCCCTGGTCCTGGTCCTGGCCCGGGGGGTGGAGGTGCGAGGGTCCCTGCAGTCGTTTCGACCGGTGGGATGGCGGCGTGGTCGTGGGCTGAAGCACGGCTTTCGCAAGGCATTATAAACACAGTACGGGATAGCGCGGGCTGCGAACGGCCTACCGGCTCCGACCATCTCTCCACTAAATACACCGCGAAGATCCAGCCTTAAGATGCCTCACAGCAAGAGGTGAATCTGCTGCGCAGCCGCTGGCATCAAAACCGCTGGCGAGACTGTGTATACCCATTACTGATCCTCCGTAGCGGTCCGAGTGGTTGGAACTAAGCTCGTCCTTGCCTGGCTTATGACGCTCAAGTCGATGGCTAAGTCGTAACTCCCAAGCTCTCCAAGGAGGAAGGTGCCGGAAAAAGACTGATGGCGACACTGGAGAGCCAAGGAGCCTGCCGAGATCATGGCAGCCTAAGAAGATGGCTGGGAAGTCGAGCAGCATGCGGAGGCCTTGGGGGTCTTAGTACTGTACTCCGTAGAGCGCAGATGGATCTCTTCGAGATCCAAAAAAGGAGAAGGCTCGGAGACGAGGCCGTCGAGTTCCTCGCTCCCACGGCACGTGTCGATCCTGCGAATCTGACTGGGCGCTCTGAGTGTGCAAATCTCACACCTTTAGCGACGCCACCTCGACACCAGGAACGCGCCCAGTGAGCCTGGCAAGCCTCCTCGAAGCACCTCGCCAATCCGTTACACAGAGCACAACATGCGACCTTGGGCTGTACAGTACAGCCGTGACCTTGACGTCGCTATCCCCCAAACTCGGCGTGGGCACACCTTCTCTCCTGCGCAAGGCGGCACTCATGGAGACTAGCCGATATCTACAGGAGAGTTCCGATCTCTGGCATACTAACCATCGAAACACCTTGCGCGGAATGGTGCTCTCACTGGTCGATGAGCTGGTGCCCCCGCGTCCGTGGTTCCACGCCTTGCAGGGCCCCGGTTCTACGAGAAAGTAGCCTGATCATCGCCACACTAAAGACGCTTCATACTCGAGTCCCGCACCTCAACAGCCAAAAGCAATTCAGGCACTCGTCCTCACGGCCCCAGCGCCCTCCATTTATTCCTATCAACCATTATCTTCGTCCATCTGCCGTCCTCCATTTGCTCCAGCTCACAGTTGCAACCTGGCCAGCGGCGCTCCTCTCGCTTACTGTTTCGCTATTCTCAGTCGTCTGCACCATGGATCGTTGACGGCGGGGATTCCTCGCTTCCCGCCCCATTTTGGACCCCTCGAACCCCGTCATGGGACGATGGCGCGGCCGTCTGTATGCGACTGATCGCGCAAGAGATTTCGATCATGAAAGGGTGAGTGTTTGTTTCCAAAGCAGAGGCTGCGTCCGCAGAGACAAAGGAACTCACATCGCGCTTGCTCTCAGGATCGCCATGTGCGTGTCCGCCAGATCTACGAGACCATCGACCGACAGCCTTTCCAATGGGTCGTCGTTCTGGTCGCCGGAGTAGGATTTCTGCTCGATGGATTCTCGGTAGGCCCAAGTCTGTCGCAGTTCGCTCCCACCATTAATAGTGCGACAGCTCTTCGCTGCCAACATTGCGCTCCCCTTGATAGCCTACGTGTACTGGAATCAAGAAGTTTCCACCTACAAACTGACCTGTATTAATATCGTCACCCTCACTGGCACCTTGATCGGTCAAGCCACATTCGGGTTCCTGGCCGACAAGAAGGGGAGAAAGACGATGTATGGCATCGAGCTACTCTTGCTTATTGCCTCGACTCTCGGCGTCGTCATGAGCTCCGAAGGTCACAATGGGAGCATGAGCGTCTATGGATGGCTGATATGGTGGAGGCTGATGGTTGGGATTGGAGTGGGTGCGGATTATCCAGTGAGTGTTGGGTTCGACGAGGCTCTGGTGAAGCTGACCACGTGGTGCTAACGTGGCCATAGCTCTCTGCCACGATTTGTGCCGAGTTCGCGCCCACACGTCATCGCGCCCGAATGATGGCATGTGTCTTCTTCTCGCAGCCGCTCGGGCAAATCATGGGCAACCTCATCTCTTTGATCGTTATCGCCATCTCTCGCAAGTCGAGCGAGGACTCGGATGACCTTCGACGTTCCGTAGACATCATGTGGAGGTGGATTATCGGTATCGGCGTCGTTCCGGGCGTCATTGCTCTGCTTTTCCGTTTCGCTATCCCCGAAACACCACGGTTCCTGCTCGATATCGAAGACGATCCGGTCAAAGCCGAGTTTGATGCCACACAGTTGTTCGGCGAGACTTCCTTGAATAATGAGATGGAGGCGGGAATGTGGTGTGACTCGCTTCCGGAGTCTGCCCTCTCAACACGCTCACTTGATGACCGATCTGACGCCAGACCATCATTTACCGTGGCCTCGGCGCCTCCGGCCACACTTAACTCTTCTTGGAAGATCTCAAAGGCCGACATCAAACAGTACTTCTGGACAGAAGGCAACTGGAGGACATTGGCAGCTGTATCATGGTGCTGGCTTCTGTTGGACTTTGGGTATTACGGCATTGGCCTCTCCAATCCACAATTTCTGGCGAAGACTTGGGGGAATTTGAACATTACCGGACCTCGGCCTACGTGGAAGACCAACGACGACCCGGACGCCGACGTCTACGACATGTTCATGCATACTTCTATCCAAGCACTAGTGATATTGAATATTGGGAGCTTTATTGGAGGCTTGCTATTCATTCGTAAGTCTCTCTGGCCTGGACCCGATCAGTACCGCCGGAGTTCGAAAGACACTGGCTCTGCCGAGATTGACTTCCAACGCTGACGATATCCTAGTGGTGTCCAGCCGCTTGAATAGGGTATCTCTCCAGAAATACGGCTTTTTGGCTCTGGGCGCTCTGTTCATTGCCTTGGGCACGGAGTTTATCACAGTCCATCAGGAGGGTGCGCTGGCAATCACTCTGTACGGTAAGTTCTCCATTCCGAAAAGGCCCTGTTATATTGGTTCAATCTGACCGGGTTTGACAGTGTTTGGCCAACTGCTTTTCAATCTAGGTATGTCTCATCACATGCAATACACTCTTTTCCGTCTCTGATGGTGGACAGGCCCGAACTCGACAACATACATCATCCCTGCTGAACTCTTCCCAACACGCTACCGGTGTACATGTCATGGCATTGCCGCCGCCTCCGGCAAGCTCGGATCAATCCTGGTGCAGGTGTTCTCCTTCTACTACAAGTTTGGGTCCTCCTCGCCAGGCGACAATCAGACGAAGCGCTACGGTACGATCCTGGTCATTTTCTCGGCGTGTATGATACTTGGAGCCGCCATCACGCACTTCTTCGTTCCCGAAGTTCAAGAAAAGGCGAAGCGGGGATCACTTTGGGCTGGCAAGTGAGTATTCCTTGGTTCTTTATCGCACGGGACACGGCGTACAGACTCCGTTCGGTGCTGACGAATGTACTAGCTCCAAAACACTCGAGGAACTGGCGCTGGGCAGATGGTCCGCCGGCAGCCTAAGTGTAACACGCTCTGTACCGGTCAGGAGCATTGATGCGTTATGAGGTTGCGGTCATGTTCAGAATATCACTGTCCAAATGAATCTCGCACGGCGATAATGGAGTTGATGATCGAAATGTGGCGTGTACAGAATCAGTTGGGCATGCGCCCGTTGATGCGCAAAGAGCTGGAAAAGCGTGTTGAGCACTATACCCCGGATAACGCAAGTTTGTAGAGATACTGTCTAATGCTGTGCTATGCAGCTTGTACCATTTGACTGGCGTGACCCGGGACGGACCGGGAAGACGACGCTTGGCACAATTTAAGCTTAATCTTGAGCCACATCCCATTTCTTTCTGATTCTCGTCAACGTAACTCGACCAACTTCGCCCTCGCACATGGCTCAGGGCATATGGTCTGAGTCGGCCATACCGGCGCGTGGATCACTGTACACCTGAAGCAGTGGGAATGGCACAGCGAACCAGTCTCAGCAGACCGTCGTGGTTGCCGCTGCATCCTTGTGCGAGTTTCAGCGACCTTGAGTACTGCTACTCCGTATATATAGGTATGCATACCAGGTACATACCTGGGTCAATGATATGTACAGCAGGCCTTAAGGTGTGATCCCAGCTTCACGTACGGAAATGAGGTCTCTGCCCCGAGGCTAGGACATCTCTCTGTCGCCGGTCTCCCGAGTTACAACTCTGCTCGCACCTCTCCCGTCTCGATGACTCTTCACTGGTATCATTACTCGGCAACTGCTTTTCAACTTGCTTTCCTTCGCTCTGACAATATTTTGTTTCACATCCGCGTGATTGAGGTCGACATCAACGCAAACGGCGGGTTGCACTGCTTTCCTTCTCCATTGCCTTCTTCTCTGAGCTCAGTAGATATCCTCTCCAACATCGTCCAGCGTATCTCTCCTTCTTCCCTACTTATCCCTTGCCTTCATTCATACCGAGATGATGTCCTCCAAACCTCAACGGTACACTTTCTTCTGACATTCCAGGGCACGCTTGCGTCTCGATCAACAAGCCACACATACTACACCTGCTTGGCCTCCGACCTCGAACTTCGGAGACGAACTTAGCATCGTCACAACCCCAACGAACTCGCCAGCCAACGACTACTGTTCTACCTCATTCGACTCTGTTCACCCGTTCTGCAATCTTCAGCCAGCGACTGCCGGTCTACCTTAGTCGACCCTCATCTCAGGTTCTGCAATTTTTCAACCACTCTTTCAAGCTCTGTTTCCTTCGCCTCACCCTTGCATTCAGCAGTTCCTGAAGCGACGTCTACTTCTGTTCTTACGACCACTCTGAGCCACGTCCAGGAACACATACTGGAAGGCATGCAAACACGATGAGTGAAGTCATTGTGACTAGAGATCAAGTTGCGGCACTGAACTTGACATACCCACCTTTCCGAGAGCCGTCCTTCGAGTTGGCCGCAACTCAAGGTAGAAACCTTGCTGAACTGATTGCGCGTGAATTGAAAAAATGTCCTCACGAAATTCCACAACGACTGCTGCAAGAAGCAGAGTCCCTGGCAAACGCTCAAATTCCCACTGAGAGATTGATTGGTTTCATTGGCAATTCGGGAGCTGGAAAGAGCAGCACCCTCAACTCCGTCCTCGATCAGGTCGGCGTGGCAAGGACTGGTGCCTGCGGTTCTGCTGTCACACCTTTCGCCGCCGAATATCGCATCTGGCAGGAGAGGCATCATTCTGCATTCACATTGGAATGCGAATTGATGTCTCACCGAGAGCTCGGCGAGTACGTCGGTGACTTGCTACGTGACTTTTGGCGGATTTCAGCCGTCGACAAGGGGGCCCGAGATCCCCAGGACCAAAAGACCTATGACGACGGCAAGGCAGCGCAGGACATCTTCCAGGCAGCTTTTGGAGACCTCGAAGACTTTGATATGGACTTGCTCGAGCACGGCGACGACGATGAAAGCATCGAGCAGGCGAAACAGCATCTGATCAAATGGTGTCAACAACTCCAGTTCCCAGACGATATGCAGGACGATGGCACCTGGATCCAAGAAGCGCAGGATGCAGAGGAATGCCAGGACCAGCAATCACTTCTCCAAGACCGCGGTCTCTGGCCTTTCGTCAAACGTCTCTCTATCTTCGCCGTTATTGGTATTCTGAGCCGAGGCCTCACCTTGGTTGACCTTCCCGGGTTCAATGACACGAATCTCGCGAGAATCAGAGCAGCCCGCAAGGCTCAAAGTAAGTGCGACGATCTATGCCTGGTGGTAGACATCTCTCGGGCATGCGATCTACCCATCATCCCGCAGAACCTGGAGCTCATGAAGGCAAAGGCCGAAGCTCAGATGTCTACATGTGTCAATATCACTATCATATGCACACATTCAGCGGCATGTTTGGAAGGCAATCGCGTCCTGGAGAAACTAGCTGGCCGCGCCAAAGTCAGCAAAGCAAGGGCTGAGATTCAGCAGGCCGAGACAGAGAGCGACAAAGGCGTCAAGGACGCCCAGCGTAAACTTGACACACTACTGATCACTACCCGAAATGAGAAGGTTGTGAAAGACTTGAAGCGAAAGTACGGGTCGTACGTCAAGAACGGAAACTTCAAGGTCTTCTGCATCGACAACTCTTTGTACTCGAAGGCCAAGACAGAAGAAGAGAAGGAGCTAAGTGGCATTCCCGCGCTTCGGCAGCACCTCGAAGACCTTCCCGCGGAGCCGCTGTTCAAAGCTACGGATCTTTTCCTGGCAAAGGAAATTCCAGCATTGATAGGTTCCTTCGGCAATTGGGTGGAGTCTTGCAGGGTAGACCTAGAGCTTGAGAGCCGTCCACCTCTTCCAGAAGCGGCCGAGCTCGAGGCATGTCATGAAGATCTTTCGGAATGGGTCACAAGGATGCACGATGTCTTTGGGACGAGCATAAATTCTCCTCTGAAAGAAGGTGCTAGCAAAATCTGCAAGGCATGCCTAGAAGTGGCACGAGGTTGGGAATCATGGCCACATGCATCAGTGGGCTCATGGGCCCGGCACGACGGGAACTATTGCACCGCTGCCATGGGTACAAGATGCTGGAACGCGGAGCTCTTGGAGTGCTTCAACGACGAAGTGATGGGTCAAAGCTGGCACGACTTCGAGGTGCATACCGATCCTCTACTCAAAACCCTTCAGGCTAAAATTACTGAACGCGTGATGACATACGCTGCGCAGTGCCGCGAACTTCAAGCACCCACACACTTCGAGAAATCACTCCGGAACAGAATGGACATTCTCACAAGCGCCATGGAAAATGCCAGAAAGACATACATGAAAGGCATGGGACAGATGAGGCTCGGTGCAAACAGTGCGCATCAAAGCTCTTACATCGTGGATTGTATGCTTGAGACGTACAGGGAAGCCGGCCGACTATGTGGTAAGAAGCACCTTCCCTTGACGTTTCATGTGAACATGACTGACGGAAAACAGGGCATGCCGCTTCGAAGAAACGCCACCGTATGCTACAGGACCGAGTTTCGAGTGATGATTTCGTCGATGATTTCAGATCGCGATTGTTCGAGGAATTCCGGGAGATCATCAAAAAAGTCTCCGGCCGTATTGACACAGCTCTGAAAGCCACGATCGAGGCCGTAGAGTCCGATCTCGACGCGGTCCGGCCCAGGAAAGGCAAGGAAAAGTTGTTCAAGACATTCCCAGAGTACGGAGCGGACTGCGAGCGCATGTTATCGAAGGCGCACACCCAAATGGAGGAGATCAACGAACTTGCAGCGCAGGCACGATCAATGGCGAAGGAACAGTACAGTTGAGACAGGTTCACAGGAACGAGCATGATAGGCATGAGGCGAGGACACGGACAAGGAAGGCAAGGCTGATGCCACATCTGAATAGTCGAGCGGACTGTTCTGACAATGATTGGTCCCACCACCAGCACCTTATGTGCATCGAAATCGACTCAAAAACACAGAATTTGAAATTGCAACAAAGTCAGGCGACGACGGCGAAAAGAACACGATGATCTGAAGGTTCGCTGCAGCTCCGACTTGAATACAGCGGAACGATTTGACGACGAACCCATCCGCACCACACATCGTCCTCTTGACGCGGGACTTCGCCAGCTTCTAAATTATCACGAAATCTACTGAGCTCGTCCACTAGCTGGCAGAGAGCCGCGTTACGCCCCCGGCAAGGTGATACGGACGTACAGGCTGGGAGCCGCCTGCACGTAGCGACCTACATTGAGAATTGAGACGTATTGCACTTCCAAGTGAACAAGTATTTCTGCTGCAAACATACCCGTCGCCACCACTCAATACATACACCGGTACGTACGTAGGAATCATCGTGCGACAACTTCTCATAGCCGTAGCCTCGGTACCAGCTCCTATTGCCTTGAAACCAATTACGCTGCGTCGCCACAAGATTGATTCATACGACTACTGTATAGGGAAGAACAACGACCTCATCGCCCCTAATGGGTCACGGCATCCGTGCCTGGGGCAGCCTCACTATTCCACGGCTGTTGCTAATAGGGTCAAAGACCGCGCGCAACAACTACAGCACAAACGTCCAAAGCACGCCGCTGAGCGACCGCCTGGTAAGGGCATGGAACCGCAAGCTACTGTATCTTCACCTTTTTGAAACTGTTAGGATACAGTAAATATGACATTTTCCCTTCAGCATCCACTCATCAGCCCTGCAGATCGTTGCTGATATTACCGATGGTAACGCTCTTGATAGAGAGATACTCCTCAATGCCATATTTACTTCCTTCCCTTCCGAAGCCACTCTGTTTGACTCCTCCGAATGGTGAGGCGGCATCCGAGATCAGACCGGTATTCACGCCAACCATGCCCACCTCGAGGGCTTCGGCGACTCTGTAGATCCGGCCAATGTCTCGCGAGTAGAAATAACCGGCAAGGCCAACCTCAGCGTCGTTCGCCAGCGCAACGACTTCCTTCTCCGTCTTGAAGGGGAATAAACCCGCCACTGGACCAAATGTCTCCTCCTGCGCGATCGCCATGTCATTCGTGACGTTCGTGATCACTGTGGGGGCATAGAAATTCGAGCCCAAGTCAGGCAATTTCTTCCCTCCGATGATGACTTTGCCGCCTTTCTTTTCCGCGTCTCGAACGTGAGAGTCGACTTTCTCGATCGCACGATCATGGATTACAGGCCCGTGCGTGATGTTGTCGTCGAAGCCGTATCCGACCTTGAAGTTTCCGACCTTCTCGGCAAACCGTTTGGCGAATTCGTCATAGATTCCTTCTTGGACGTATAACCTGTTCGCGCACACGCAGGTCTGTCCAGAGCTGCGGAACTTGCATGCAACGGCACCGGCGACCGCTGCGTCCAGGTCGGGCGCGTCGTCGAAAACGATAAAAGGTGCGTTTCCGCCCAGTTCAAAGGAAAGTTTCTTGAGCGTGCTGCTTGCTTGTTTCATGAGGAGCTTGCCGACGTTCGTGCTCCCGGTGAAGGAAACTTTCTTCACCCGCGAATCTGAGGTGAGAATGGAACCGACCTCGGCTGTATTCTTGAGCGCTGTAATGATGTTGATCACGCCCGGAGGGAAGCCCGCCCGGCGAGACAATTCGGCCAGCGCATTGGCGGTAAAGGGTGTTTCACCGGGCGACTTAGCCACGACTGTGCATCCCGCGGCAATGGCGGGGCCAATCTTTCTTGTGATCATGGCGGCAGGGAAATTCCAGGGTGTGATGAGACCACACACGCCGACAGGCTGCTTGAGTGTCATGACTCTGTTTCCTGGGACGGAGGCCGGGATTGTATCGCCGTAGACTCGAGGCGCCTCCTCGCTAAACCACTGGAAGAAGTTTGCCGCATAGGTGACCTCTCCTTTGGCGTCGTTGAAGGGCTTCCCATTCTCCCACGTTATCAGGGTTGCTAAGTCGTCGGCGTTTTCGACCATCAGGTTATACCATTTCCGCAGCAATGTGGCTCTTTCTCGGGGCAGGGTCTTCTTGAACGAGTGGAAAGCCTCGGCAGCGGCGGCGATCGCATTGTTCGTATCGTCAGCGCTGAACTCGGGACATGATCCTATTTTCTTTCCGTTGCCGGGGTCGTGGACGTCGAAGGTCTGTGAAGAGGCGGCGTCAACGAATTTACCGTTGACAAAGGCCTGTTGGATGAGGAGAGAGGGGTCCTTGAGCTTGGGGGCGGAGGACATCTTGGCCGTGGACAGTACGCGATAGGAGGGGCAGGCTGAACGGTATATGGATGAGGGAAGACGAGGACGCGAGGAGGAGAGCAGCGTGCGGATGTAGAGAGAGGCCATTGTGCGCGAAGGAGAGAGAGGTTATACGAGTAGAGGAGCGGCTTGTTTTCGTGCTGGTGATGCGCCCTCCTCTTCCAGCGATTTATGTCATGGCCAATCAGTAATCACCTCGACCCGAAAGGAAGCATCTTATCCACTGGGGGGAAGAGTTCAACCACGTCTTACTGGCTCGAGTCGCGGGAGCTTTGTATCGAACTCGATTACTTCATGGCGAGGAAGCTCCAAAGCAGATGCGGAGATCTCCCCTGATGTCATCCTTCAGAGGGGGAGAAGGCCGTCACGTGCATCCTATCGACGTTGATTGATACGGTGCAGTACTCCTACCGTGTGTGCGGCTCTTCTTTCCCGCGACGTTTCTTCGGAGCACGCGTCGTGATTGTCCTTGAACTGTGAGTAAACAACCAGCGCCATGTCAGATCCCAAGCGAGTCAGGCGACGCCCAACGCGGCAGCAGAGCAAGAAGTCTCAAGATCGGGCAGATGGGGAGGGGAAAGTCGTAGAGACAGTCAATGCTTTGTCATGCCAGGACTTCTTCCAAAAGTACGAACCCCACGAGGCGCGTGTCAAGTTGTTATCCAGTGATCCACAGCTAGATAGTGTGACCGTAGATGATGCGGCGAGTCTGTCAGAGCCTTGGCGGGAGACATGTCTGAGATTGATTGAGCACACTAGCGCCCATGACTACGACAGCTCGGACTTCGGGTGGTCGGTCAGCAGGAAGAGGAAGGAGATGAAACTACCAGAGTTGAAATACATCACGCTTCTCGGCCAAGGCACAATTGCTGGCTTCATGTCCTTTATGGTCACTTACGAAGACGGCTTGGAAGTCCTCTACATATACGAGATCCACTTCTTTCCACACTGGCAGGGCAAAGGGTTGGGCAAGCAGCTGATGGATGTAGTCGGAAAAATTGCCCTCAATATCGGTCTCGCGAAAGTCATGTTGACTGTCTTCCGGGCGAACAAGAGGGCTGTTGACTGGTATACCAAGTTAGGCTACCAAGAAGACGACTTCTCTCCTGGTCCTCGCAAACTCAGAAATGGCACAGTGAAGGAGTCCAGCTACATTATCATGTCCAAGCAGTTGAAGAGCTGATGCGATTGTCGTCTATATTTGGCGCACACTTTTACCCTTCATTTCCGGTCGCTCCATCTCCCATTCGTCACGCATCACGGCGAACAAGGTGTCTGCAACAAGGATTGTGAGGCCCAGACTCCAAACCAGAGTGATGGCATAGAAGAAGTTGGCATTCCCAGATCCAGCGTATATCCACAAGTGGTGGAACGCAGGCCCGAGGAGGGTCGAGTACAGCAGGACTGAAGCTGCTATGAATGTGTATCGAGTTACTGGGCAAGTCAGCGTCTGCACGGAGCCCGCTGGGAGGGGTCTTACAGGGAAGAACATGTTGGTACAAAGGCAGGAACCCAAGATATAGCGAAACGTCGGCTATGCTTGGGTATGGTTTAAAGATCGCGAACAAGCCGAGGAGACTGGTAATGACAGAAAGAGGTTGATTCTGAAGTCGGAGAGTCATGCCTCCAACGTAGCCGACGAGGTGCAGCCAGAAGACACCGATGAAAAAATCCCGGAAGGAATCGAAGATCTCGATGAAGAAGTACCACCACAGTCCGACGTTGGGTGTCAGGTCAGGGACAGTGATCTGTGCGCCGTAGCACGACGCGAGGAAGTCCCAGAAGCCGTGGGTCAAGACTGGCACAGTTGCCAACAGGGCTGCCAGTCCTCCAACGTAGGATAGAATCGAGGTGGTCAGGGAAGTTGACGGAGATTTGTGATTGTGGATCAAGAGCAGAGTCGGCGGTAGGAGCAAAGCTGGATACATGGACAGATATGTGCCAGTGGCCAGGCCAAACATGGCTCGGATGGCATCTCCCGAGGAAGCATACAGGACTGCTTGGATGATAGCCGCGTTCGTGAAGAGACTGGTGCTCCGCCCAAGACAGGACAGAATGGTGAAAGGATTGAACAGATAAGCCGCTGCAATGAGTGGCCCGTCCAGCTTCCGGAACCGAGGGCTCGGAATCCGCAGGTTTTCTGCGATAGAATGGAGGGACATCGCGTTGAGAATGTCCAGGCCGACGAAGACGACCGTAGATGGTATTATCTCAAAGATGACAAGGAGTAGTGGAGCCTGGTGGAAGACACCGCCATCGTAAGGAGATAAGCCATGTTGGTACAGAAAAAGACCTTCCTGGAGTCTCCTGAAACTGGATATGGGGGTCGATATCTCGACTCGGGTGGTCAGGAAGTCGGTGATGTCGGGGAAGGCGACAAACACGAGGAGTCGTAGTAGCGCTGCGCCCGCATACACCGCTCCCGTCTTGTGGTCCAGCGATATTGACATTGCGTTATAACCAGGGCTTCCTCGCCCGCATTGGAAGTGGTTTGCGATGGTAGGAAATGCAGGCGTGGAAAGGAGGTTGATCGAGGCTGATGTGGCCGTAACTTGGAGTGGAGGTAAATCTGATCTGATCTAATCTAATCAGCGAAGAGCAAAACTGCGGCACAATTTCTCCACATCATGAACTTTTTCTCCAGCAGCATTTTGTTCTTGTCTCTGCAATTGTGCCAGTTCGTCCTGCTGACAGAGTCCGCCATGGCAAAACAGAAGAAGAAGGGCCAATCTGGCCAAGCAAAGAACTACATCACCAGAACCCAAGCTGTACGCAAACTTCAGATATCTTTACCAGACTTCCGAAGACTCTGCATTTTCAAAGGCATCTACCCTCGAGAGCCGAGAAATATCAAAAAAGCGAGCAAGTCTGCCACCCATTCCACCACCTTCTACTACACCAAAGACATTCAGTACCTTCTGCATGAGCCATTGCTGGGCAAATTCCGGGAACAAAAGGCCCTCGAGAAGAAGATCGCCAGGTCGCTTGGTCGCAACGAAGTGCAGGATGCAGTTCGGTTGGAGAAACATGGCATGCGCAAGGTCAAATTGGATCATATTGTGCGAGAACGATATCCTACCTTCGTCGATGCCCTCAGGGATCTCGACGATGCGCTTTCGCTCTTATTCCTCTTTGCCAACCTGCCTTCGACCACCGAAGTCCCCGCCAGGGTCATTTCTCGTTGTCAGCGTCTCTGCCACGAATTCGAGCACTTCCTCATCGCCACAAACTCGCTTCGCAAATCCTTCCTTTCCATCAAGGGCATCTACTATCAGGCGACCATCCAGGGCCAAGATATCATGTGGCTGGTGCCGTACAAATTTGTGCAGCGAGTCACGCAAGATGTGGATTACAGGATAATGGGCACATTTGTTGAGTTTTACTATACCTTGCTGGGCTTCGTCAATTACAGGCTCTATACCTCAATCGGTCTTGTGTATCCTCCTAAGTTTGACACGGCCAGCGACGAGCGAGGCGCTGAATTGGCGGCCTTCACCATCGAAGGTCGTCAGGTGGCCGGAGCAATTGAGCAAGGGCAAGAACCACACACGATCGCCAACGGACATGCACAGAACGGCAACACAGAGTTGGTGCAGGCTCAAATAGACAAGATCGCTCAGGAAACCGTACAAGAGCAGATGGTCGGGCAAGAGGAGCAGCCAGAAGACCAACCAGAAACCGACGGCATTGATACATTCACACCTGCAGCACCGGAAGGCGACACCCTGCCACAGCCGGATGTGACCTCTGAAGATGCGGCGCGGCTCTTTTCCGACTTCACATTCTTCATCTCCCGCGAAGCACCCCGTCACCCCATCGAGTTTCTGCTCAGAGCATTCGGCTGCAAGCGAGTTGGCTGGGATAATGTGCTCGGCGAAGGAGCCTTCACGCATGACGAGACCGACCCGAGGATCACGCACCAGATTGTTGACAGACCTGCGCCGGCGCAAGCGCTTCATAGCTTGCAGGGCCAGGAAGAGGTGAATGGCCAGAACCTCCAGATAGTCAAGCCTGGATTTATCATGCCCGGAAGGATCTATGTCCAGCCGCAATGGATCTGGGACAGCGTGAACGAAGGAAAGCTGCTGCCAACCAATGTCTATGCGCCTGGCGAGACTCTGCCACCCCATCTGAGTCCATGGATTAAACCCACGAGCGGCCAGTACGATCCAAGAGCAACGCTAGAAGAGCAGGAGCTAGAAGGGGAGACCGCAGCCGCCCCGCATGGAGAAGAAGAGGAGGAGGAGGCAGAAGAGGTTGGTCACATCGTTGGAAACGACGACGTTGAGGACAACGAGCACAGCGAGGAAGACGGCGATGATGGGGACGAGGAGATAGACGCTGGTGACATGGATGTTGCAGGGTCGGAAGGTGAATCAGAAGATCTGGACGAGGACGGTCGAGATGCCTTCGCTGGGTTCGAGGACGCTGCGGAGGAGACGTCTGACCTTGACGAGGAAGCCCAACATCAGAAGGAACTTGAAGCTGAAGCAGCTGGCCGAGCTGTCAGGCCTGACGGGAACGGGACGAACAAAAACAATAAGGCCATCAAAGCTCGACAGCTTGAGCGGACCAAAAAGGACGAGGAAATCGAGCGCCAGAAGATGATGATGAGCAACAAGAAGCGGAAACTGTTCGAAAAGATGCAGTACTCGAACAACAAGCGTGACGTCCAGGCAGAGAAGCTGCGGAGCAAGCGAAGAAAGTTGGAGGCGACCGGAAAGAGATGAGGCATAAGACTCTGGTGGCCCTCAGGCAGTGTTGCTCATTAGCGTGGCGTTGGGGTTTAGAGTCCAAAAAGCTAGGAATCTTTTGTAGGCGTCGATACTGCCGTACAAACTAGATACCTGGTGCGAATTGAGTGCACCAAGTGCTTTGTCTGATGAGCTCAGTCGCGGTGGTTGCCGGCTGTCCTGTTCCTACGGAGCACACAGTAGGGTTATGAGAGCCTGGTCACGTGAATTACCTAAAAGCGGCATGGGTGGGTACGCTGGAGCTTCTGAAATGTTGCGTAGCGCAGCTCCAAATCTTCAATCAAAAGCACGGTTGATGTCCCCTTGGCTCTTAACATTCGTTTGAACAAGAGCCTGGACGCGGGCAGCGCAGGTCAAGATGCTGCGTCTAGCAAGGCCCGTCAGCGCACACCTGCGTAGGCAGCTCGTCGCTCAAGCTGGACAATTCGAGGTACGCTTGAACATGTTGAACCGAGCTCAGACGACTAACACGTTGTCAACAGCGGAGAACCTTCGCAGAGAGGAATGACTCAATGTTAAGCTCAGATCCGGCCTTCTTACCAGGCAGTCAGTCCAAATCAGCCGCGGTTAAGACCGAAGTCCCTTTGGGCCCTGGTGGCCCTGGTTCAGCAGCTCCCAAAACCAACGCTGCGACACCTGCGACGCCTTCCTCCGATTCAACCATTCCTCCGCAGAACGTCCCATTGGCACCTCCGAGTCCACCTGCGAAGTCCCAGACAGCTCCGCCCACAGCTTCCTCGACCGTTAGCCCGGCTGAACAGCCTCCTCCACCACCTCCGTCGCAGAAACCCACTCCACCCACCCGGAAACGATTCTCCCGCTTCCGTTTTCTGCTCTACCTCATCGGTCTGTCGGCACTTGGCTACGGTGGGGCTGTCTTCTATGCGTTGAGAAACGACAACTTCCACGACTTCTTTACCGAGTACGTTCCGTTTGGGGAGGAGTCAGTTCTGTATTTCGAAGAACGCGCGTTCAAAAAGCGGTTTCCGAATGCTAGGCACAATGTAACGCGCTCGCTTCGGTCAGATGCGAGGGACCAGGACAAGGTCACCACCATTCCTGAAAAGTCTGGATTGTCCTGGCGAGCGGTCGAGGAGCCGGACAAGGGGAGCGATGTCACTCAAAAGGGCAAGCATATGAGCGCAGTCGATGCAGGGACATCAGTCACTTCAAAAGACGCTACCGATGCGAAACAAGACCCTCAAGGAGCGACTGCCAAAGAGAGGAGTGTTTCTGTCGAGACAGCAAAGAAAGGCGCCGCGGCCAAACAGGAAGGAAAACCAAAAGAGACCGCACCAGCGGAGCTTTCCAAACCAGCCGACACTTCTGCGAAAGCGCCCTCTCCTCCACCTTCGCCTGAGAAGAGTCCAGAGGCTTCCCCGGCCTCTTCAACAGCCGATACAAGGCCGCCTGCCATTCCCCCAGTGTCACAGATATCACCGCTAAGTGTCCCCAATGCCGATGAGCCCGTGGTACAAGAACTGGTGAAAATCGTCAACGATTTGATTACGGTGGTGAACTCTGACTCCCCCGACGCGGCCAACAAGTATTCCCTGCCAATGGCAAAGGCCAAGGAGTCGCTCGAACAAGTCGCCAGCAAGATTACCGCATTACGTGATGCAGAGCGCAAGGCCGCCGAAGAGCGCATTGCTCAGGCGCACAGAGAGTTCGACGAGGGTGCTAAACAACTGCTGAAGCGCATTGAAACCGCCCAAGCCGAAGACGATGCCCGATACCGTGAAGAATTTGAGACCGAACGTGCCCGACTAGCTCAGGTCTATGAAGAGAAGGTAAAGACTGAAGTGCAACGCAGCACGGAATTAGTCGAGCAGCGTCTAAAGAACGAACTCGCTGAGCAAGCGATCGAGATGAAGCGCGATTTCGTTGCGCAGGTGAAGGATCTAGTGGAAGCTGAGCGCGAGGGGCGGTTGAGCAAACTCTCGGACCTGTCTTCCAACGTGGACTCACTAACCGAGCTCACGTCAAACTGGAATGGCGTGATCGATTCCAACCTGGCAACACAGAAACTCCAAGTCGCAGTGGATGCCGTGCGCTCCTCTCTCGACGCTTCGGCCGTCTCGGACGCGAAGCCAAGAGCATTTGTGCGTGAAATGGCCGCATTGAAACTTGTGGCCGAAGGCGATCCGGTCGTCGACGCGGCCATCGCAAGCATCAACCCTGCTGCATACCAGAATGGGATCCCGTCACAACCACAACTGATCGACCGGTTCCGTCGCGTCGCAAGCGAAGTAAGGAAAGCTTCCCTGCTACCCGAGAATGCGGGTATCGCTTCACACGCTGCTTCGCTCGTCCTATCGAATGTACTGTTCAAGAAGCGCGGCCAACCCACCGGTTCCGATGTGGAGAGCGTCCTCACCCGCACAGAGACTCTCCTGGAGGAAGGCGATCTCGACGGTGCGGCAAGAGAGATGAACTCCCTGCAGGGGTGGGCCAAAGTGTTGTCGCGGGACTGGTTGAGCGATGTTAGGAAAGCGCTGGAGGTGAAGCAGGCGTTGGACGTTATCGAGACGGAGGCACGGTTACAGTGCTTGCGGGTCGGATGAGCGGCCCAAACGCAGACAGCAGACATTTTTGAAAAGAAAACAAAGAAGCAGAACGCAGCGGCGCTATCGAGGTTTGTACAGTAAAGTTCGCCGTTGTAGACCGGCAAGGACAAATAGTCCTCGGTATCATCATTCTAGGAGCTCTGTGCACCTGTCGCCCACGATTAGGCCCTGTAGACGCCCGCGACATCAACTGGAGGGACGCCAGACCACTTCACATCCGCACCGCACGTGCCGGTCCTTGCCTGAGTCGCATTGTTGCTCCAGCTGCAAACCAATGACATCCAGCCTCGTGTGACGGGGCAGGCTATATCTTTTGTCTGCGCGGCGTCAAGGGAGCCGGTATCCTCGACCTGATCTTTCTTCATTTGCATGGCACCAGTAAGAACACCTCACATCCTCACGTGCATGTCGTCGTCGTCATCCAATGCGGCTGTTACAAATTTATACAAAGTGGTGTACCGTCGTAGCAGTTAAGAACACCAAAAAAGGTTGAATGCCCAACCGCGAAAGGAGAAACCGTCCCCCTCCCTCCTGAAATCAATTCCTGCCCGGCGGTAGACTTGCCATCGAGTGCCTCCTTTGCTGGATAAGCCAATACCGTCACCTTGTGCTGCACAGATAATCCTTCATACTGGCAAGGTTCTGGTCCGTTTTCTATTACCATGTCTCGACCTTTTGTCGGTCATAGAAAGCGAAAATACCGCGCCGTCATTCAAGCCAGAACATCCATCTGACCCCTCTTATCAGGCACCTGCCCACCCCCAGTATTGCCTGAATCACACTCACAACCGCCCAGATTAGCCACAGCAACCCCACAACCGTCCACTCAATGCCGGCAAACCACAATTTTCTGAAAAGCCGGATCGGGCCCCTCCGTTTGCGGCGAAACGCGACATCGATCGTGTCGTTGAGTTCTTTCACAGCAAGAGTGGAGGTTGTGGAGAGTTTCATGGAGAGTTCACCGGCGGAATCGGCCGTCACGCGGACCTGTGGTGTCATGGTGTTTTCGACTTGGTCTTCGAGGCTTTGCAGCTGGGTGTGCAATGTCGGGATCAGAGAGCTGGTAAACGAGTGGAGTTTAGTGTTGAACGTCGAGGAGTGGCCTTCCAAAGTCTTCATGATATTCTGGGCTGCGACGATATGCCGTTCGCGCTTCCTCACACGAAGCGGCTTGGTTGAATGTAAGGCCTTGTTCTCCGCCGTGAGGCTTTCGTACAGGTACCTTGGAAGCTCCTCCCCAGAATCGTCTGCTCGGCGACCGATCTCTCGAGCTTTCACGGTAGAAGTGTACAACAACGCGTAAGCACGTTCAATGTCTCGCCACGAGACATCTCCAGCCTCGCGGTTTTCCAGTCCTCCCGGCGACCCAGCAGCGCTGGAGACATCACCCGTGGATTTCACAGGCCGAAGACGAGTGAGGCCTGTGACAGGACCTAGAACAGAGTTGAGTTGATCTGAAGCATCCCTCGATCGGCTCAGATCAAGCGCGGCACCGAATCCGTACGTATTCTGCCGACTCAACTCATTGGGCGTGTTGGGTGCGCCAGTATCGAGTTTGGGCAGCTGGGCAAGTCGCGGCGAATGAGAATTTGACCGCGGCCGAACCGTGAGATGAGGCGTGTTGTCAGTAGAGTCTTTTCGAACGACGGCATCTTCTGGGGACAATAGGCCCTGCTTCTTTTCCTGCTGATCGCGATCCCTTTGAAAAGGCGAGGTGAAACTTGGCAGATTGGGATTGTTGTATCGAGGCCGATCATGATTGGAAGAACTTGCTTTCGTGGCAATCGGGGAGACCTGGTCGCTGGGCGTGCTTTCAAGGGTAGAAGACCTTGAGCGCGCAAGTGGTGGCGGAGTCTTCAAAATGGTCCCGTTTTGGTGGTGGTGATGATGGTCCTTGTCCGAGTCAGATGCATACGAGCGGATGCTGCCTTCCGAGGCCGAACCTCTGTGCCTGTATACCGTGGGCGGATCACGTTTCCAAATAAAGTCCCCAACCCGAGATACTTCGTTGCCAACAATCTCTGCAATGCGGCCTCCTTTGAAGATACCACGGAGTCTTGAATGATCACCTCCGGCCGTCCCAGTAGATCGTGTGCTGACCTTACTGGCCACGCTGTGCCTTTGTTCGTTTAACGATTGTGGCACCATGTCATCCGCTGCTACTGAGTGTGAGCCATTCTCGGACAAGGGGCTAAGCCCCCTTGTCATCGGACTGTGGCCACGAGAATCAGCAGCCTTGGTTTGCTTCACTGATTCATGGCTCACTTGCACGTGTGGGATGTGCGCGAAGTCAGTTGTGCTGACCGACCCTTGTTCTTTGTGCGACTTCCGATGGAACGGCTGCAAGATTGTGGAGATGGGTCTCCTTGCAGGCGAACCGGGTCGGCTGGGAGGTGGAGAGAGATTGATAGCGATACTTGGCCATTCCAGGTTGGTAGGGGAGTTCGGAGCTGTAGTGCTGTCATAATCAGTGGAAGCGCGTGGTTGAGGCTCGTGCTCGAGACTTGACCTGTTCGGCACCTGTGCTGCAGAGCGAGGTCGCGAGCCGTCGTGTCTGTTTCGAGATCGAGTCAGTGGTGCGGCTTTCTTGAAAGTGTCAACCCCGAACAGCTTGTTGAGTGCTGGATGGTCGATCGAGCCTCTTTTCGAAGTGGGCGCCGAAGAGCCTTGACTTGAATCTCCGTGCCCGTTTCCGAGAGATTGAGACGGTCGCTTTGAATGCAAATGGCTGCGTCGCTGTTCCCCAGCATCGGTTGTCGGGGCATCCTGCCTCTTCCGTCGCAGTCTCTTACGGCCACGTTCGCCATCTGATGAGAGACTAGAGTATTCAGAATCGCTGCTATCCTGAAACAACTTCTTCCTGATCCGAGACCGCTCTCGGGAGCTGCTGCCTTCCTTGGGTTGTAATGAATCCCGAATGATATCCCTACGCCTGCCGTGACGGCCACTTCGGTGCAGATGATGAGCCGACTTGAATGTTGGTAACTCGGGCAGGGCCGACGGGGGCGGCTCGCGGAACGAATCAGCCTGAGACTCTGGGGGCGGAGATGGCTGTTGCAGTCTACTAGGTACTTCGACGGCGGGAGCGCGACTACGCCATCCAGAGAATTTGAATTGTGTGTCAGGCGGATAAATTGGATTGTTGTCTCGGTCTTGTATTTTCGTCTTGTTCAAGCCTTGCTCCAGCCAAAAGGCGTCAGCGATCAGATCAGCGGGATGAGTGACCCAGTCGGACCGCGGGCGGCTAGGCTTGGGGTGGAGCTGGTCCGGTGTTCGATGCGACATTGTACTCCTGGGTTCTTCTTCCGGGTTATCGGCGGCTTCATCAGCAGTTTCCACTGTACGTAGCGAAAGCGGAGGTAAGCGAACGCATTCCAGGGAGTCGTGCTGGGTTTCTGTGTGACTTGAGATCACGGCATCAACCCAAGCCCTGACTTTCTCTACATCGTGCCATCCCTCGGCTTCGCTGTTGATAGGAGTCTTCTCCCAGATACGCAACTTCCTATTGCGGACGTACTGTAGGGGATTGTAGGCCTTTTGGTGCGTTTCTGGTCCGCCCGGAGGTGCTGGTGTGCCTGGTCTCCGAAGCGGAGGCAAGTGCGAAAGAAGCCGTCGATGTTCGTGGGCGAGCTCGAAGTAGATTTTTGCCTTCTCGACACGAGCTGCAGTGGCTGGGGAGACGTGGTCAGCAAACCCAGTATCAAGGTCAAGATCATCCTCGCCCTCAGTCACAGACGTGTCGAGAGGCTGGTTTAGTAGGCCCCCAACAGAGTCCTGTTGCTTAGCTGAAGATCTGCGACCTGGAGAACGGCTCTGCGATAGTCGACGTTTTGTTGACATAAATGGGGCGATGCTTCGTCGCCGAACGGTATTGTTTGGCTTGACGGTTGATGCGACAGAAAGGATGCGACGGTCGCCGTGCTCACTGGAGACATATCTTCTTCCTGAGGCCATACGACGTCGACCTTCACTCAGGCTCAGAGCCATGTTGACAATACGGGCCGGGTCGTTGTCGTAGCCGACCTTGGCCACCGATGTGTTTTCAGCCGTCATATTATGGGATGTCGAAGCTGAGCTCCCCGTAAATCTAGTTCCTTTTTGAGACGACGAAAGCGACCGTCGGACGTCAGTACCTGCGACGAGCTGATCTGGGCTAGGAGAATGGTGGATGACAGGTTCCTGCTTGACTTCACTCGCCAGCGGAGAACTTTTGAAGGATGTATTCGAGTAGCCGTTAGGCTTATGCCTTCTCTTTGCGATCGACAAATCGGAGTCGCCGCCATCGCGTTTCCTTTCTGAAGATCGTTGGGAAGGAGTCGGCGGTCCTCGAGAGGCACGCTTCGGATTGGAGATGGGCTCGAGAAGAAACCCGCCTGAGGTTCGCGAACCGTTATGACGAGGAGCCTCGTTTTCTTTCCCCTTCTCCTTTTCCCTGCTGTGATCGCTCCGTGCACTGCTGCCACCGAAGGAAAGACGCTCTAATAACCCATTGTATGCTGGTTCAGGAGTGCGCCTGCCAGTCCGATGACTGTCTGATCCTGAAGCGGGTGACGATGTCCTCGAGGCTCGGCCGTCTCGCTCGTTGACAGGATCTCGAACAGGATGAAAGACAGGCAGCGACAGCCGATTAGATTCAGGGCGGTCCGTATCGCTGGCAGCTCGGCCGTCAGGAGGTGTGGGAGAAGTCGACATCAGTCACCTGCCCATCAAAGCAGGTGCACTGGTCGGCTACCGCAGCTTCCTGCGCGCAGTTATAGACGGAACCATTGCAATGAGCAAATAATACGGTGTGGTAGTGCTCGCGTCGCCGTCGAGGAAGGTCAACGTCTTCGTAACTTGAACGAAGACTTGAGTCGTTCGCTAGGTCGGGGAACTTCTGGATCACAAGGTCACTCGGCCGCTGCCCGCATGGATGGCCGTCCAGGTTGTAAATCAACTACTCCGTACTGTGTAAATAATCCGGAGCGGAGGTGATGCGATGGGGCAGCAGGACTACTGCCTAAGCCAGGCTGCGAACCAATTGGTGGGCGTAGGGGGTTTAGGGTTGCGAAGGTTACGGGCACGACAGGGCACTTCATTTAGGGCCCGTGGCAGGTCGGGCAGCTGCGTGCAGCTTTAACCAAGTTAGACTTGACGCCCGCTGGCTCGTCAACCACGACACATTCATGCTTGTTTACTGAGGCAGGGCACCGGTTGCGATGTGGTCACTCTGGATGACATGTATTTGCGGCAGTACCACCAGGTACCGTCACACTGTTTGACAAGAAGACTAGGTTCAGTGACTACCAAACAGGTAAACTTCCATCTACTGAGCATGTGTAGCTCGTGTGGACACCCACTAAATCTCATCTTGTGGAGCGATGGGCCAGAACAGCATTTGGTCTAGAAGATCTCCATGTTTGTCTTCGGTCGATAGTCCCCGCCAGCATATAAGTAGTGATACAGTACACAGTTCCTCGTACTCTCGTGGTCTTCCACCACTTCTAGCTTGTGCCTTCTCCTTCCACTAACCTCAATATGCTGAGTCTGACCTGTTCACTTGTCTGGATCCTGTTGTGTCCTCCGTGCCGCACTCTCTCCCACCGCAATTGCTTGCTGCCATCCTCGCTCCTGAACTCCTCATGATTCAAATCTCGCGTCGAGTCGGTCTTGCCGTTCGACGCCGCTGCCAACACGTGGTCCCAGTTCGCGCGGCCCTCCTGCCATGGGATCTCATAGTCGTTACGAGCATGTAACATGACCAGGTTCAGCTGTACACCGGGCGTCTTCGCCAACTCCACCAACCTGGAGCTCGCGTCCCATCTGTCTTCGATCTTGGACCGCAAGTAGTCTTGGATGCGGGGGTATCCCATCAAAGGAGACAGCAGGGGCGGGGTAAGTCCCTTGAACGAGTAAGATTCAAGAAGATTGGGCAACGAGGTGAAGCTGGCAATCAACACCAAGGCCTTGAATGGAGCCCTGCCAAGCTTCAATACCCATTCGTGGTAAAAGGCTGTCGAGATGAAAGTTCCCATGGACTGTCCAACAAGCACGATTTGAGATGGATCAAGATGCTGCTCCGGCGCCCGCCGTCCTCTTCCGCTCTCGTTAGAATAGCCTGTCAGAGCAGACAGCAAGGCCACTGCGTCCTGAACGACACCGGTCTCTGTGGGACTTCCTGTGCTAAGCCCAAATCCCCGATAGTCGAAGGCAATGACATGCACCGGTTTCTCTGGCGTTGACACTCCGAGCATCTGTTGATATGCGCTTGGGCGATAGTTAGAAGCAAGGTGTGCGGCGTTCCCATGGAAGGCCACCACGGCGGTCGCATGTGGGTCTTTCAGGAGTAGTTGCAAGCCCACACTCTTGGAGGCGGCCTGGAAAGGCTTCAAGCCAAAATCGGGCTGAGCTTTTAAAGCGCGTTCGTGCTTGTAGTACAGATGAGTAGGCAGAATATGCCAGGCGAAGAGGGTGACGTTGTCCGAGGTAGTGACAGTGAAAGGCTGAATCTGATGATGGATGAAGCCAAACTGCTCGGTGTTGTTGAGGTCCTGCCAGTAAGTAGGATTGAGGTTGTGAACATATGTCACGTTCCGCTGGACGACTGGGATGGTCAAGCTACCCATCGCCAGGGCATATATCAGACCACATGCCGCCAGGCCCCAGAAAGCCTTGCGGAAGAGATTGTCGAATGCCATCTCGGCGGAGAACCCACCAGCAGAGGTAAGTTGTTCGGGCCAAACTCTGTGTCTTTCTACAAGACCCGCGCACTTACACACTCATCATCAAGAGATTGGGCCCGGCACCTGTTGTCCACCCACCCGTAATCATTATAAGATGCTGTTGGAACAGTTGTCGGAGTGGATGAGCTTGAAGTGAGGGATCCGAATCCCCTCGGCTGACCTTCCCCGGCAGAAACATCGTCGACCAGGCACTCCGGCTGCTACAACCAAGTAAATGTACTTCGATCTCAATCCTCCCAACCAGCCACTGAGGCAAGACAGTTCGCTATCGGTCGATCATGGCCGACGTGACTCCCCAGAAGCGAGCACTTCCCGCTCGAGAGCGACGAGAATCTGCAGCGAAGCGAAGAGCCTTGTCGCCGGCGCAACCTCCTCCGAACACGTCCCCTCCCATCGATCCCAAACCATCAACGGCCGCCGCCACGCCAGCTACTGGCCGAAAGACGGGGTACACACGCGGGCCGTACAAGAAGCGAGCCAGCTTAATCCAGGCTCAGACTCCCACCTCAGGTTCCCGCTCATCACCTTCAGTCTCCACCTCCGTAGATGCCTTGCCTACCCGTGTTGTGGCGCACAAGCCGTTACCTACGACGAAAGAAAAGCCCCCTTCGAAACTGTCCCTCAAAGAGTACCTGTCTATTGCTGAGAGCACCATTCTGGCCGCGTCCTTGTACCAATCCCGCATACAATGGCTGTATAATGGCGTCTTCCAGAAGTACTATGTCAAGAAGAGGAAGGGCGTCGAGGTGCCTCCCAGTAACCCAGATATCAAGTCAATGCAGCGCTTGGGCCCTGCCACAATAACCGTCGAACCCCATACCTTTGATGTTATGTTTTACGTGGTCAAGGATGCTACGGTACCTCTGCCCTACCCACGTCATGCAAATCAGCACACCGTCAAACAGATGGGCCCTCCGTCGCACCCTCCGCCATATACTGGCCTCCCTCCCCAGGCTCCATACCAACAGCACCAGACCCCACCGACTGTGTCCAATCGCCCTTCGGCCACCATGCCTCCCACCCCTAAGCCTGTGCCTACACAAGAGCCTCCACCTCCAAAAGCCACCGAGAATGGCGCTCCCAAAGGGTCCAAACACGAAAATAATGCTCACCCTGCATCCGTTAATCTTCCGGCAGCACAGACGCCAAATGAGAGGCAAACTCAAGCACCACAACCTGGTCCAAAGCCCAGTCCAGCAGCCGCAGGGAAAGGAAGTACGCAAGATCCGGTGATCCAGATGCTAGCTGCGCGCGCTGCGTCAGACCCACAGTTGAAGGAGTTGATGAAGGTTGTGGCTACCTCCAGGGCGTCGCCGGAACAGTTGAAGGAGTTCCAATCCCACATCGACGAGTTCAACGAGGTCATTCGGCGGCAGGAAGCTGCGCGAGTTGCCAAGAAAGAAGGAACCCCCAGCCAGCCGTCGTCGACTAAGCCTGTACCGGAAGCCTCTCAACCTGCACCCGATATGCAATCCACGCCCGCTATACCGAGTTCACCAGCTGGACCGGCAGCAACCATGCCATCTACACAACCTACTGTGCAAAGTGCTCCTCGAACGCAGCCACTTCAGTCGGGCCCGGCTTCCACCCCCGCAGGCCCACCGCCAGCAGCAGCAGCGTTACCCGGAGTGGTGCACACATTTCGAAATCCCCCTGCGCCGCTTGGCCGTGGAGGTCCATTAGCTGGCTATGGTGGGTATGCAGCTCCACCTCCGGGCCGACCAGAGCCCTTCATCAAGCATGTTGTCCTGGAATTTACCAGTGTGCCCGCAGGCGGTCTGGCTGCTTGTCCAGACAGATGGTTGTTTCCCGAGCATGCAGTGCTGGACATGCGGCCGAATGGACTGGACATGATCTGCTCCTTCTTGGTAGAACTCCAAGGTTCGCAGATCATGTCCTGGGCGGGCGCTGGGTCTTCTGCAGGTAAAGGTGATTCGGAAGGCAAGTGGCAAGCAGACCAAGAATATTATCAGCCAGTGACCATGACGGTCAGAGCGCGAGATCACAAAGTCATCCAGACGATCGCCAAAGCCGCGAAGACACTCCCGGCAGTCCAAGAGTACATGAAGGAAGTGATGAGCAAGAAACAGCGGGCCCCGGTGGAATATCTGGTGCATCGATTGCCACGCGAAAGGAGCCATGTGGGCGCGGAAGACACGGAGACGGGGTTTGTGGACAGCGGCGTGGAACTTGGCAGCGATGCTGCGTCAGAAGACGACGACTTGAAGGACTGGTATGGCATATGAGGAGTGAAGCATCGACTCGGCTGGCTGATAACGGGCGATCATCTGGGTTTAGCCTTGATTCGGTACCTAGGCGATCTCGGTACCTGATGCGGATGAATCAGAGCAGCTCATGTGCTGTACTGCTACCCGACTGCAGGTGACTTGGGCATCGGACCACACTGTAACAAAGTGGCCGCTTGTCGTTGCAAGCCAATCCACACACGCGACGTTGATGAAGCCGGCGAGCGGCAAGGGTGACTTGTGCCTGACCGGAATCGCTCTTGCGTAGTATTGCACGAAGCTAGCATGTGATGTTTCCTCTTTCCATCTTGTCTGCTGGTCCTCCTCTAGACGTAGTGTTTGGAGTATGGGCTCCGATGCTTTATAACTCGGGGGTTCGACAGCGGAGCGTACGAGTCATTGCGACAAGTCCACGTGAACTCCGGCCGACACCAACCTTGATGAGCATCTCGGATTTCGGGTGAAGTGAGCCGTCGGCCGTTCCGCTTTGCCTTCTCGCTCACTCCGCCGCACAAGGTAATTAAGACGGGACCAGCATCCGCCATGGACCCAGAGCGAGTGCCGGACCATGTCATCGTGCGTCGAACCAAGGCGTCTATGATGTTGCCGGCCGTGCCTGGGACACTTGCCCCCGGTCACGACCAACTAACCACACGACCCTTGCTGCCACCAGTCGGTTCGAACCAACCACAACACCTGTCGGGACTGTGGCACCATATGGTTCGCATCTGTCTATCCACCCATTGACCCAGCTGCTATTCGCCATCTTCATGTCATCGGCGGACCTAGAACAACCTCCACGGAGGGCATCTTGAACCGCGCGCGCCAGTGCTTCCTCACCCGCGCAAACACAATCAGCGCCACACAAAGCCATATCCTGGAGTATCACTCCCCAGACTTGCCATGAACCTTTGCTCGCATGTCGCTCTCTAATTCTTTCTCTCCTTCTCCTTTCCCTCCTGTCGACGACGCTCCTTCCAAGCCCACTCAGATAAAATTCTATCGTCCGGCGCAAATGGCGCTCTTTGCAAAGCTTGCGACTTATCCTCCACTGGCCCAAGTCACGGTGGTTTCTCCTACACGAGACAAGGTGAATATCCGCCTTTCTCTTCTGACTTCTGAGCGCGGCCGAGCGTGTGGCAGAGCCGGACCGCTCGACGGACTTCCTGCATGAGGATGACGTCTGGACAGACCCCCTTTGTTCATCACACTGATACCTCCGTAGTTCAACTTTACCGTTGTCCTCGAATCATCAAGATCGTTGCCCGAAAGACCGTGGGAGGTTTCGATCTGGTATGACCACGGGAGTTACGCCGGGAACAAATCGCCATGGCAAGCCCTGGATCTGAAGCTCGAGCACACCACTCCAGCGGTTCTTTATGACGATACGCAAGCCGACAACTACCGGTATACCTTCTCTGGCGACCTCGACAGCCCTTTTGTGTCCTTTGGCCGGACCTACAAGGGCCGAAGAGTGCCTTTCACGGTCCGCTTCCGCGTCGATCCAACCGCGGAATGGTCGTGGGTGTACCACAACTTCGGCATCAGAGATGGCGAACTTATTCTGCAGCCTCCTATTGACCCTAATTTCCTCGGCGCATCCCCGGTGGAGGTCGAGGAAGGTTGGACATTGCGAAAGACGCCAAGCGATGCACCCGAAGCTCGATTATACACCATCGAATCAGCCCACCCGATACCGACCCCGGACGCTGGAAATGCGTCGCCAGAATCACTTGTCCTTGGTCGTGTAACTCAAGTGTGTCGCTGGCTGGCCCTGGTCCGGATCTGGGAGCCATGGTTTGCCCCTAGGCACGGTGGAAATCGACTTCACCTGTCTGAACCAGCAATTCTACTCTCCTTCCTCCGCTCTGATGGTCTGCATGTCGTCCTGCTGGCGGTGAACGGCATCGATGAGGCCCTGACAGAGTTTACATCCACCCACGACGGTGCAATTGTGGTTCGGGCTAGGAATGATACAGGACGAGATCGCAAGTACAAAATCCTGGCGGCTTCTGCTTGGAACTTCGAGGTCGCAAATGCCGCCGTCATGTACGAGATGCGCAAACTAGTCCGCCAGTCCAAAGCATACCACCAAGCGCTAGAACAGCTAGAGCGATTACCCAGAAGCATCCGATCAGAGTCTCTAGATTCAGATACGGTGCTTGTCAATCACGAGAAGCATCCCACCAACGATCCAACAGTGACTCCGCAGTGGCTAGGTAGTTGGTATGACAGCCTTGCCTATTGTACCTGGAACTCTCTCGGCCAGGATCTGAATGCACAGAAGATCATGGACGGACTAGATTCGCTGGCTCGACACAAGATCTACATCTCGACCTTGATCATTGACGACAACTGGCAATCCCTCGATGGCACGCAAGGAGAAACAAATCAATTCCAACGTGGCTGGAGGGACTTCGAAGCCAATCCACTGGGCTTCCCTAAAGGCCTGAAAGCAGCAGTCGACAAGATCAGAGAGACCCACCCAAAGATCCGTGATATTGCTGTCTGGCACGCGCTCATGGGTTATTGGGGCTGTGTCTCTGCAGACGGCAAGATTGCACAAACGTACAAGACGCAGGAGGTCACATTCCGAGAAGGAACTCCCATGGCCGGCCGCAAATTGGTGGTCCACCCAGACGACATCCACCGCATGTACGACGACTTTTATCGTTTCCTGTCGAACGCAGGCGTCACCGGCGTCAAAACAGACGTCCAGTTCGCACTCGACCTCCTCAACGACACACCAGACCGACGATCCTTTACGAATACCTACCAGTCGGCGTGGACGCAGGCACACCTACGCCACCTCTCTGGAAAAGCCATCTCGTGCATGTCTATGCTGCCACAGATCCTCTTTCACAGCTTTCTGCCGACCACAACTCCCCGAATTCTGCTCCGCAACAGCGACGATTTCTTTCCAAACGTGCCCACGTCGCATGCGTGGCATATCTTCGTCAACGCCCACAACGCGCTTTTCACCCAGCATCTCAATATTCTTCCGGACTGGGACATGTTCCAATCCAGTCATCCTTATAGTGGCTTCCATGCCGCTGCACGTTGCGTCTCTGGCGGACCAATCTACATCACAGACACGCCCGGCGAGCACGACGTCGGGCTCATCCAGCAAATGACGGCGCTGAGTCCGAGGGGACAGACGATTATCCTGCGACCCAGCTGTGTTGGCAAGACCATGGGTGTCTACGACAAGTACGACGAAAAGAGCGTGCTCAAGGTCGGCGCCTACGACGGCAAATCAGACGTGGGATCTTCCTTCCTGGGCGTCTTCAACATCGCCGAATCAGAAACCAGCTTCATCCTGCCCATCACGAAATTCCCGGGCGTCAATGCTCCTGCCTCTTCCACCGGCAATACAGAGGTCTCCGAAAACAAGTGGATCGTCCGCTCGCACATTTCTAACCGGATCACGTCACCAATCCGCCCCTCTGATCCCATCAAACCCGACAATCTGCTCCAGTGCACGCTGCCCATCCGTGGCTACGATGTCTGGACCGCTCTGCCCGTGCACACCTTCCGCCTGCCCGCATCGGACTCCGACCTCGGCGTCTCTGTGCTCGGCCTTCTGGGCCCATTCACAGGTGCCGCTGCGATTGTGGAGTCGAATTTCAACCTCGACAAAGTCACGTCCGAGGCGGTTCCACATCGCCTGAAAATCCACGTCCAGCTCAAGGCGTTCGGACTGCTGGGTATCTGGCTCTCGGACGTTCAATCCCGGCAGCGCAAGGTCGAGGACATGATGGTCATCATCCAAGGACGAGCCGTGCCACAGCACGTGGTCAGCTTCGAGACAGAGCATTGTCCTGCAGAGAGCGGAGTTCTCGTCATCGACGTCGGCAAAGCCTGGGAGGAGATGGAGCTAGAGTCGGGCTGGAGCAACGAGGTCGGGGTAGACCTCTTCTTGCATTGACCCTGCGTAGAGTCATAAGCGCTGATGATGGCCAGCTCGTTTGCGTTACCGCCCTGCACGCCATATTCGTTGTTCTCGAGCATGTGTTCCAAGAACATTCCATGTAGCGAGACTCATCTGCAGAGGACAAGATGGAATGCTCAATGCGTGCTAGGAAAAGATAGAGTATCAATAGAATAGTCTCGTTCTCCCAGCACCTTCGCATTATATTCAAGCTGGTTAATGGATCTCTCGTCTTCTGCTCAGTGACCAGTTATTATCTCAATTTCTGCCGAGATCTTCTTCCAGATCACTCGGTTGATGACGAGATTCCCGCCTGAATGACCAATCATTGGCGTTAAGGGACCGTGCCGATGGTTGTCTCAGTCGACGTCTCCTCTCTAGTTTGTCTTTGTACTATTTCGACCTTCCTTCTACCCTGGACTGGGCAAGGACAGCCTGGACGATACTGTCATAGAGCGCACGGTGGGGTTAAGTATCAATAATGGTGTGGTGCAGTGTTTACTCTCGTCACATAAATTACATGATTCTGCTACCGCCAATATTCCTTCCCACACATCTATCCTCTTTCCACTTTACTTCTATACAGTCCACCTTGTATGTGCTGCCCTCGGCCCGAAACGGTGTCGAGGAGCATCCATCCTCTGGTGTGTCGGTTTCATCCTGATGTGACGCGTGTGGATTGGATCATGGCAGCCGAGATCCGGGACTGACGCTGATGCTGCCGGGACTGATGCTCAGATGTTGATGCTCAGATGTGGATGTTGATGCTGATGATGTTGATGTTGATGATGTTGATGCTGATGATGTTGATGCTGATGATGTTGATGCTGATGATGTTGATGCTGATG